CATTTATAGGGTTGGGAAGAATACTCTATCTCCAATACACCTACTAATTATCTCAAACTATTAAGTGAATCACTCAATTATGTTAACACTTCATAAACTCATTATTATCCCAAGTCTCATCAATCAGTCTCACCTAAAAAACATAGAATTTTTCAAAGTTATATTAAAAACTCTGTTATTATTAATCATGGTAATGCTATATCCTAAAAATAACATTACTTATAAGGTAATTTTATCAAAAAAGCTTAATTCTCTCCAAAAAGATAATTAAAACATTGCTACATAGGTCCCATTTTATAATAAATTAAAATCTATTAGAAAAATAAAAAAATTGGTTAAAATGATTCAATTATCAAACAAATAACAAGATGAACTTCATGAAATTACTTAAAACTTTCATTTTGTTTAAATTAATATATAATAATCATAAAATTTATTGACTTAATAAAATTAAAATAAATGTATAAACATTATAAATCTCTTTTATTTTATTTTAATTGTTTTGGTGTAATGATAATATGTTTAAGAAAATAGTTTGGATGTGTTATTATGATTAATTATTTTTATAATTTATATTAATATCTTGAAAATGAAATAATCATCAAAAGGAATTTTGAAAAAGAATTCACAACATGATATAGATATGTAATGAAATGAATTTTATTGTAGGAAGAAAGAATTACATTGGGATGAACATACATTATAGTAAAGAAATATATTACTTTAATTAGATAATAAGATTTAGAGAGAGGAAATAAAACTAAAATAGATGAACCTAAAACACCATATGAAGATGATATAATATAGCAAAATCAATAGGAAGATAAAATTGAAATGGAAGATGAAATAGAGCAAGATTTAATATAAGCACAATTGAATAAATAAAAATTGCAGCAAGTAAATTCCAGCTCTTAAAAAGTAGTAACAAAAAAAGAAACTGGATATTGAAGAATTGAATTAAAGATTAAAAGAAGATTTAGAGAGAGAGAGAAAAAATATGGATGAAGATTCATCAGAAGAAGAAGAAAAGAGAAAAAAACATGAAGAATTTGTTAAAAAAAGAAAATAACACTATAATGAGAAGAATGTAATAAAGGATGCTATGCATAAAAAATAGTTTGAGGATTAATGAATTATATAAAATTTAATATAAAAATCATTTGGATATAATTTGATTTCCAGATATATTGTATTGAGTAATATATTATGTTGATCCAGTTACGAATAATCTGTATGATCCAATAGTTGTAGATAGATAAGTTGGATGAACTATTATAGTTAATTTACTATTCATTTTAACAGTCAATTAAATTGTTTGGATGTAATTGTTAGCATTTGATTAAGCAATTACTCTACCAGATTAATCTTATAAAATTAAAGAATAAGAGTCTAAAGCTATAAGAGGAGTTAAAACAAAAGTAACAATCTAATTAAAAGGTTGAGAACCAATATAATAAGCATCATCACCTTAACAAACATCACTTTCAGTTAAAAATGAAGTATCAAGCAAAATAGTCTTAGCATAACTGCTTTGATAATATTCATACAAAGGATAAGTTCTAGTACTACTACCATCATAATCTATGGTAATAGTTTTTACAATATTAGATCCATTAATATAATTTCCATTAATATCAACATTATATCCATGAGCTCCAATAGGTCCTAAGGGTCCTAGTGGTCCTAAAGGTCCTAATGGTCCAATAGGGCCTAGAGCAGACCATAATCCAAAAGCTCTTAATTAAACAGCAAAGTCATTAGTTTCAAAAAGTGTTTTACCTGGATCTTATTATCCATAATATTATGTAGTAGCCAAAGGACCTTTATAACCTAATGGACCATCTTTGGACATTGGATCTCCATATTAATATAAACTCCATTGTATTAACTGTTCTAAATCAGTAGGCAATTAGATTTGCCCAAAAAAATTTGATGAGTACCAAAAAGGATTAGACAAAGGTCCTAATTATGATAATGGTCCATAAGGACCTAATGGACCTAAATATCCCAGACAGCTACTAGAACTTAGATATTAATAGGGAGTCAAACCTGGAACTTTATCTGGATCAATTTTTGGACATACTGTTGTGAGATCCACATCTGTTATGGAATTAACAGTTGTTATTACCATTTTTTAGTAATTGTTACTCCATCCTGTATTTGCAGTATTTGTACATGCTTATGATATCATTATTAAGATAGGAAAGGAAACATTAACATAATGTTCTTTTTTTTAAATAATTTACTTTTTAGATATTGGAACTATGTTAAAAAGTAATTAATAATGCAAATTATAATAAATATATAATAACAATATTCAATATAATTCGATATTATTTATAATCATTCGTATTATTATATAATGTTATATATACTTATTGATTTATCAAATAAAATTGACCTTACAAATGAAAAAAATATTATATATTATGGATTATATTTACATTAAACAACATCTAGATAATGATCCAAAAATATAACGATTCATAAGAAATCGTATTCTTTATCAAACATCTGATACTTATCATTATGCAAACTATAAAAGGAGAATGAATCAATCTTTTGATTAATCAATACATTAGACTACAAAATATAGTGATCTCTCTTATCTCGTTGTTGACAAATTACGCCAATCACCAACACGTAAATATACTTTTTCAAGACCTACATCAGCAACATAAAGATCACCTTATATATTTTCGAGTAATTTTCAGAAATTATCAAAAGCATTACAAACCTAAGAATCATAAGCTGTTAGAAATTTTAAAAGAAAAATTAAGAGTAGCAAAAGATGTGCACTAAAACAACAAAAATATCCAATCGAATACACATGTAGACAATACAAAGTTATATTATGAATTTGATTTAAATACTATTATTTATAATTTTTCATTAACATCCAAACATAGGAGAATTCATAAACAATCAAACTAATTTAATCAAATAACTTATTTAAGAAAAAGAAGAGTAATGTTATCAAAATTCAATTAACATGTAAAAATTAGCTGATTCTATGTTAATGAAAGACAAAGAATTCAGAAATTAAAAATGAAGTCTGAAATTTTTCTTCTATTTTTTTAATTGAAATATCAGGATTATCAATAAGATAATGAAGGATAAAATTGTATTTAAAAAATAAATAACATTTTTGATGATTTTAATTATCAGATGAAATAGGAAAATGTTTAGAGACTATGATTAATAATGAATTTTGGCATAAAAATTGAAATTTTAAAAGATTTATAAACAATTAGAATGGATATTTAAAACAAATGATTACGCTTTTTATAAATTTGTTGTTTTCATAAAAACATCATATTGTCACTTACAATATTATTAGTCTACACCTAAACTTGCATCTATAGATTCTTTTTTTGTATAGTTTAAACACATTATTTTTCTTGATTGATTAATTACTCATAAGTTTCAAGATATAATAATTGTTCTTCTATTTTTTCCATTTAAACTGATATCATTTGCTTTAAGTTTTCATCCATTTTTTCAGGTTCTTAAGTTTAAGTAACTTCTATATTGGGCAATTTTAATTTATCTAATTGTGACTTGAAACAAGCAACTCCCAATTGTATTGGATTACTTACATCATTATGAAATGTAATAAGTTCCTACAATTTCTAAAAATAGTTTTACTTTTTATGGTTTCTTTGGAATAGAGGATTCTTTATCTAATGATGGAAAGATATTGGAATATGGAAGTTGTAGATACATTTTAACAATTTCAATCAATGATCGTTTAGCAAAGTATTTAGCAATTTCATTCCATTTTTCTTTATGCTTATATACTAATTCTAATAATCTATATATCTCATCTTGAGTCCATGGTGCATATTTTTAAGTTTATTGAAATTATTCTAAGAATGGTAAGGTAAACATTTACAGAAATCTTCATTTTTTAAGAATTTAGGATATTTTTTATCAATAAAACAATTATTGCATAACAATAATGGTTGTAATTAAAATGATGCTAAATTTTCTTTTTTTTATTGATGGAATGGATAAGCTCTTTTATCACAAATATGACATCTATATTAATAAAATGTATTTTTTACTCATAATGAGGATCACTATGAAAATTGATTTGATTGCTTTAAAAATTAAGTTTAACTCTTTCTAAGAATGTACCATTTTGTTGATAAACTTATCCTTAATTTGGAAGATTATTTGGATTGTATTAGAAATTGATTAATCCCCAATGTTCTAAAAAGGTATAGACTCTAAGTAGAGATGAAGCATCTCCACTAATAAAATTGAGACAATCAGTAAATTTAAGATATTTTGTTTGAGTGCTAATCCATTTTTATAAGATTGCATTTCTTATTTTAAGATAAGTAAGTGGAGTCTTATAGTTGCCCTTATAATAGGAAATATCATTATGGAAGTGTTAATGGAAAAATTCTGGGAGGGAATCCTTTTCAATTTAATGAATGGAATCAATCTAAAACCAACGTGCTGGAGCTGGAATGATAGCTTCCCAATTCTATAAAAACCAATCCTTCTAAATGGTTGAAGTCCAATTATTACCTTGCTTTGTGTTGCTTCTTAAGTAATGTTTGTTGTAGTGTTTTCTTTTTTAATAGGTGGTGGAATTGACTATGTTTAAGGCTTTGGTATCAACTTTCGCTGTTCTGTTTACACCTCTAGTACTTCATAACCAGTTGACACTTTTTGGAGTAAAATTGTAATTTGTGAATTTCTGCTTTCAGGTCTTCTGTTAAACATTCCTAAAAATAATAGAATGTAAAAAGTGAGCTTATAATAGAATAAGTCTTGGCAATCAGGTATATGTAGGAGGGGGTTAATCAATATGAACATTCAAGTTCTAATCCAATTCTTACCTCCAGATCATAATCCTGTTACCTCATATACTCTAGAGACTCAAAATGTATTCCAATTAACTTGCAAAACATTATGAATTTCATCTAGAAAAGTATATTAAATTATTTATATCAAATATTTTACCTTTTTGAATCTAATTTGATGAAATGTTTTGTTCTCTAAAAGAAAATAATTTATCTTTTTAAAAATCCAATAGACATCTAAATATGCCAAGAAATTCAATAACCAAAATCAATTAGAATACATTTTATTCGAGATATGATATAATAAAACATATAAATATTACATTATTATAATAATCTCTCTATCAAAATTTAAAAATACCTAAAAATAAATTAATTATAATATTCTATTATGAAGATGAATAAATAAAATAGCAAGCTAAAGACAACAATGTTTTTAAATTTTCCATACAGAAAAAGAAAAATTCATTATTTAAAATAAACTTTAAAAAATGAAACTAATAATAAAAAAAAATACTTCAACATTCTGTCACTTAAAATATTCGATTTTCTATTATTTACTTTACATTTTTTTTAAAAGCGTTAAAGATAATCCTCATTTTTCTAATACATAATTTTTAAAATATAATCTGAATTTTAAGTTTTTATTTAAAAAATTGGATGCAAACTTAAAACATGATTATATCTCTTAAGTTTTGTTAAATCAAAAATTTTATAAATTGAATTATAGTTAACTCTAGACCCTCATCAAATATCAAACTGATTAAAATTAAATAATACTAGACGAGTTGTAGACCATTCAAATTTCAAACAGTTAAGCAAACCTTATTTAATTAAGTTCTGAAAGAGTGATGCGATCACAAAATAAAATATTTTTGTAATAACAATTGAACAACTAAATGTTAAATAAATAGAAGTTTTATTTTGGATTAAAAAAAATCTTTTATTTGTACCTTTTGAAAATAATAATTTTTTATGTTCAGTTTATTACTAAAGGATTCAAGAATGAGTTTAATATTTTAATTTCAACAGATCCTCTTATTTTATTGATAAAATTAATTCGAATAAAAAAATGCGGTTACTTAGATTATATCTAATTAAGAATGGTTTATTTTCCTATTAAACATGCAAAAAACTACTTTTTTAACCATGTAAAATTACTTAATAATATCTTAATCTACATTGAATTTGAATTTAGGAATATTTTACAATCTAAAGAGAGAAGTGTGAATATTTAATTATTTAGATTGGAATGATTAAGGAAATGTCACATTATCAAAAATAATAATTTGGAAAAAAATCTTATTGATGGTATTTTATCTAACATAAAAAAATATTTTGAAAAATAAATAGAAAACTTAAAATTTTAAAATTTATAATAATTTAAATAAAAATCATCGTAAATTTACTTATCTTAATTTAAATTAAAAAGATCTTTATTTTATATTGATTATGAATAATATAATTAAAAAAATGATTGTGTAGATTATTTAGAACTTATAAAATAAAGTAATGAAAAGAAAGTGGAGAGATGATTTGATATTATTAAATGTAATGGTAGGATAATGAGAGAGATGTATCTATAAGATTTGGAGTATTTATGTATGATGATTAATATAAATAAATAATTTATTATAGTTTAATAATATATAAAACTATAATGGGAAATAATTTTTGTTATACCAAGAGTGGTATGTAATCAACAATGTCTCAATTATTATGCGAATAGAAGTTTAATGGATGTGAAGTCCTTTTAACAGCTGGAAATATAGAGAATGAATCAGTGGATTGTATAGTTTGGCCAACTGATTAACAATTTTCAAATGTTCCTTAGAATGATAAGCCTACATTTATACCGAGAAATGGAAACTGTATTTTTGTAGGATCTACAAAGAGTAAATAGAAAATAAATAAGTATAGAGAACAAAAAAAATTATATATTGGCTGTTGTTCAAGAGAATAATGAGATGAGTTTTTAAGATCAGTAGGATGAAGAAAGATAATTGATATATGAAACAATTCAAAATAGTTTGAAAATGGTAAAAATGATAAAAATTTAGGCAAATGCTAGATAGATGAGATCAATAGCATTTCCTGTGTTTTAATCAAAAGATCATACAACATCAGCAACAATAATGATAATGGCTATAAAATTATTTATTTCTGAATAGAAGTCTGATTCAGTAACAAAAATATGTATAACATTGAATGTAAGAATTTGATTCTTATAGATGTACTTCCTTTTAGTAAATTGAATAGGTGTCAAGTTTTAAATGGGTATTTTAGTAAGTATTTGAACAACATAACTCAGCAAAATCAAAATCTTATTCAAGTACAATAAATCCAACATTTATGGAGGAATATAAATCTATAAGGTTAATATAATAATAAATTGTGAAAGAAGGTACTCCTTGATATAATTAATGAATTCAATTTAATAATATAAAAATTTTGATGAAAATACAAAAATTCGTTTTCTATGGAGATTAATAAATTAAATGAAGATTATTGCCTTTCTCTGTGTTGTGATAGTAGTATCATCAGCAACTGAAGCCATAGACCTCTTTAATACAGTACAATCTATTTAATAGTTAGTTACCTAAAACAGATTTTGGGAGAACAATATTGTAAACAGTGTAATTGGAGTTATCAAATGGATCAGCAGTAGATTCTGTAGTTCAATCATTGAATGAAATATTGAATTCAGCAGAATAGGAAAAAGGAGCTATTTAAGCTAATTTAAGAAATAGATAAGCATAATGTCAAACAAGATAAGATGATGCTTAAAATGCTATAGATAGAGCAAATGCTAAAAGAGCAGATGATGAAAGAAAATGTATGATTTGATTCATATCCTATAGTACCATTAATTAATGAAGAATTAATAAGTAAATAAGAATAAGCATTAGTAAAGGATTCAGAAGAGTAAAGAAATAATGATAAGCTTGCACTTCTTACAGCAACAAGGGAAGAATAAAAATAAGAATATTAAGAAAGAAGAAATGAATTAACAAATTATGTTGCAGCTTTAGGAGAAGCAAAATCAATTGTTTCTGGATTAGGTTCTGTTAGTTTCTTATAAGTCAATTCAAATGAACATTATCTCAAATTTAGTAAATATCAAATAATTAATTATTATTAGAGGAAGCACATCCAACACCTAGAGGTTATGGAATCATGGTTGAATTATTATTAAAAGCATCAATCTAAGCTAAAACACCTGAATAAGTAGAAAGACTTGTTGCTACAATCTAAGGATTAATTGATTCTATATTTGAATTATAAAAATAAGAATTGTTAGTTGATGATGCAAGAGAACTTGAATTCATTAGATAAAGGTATCATATTAATATTATTCTAATAGAGAAATATTACTCTTAGCTAATTAAACTTTAGCTGCTTCTGTAGCTTAATTGAAAGCTTAAGTTTTACATTTATAATAAGATATTGTTGAACTCACAAATGATGTTAACACTAATAAATAAATTGCATCTATTAAAACTAAAGAACTTAATGATTGGATCAAAACTTGTTAGGATGAAGAAAAAAATCTAAGAGCTATTTTTGATAGCAGGTAATTCATTTTATTTAATCATATAGAGTTGGATAAGTTGAAACTGTCAATTAAATACTCATTATATTCAATTCAGGTTTAAGTTAAGAATTAAGAAAATCAATTGCAGAAATATAACTAAATTGATAAAACAAAATCAATATCATAAATAGGATCATTCAACCTAAATTTTATCTCCATCCAGGAATTGCTCTTCTTCCAGCTCCTAATAAATTCCCTCCAAATGTATCTGCATATTTCCCTTGATCTATTTTAGGATCAAATTTCTATCTCTTTTATAATTCTGCTGCCTTAGTAGTTTCATTCAATTTTGATTCAACATATGCAAATTTTATATATTTATCCTCTTCTCTTGTTTATTGTTTCATTTCTTAATCAAATTACTTCTTTTACTTTTATTCAAGAATACTCTTCTTTTTTTCCAGTAATTAATTTTCTTTCATTTTAATTCTTTCTTTTGCTTCTTAACTAACATATCTTCTAGACATAGTTTCAACTTATTTTAATTCTTATTCTCTCTATTTTTCAATCATTTTTTATTCTCTATAATATTAAACTTATTATTTTTTCTCTTCTCTTTCTTTCTTAATAATTTCAGACTTTTATTTTTCAATATCTTTTTAAGTCTCATACTCAATTTCATCAATTGCTTTTTATGTAACTCTCTTAATTTTCCATTGCTTTATCTCTTCTTTCTATTTATCTCTTTCTTCTTTAGGAACTAAAGGCTTTTTAACTTATTTTTATTTTTCAATTTCTTGTTATAATTATTCTTATTATAATTATATTTATTTATTTTCTTCTTTTTTTTTCTTATACTCTGCAAGTAGTTCTTTCTTTTCATCTTCTAACTATTGTAACAAATTGTAATTGTCTATTTGTTCCATTAATTAATCTTCTGTAATAAAGGGAATAGCTTTGAGACAATCATTAATGAAATTCTAAGACACTTTACCTCTATGTTTAGTTCTTACTCTTAAAAATTCTCTATGATCTTCTGGTTCTAATAGTTTAATTTAATCTATTTTTTCATCAATTAAATCAACTTTTTATTTGATTAATCCTAACTCACTTGTTGTCTCTTCATTATTTTACATAGGTTTTCTCTTGATTATTGGTTACTTTTAAACAATATCATAATTGTCCATTTTTTATTCAATCATTTTCAATTCATCATTTAATTCCTCCTCTTATTATGCTAGATCATCAAATTAATATGACATTTTAGATTTATAATCTGTAATTCTATGTATAGATCAATATAAATATATACGCATTGGTAATATTATTTGCCATGCTTTCAATTTTTTAATAGTACTCATGACTGTTAGTGAACCCTTTCAATTCTTTTATATATCTTTGTACATCATTTCTCAACAATCTCAAACTAGTCTTTGTATTATCCTTAAAGAATTACTTTAACAAAATACCCTTTCCTTCTCCTCATCAAAATCAAATTTTTCAATCATGTCATTCAAAATAAAAACATCGTTTTTACTTGTACTTGTCTTACACATAGGTAATAGTTTTGACATGTCCTTTATACTCAAAGATATCAGTTTTGCCTTACATGATGCCAATTCTGATTTGCATTCTTGTAGCATTTATAAAATGTTTGTAAATTGTAAAAATACTCATATAATAAATCTAGACACAAGCATGTATACTGAAGACAATCCCCCTCTGGTGATAATATCTTGAAAGTTTGGTAGCACTAGAACCTTTAACAATATCAAACCATAACTAATTTTGTTTTTTGATTGTAAGAGTCCAACCAAGAATAAAGTTTCAAACTTATTTAAAATCATTTTTATACAAACTCTAAATTTGCTGTAATTCCTCTCAATATGAATGTCCATGTAAACTCGTCACTTGTAGCATTTGGAATAAATGTAAAAAGGTGTTTCATTACACAATCCATCAATCCCCATCCTATAGCTATTGCAAATACTCTGCTTAATTTATCATCAATATTTGTCTTTTATTTCGATACTAAAATTATTCCATAACAATCGATCAAATCAAAGAGTAATTTTATCTACAATTTTATTTGCATCCCTTACATGAATAAATTATTCAGTAATTACAGACAAAGAGGCCAACAGAAACAATTTACAAAATTATGTCAACAAACATCCTAAAATGCTAATCAATACAGTTTTATATGCTCCTTATTCAGCACTATTATAAATAAACTTATTTTACAGTGATCTTGCTTTGTATACAACAAAAAATGGTCCAAATGCTAACAAAAGACAATTTATCAAATGTGAGAATGCCATTAAATGTAATAATTATTTGATTTAAAGATTACTAAATTAGTCACTTTACAAGTTCCTGAAAACACAAATAAAGAACGTAAACATTTTAAATAAAATCGAATGTCTCTTTGGAATAGTTTTCATGATATTTGGACTCCTAGTGGAAAACAATTTATTTTTTAACCATTCGAATTCGAATAATAACCATTAAAATAAATTTAAACACGCCGATTAAGTTAATAACTTTCGAGATAAGTTTCTAAAATATAATAAAGTATTGATAACAAATAAAAAATTTTGGAAGAAACATTTATGCCTAAAAAAGTTTAAACAATCACAACATATTTGTAAATTAAAGAAGCACCACAACAAAAGAGTCCATCAATACTCAATTCTAAGAGAACTGAATCTCGCATTCAAACATCAAGAACCTAATCAGCAACACCTATGATGAGACACTCTAAAAAACACTAAAAAACTATTGAAATCAGAGATACGAGAGGATTACAAATCGAAAAATGTTTATTGTATGATCGTTTTCAAAAGGAAAAGATTAAGTTAGATTATACGCAGGTACCGTAGCGAAGACAAAAATCAATTAATGAATCACATTCTTATAATTATAATAAAGTTTAGTACAAACAATCGATTACTCTAGCTAAATGGGACTAAAGCGAGAAATCAGACGAAATATTTTGATTATTTTTAATATAAGACAAGTACAATCCTTACTCTATAAAATTAAGTTAATTAAAAAGGTCCCTATGTTAGAAATAATTAAACTTTCCTAAGTCATTTCTTTAAACTTTGAGAGTTCAAATTATATTTAATGAGATAAATGTATAAATACCTCTAGTTTAAAAATAAAAGAGACAATTATGCAATTTTAAATTTCCAAACAAAATAAAAAAAATTAGGAACAAAACTGGATGACTCTTTTTCAAAATTTTTTAACAACATAAATTATATCTAGAAATTCAAATAGTAAACAAACTATAGTTAGAGTTCAATATTAATCATTTGGAATAGAAATTTATGATTTTGGTTATTAAGAATAAAATTTTAGTAGATTTGAAATTAGAGAACATAAAAATAAATTTTAAATGCAGTTAGAAGAATGATAATAATAAACGATTTATATAAAATAAATTCACAGTAATTTACAACTTTAGATAGAAATCTCTTCAACAGATATTTAATCAAAAAGGTTAGAGAGTAGAACATATAGAATGAACTTGAGAAAAGAAATTGACGTGAATAATCAAAGTTTAATGAAAATTAAGTACTTTTAAATAAAATCCCAGCAAATGGAGTATTCCTCTCTAAATATATTTGATCATATAATTGATACAAAAATAATAGTTAACGTACAAATTTTGTTGAAAAGAATTACATAATAATATAACAGGGGTCCCTATCCATAATTATTATCAAAGTTGCTTTTTTTATTGTTTTTGAGGATGTCATACATGTAATTATGATTTAAGTCTATGAATTATGATTAGTAAAGATTTTATTTTCTGGCAAAACTAAATAAGGATATCTATAAAAATAGTTAATCATGCTTTTCTGTAATAGAAGAAAGTGCAAGCCGGTCATCATGATATATATTAGTAATTTAATCAACATGTATAAAATATTTAAGAATATTTTTAGTTTATTAAGAAATTTATTATAAATATATAAAAATGTAAAATTTTATATAAAGTGAATTATAGAAAAATAAGATTTGACGATTGATTGTTAAATAATATATATAAAGTCAAAGGTTAAGTAAGCCTTAGTAGTATTCACTGTATACGTCGTGAAGCTGTTATTCAACTCTTTGATGGCATCTTTCGTATTCTCGATCATTTGTATTTCCTTTATAGCATTAAAGTGCTTATTTTTCAATGAATAGCATTTTCATTGAGAGGTACTTAGCCATATTATCGATTTTGCCTTCATGTCTTTCCATACCTACATAAATCTACAAATAATACATGTGGCAAATAATTCAAAAGTCTTAGCGTTTCTAAGGCATAATTCCTTATGCTTTTCTGCGTGGTCTTACTATTTGAACATTTAATCAAGTGAAATTGTGCTGGCTTCTTAAAAATTATTGAAATCACTTTCGTATTACTATTTTCTTTACATTTTTTTTAGTGTATTTAATATTGAATTGAATAAGCAAGATATTGTTGGGTTTTGAATTATGATATTTCATCATTAAAATATATTATTTTCAAAATTTAGTGATTCATTATGCAATAAGTTATACCGTCATTTATTAATTTTAATTACATTTTATATGGTATTTAATTGATAATTAAATGTTTAAGGTGAGTGAAGAATTTCTGCTACTCTTAAGAAATATTTGAATATGAAAAAAACAAATAAACCCTGAACACCATAATTAAATAAAATTATTATAAAATATATTTTTAAAATAATTTATTATTATTATAATAAAATTATGATGAAAATTAATGGTTCATTTTTGAATTTTTATTTTTTCTTAAAAACAAGATGTTTAAATTTTTGGGACTATTATCACCATAACCATAGTCGAATCATTAAGAGTAAGTACTATAAAGGAGGTTATGCAAGTTAGTTCAATTGAAAATATAAGAAGAATAGAAATCTCAAATTTTAAGTTTATAAATAATTACAGAACTTTAATTCGTTTTCTTTTTAACTGAAAAAATCTGAATATCATTCATTATATCTTTAAGCTGAAATATGATTAGACTTTTGAGAATAACTTTTCAGTGTTAAATTGAGTTTAAATTGAAGAAACTGTCTAAACCATAGATTGATTAAACTTATTTTCTTTATTGTACATTATGTTTAAGAAATAATATTTTAATCATAATTATCATAAGCATGAAAGCAACAAAACAAGATGAAAATTTTATTTTTAATATAAATATTTAACTTTTTAAAATTTATTAATAAAAAATAAGTTGAAAATCATCTTTTTTGATAAAATACTTGAAAAGGATAATAAATAAAGTGAAATTACAAAATATGAATATATAGTTATCAAATTGCTTATGGGAGTCAGCAATCAAAAACTTCATCTTGTAAATCCATCGAGGGTTCATCATAAGATTTAAAATTGACAAAATAACCATCTGTAGATCTATCAATAGAGGGAATATCAACAGTCGTGTGAAATGTAAATTTGAATTCTTCAGAATAATGTTATTCTAAAATTTCCTTGGTACTGGATGAAACCTATAATTTTCCTTTTTCTCCTTTAGATTCCATTTTATTTGCAACAAGTACATCAGGTCCATAAATATCATATCTAACAATTTCAGTACCTAAAACACCTCCTATAATAGAACCTGTATGTATTCCTATTCTCATATCTAATCCTTAGAAATTTATATGATCTCTAACACGTTTGATGATGTTTATCATTTCAAATCCTAATTCTACAGTATTTTTAGCTTCTTATGCAATTTTTCTATCTTTTGCATCTAACATACCCATAACAACATAACAATCACCTATTGTATATAATTTATAGACAGATTTTTCTTGACAACATTTATCAAATTCAGTAAACAAGTTCCTTAACATAAATACAACCTATTCAGGTGGAACTTTACTTGAATATTCTGTAAATCCTGCAATATCAGCAAAAAGTAATGTTACATTCTCATAACTGTCTTTTAGTACTGCTCTTTATTGTTAAAATTAAAGGAATTATTCTAACATATGTCTTGGTAATTAATGTTTTACTAATTAATCTAATTATTTGTGTTTTGCTTTTAATTTACATTGATTATTATATAATTAGACATTCTTATTGAATTTGTAAATTTGATTAGAAATGAAGATCAATTGTAATATAATGGCATAATAGATCAAACTCTTTTCCCAATTCTTAAGTAGTACAACTATTAGATTTACTGAGATCATTAATATGCTTTCTATTACTTTATATTTCATTTTAATAATTGGATTGAGTTATGTCATAAAGGATAAGAAAACTCCAACTGCAATACAAATTTCTCCAACAATAAAACTTTAATAAGAAAATATATGAATAATCCACCAAATCATGGTGATAATATAACTACAAATGAAATAAGATTCTTAGAAGACTTTATGTCTGTATTATTTCATTAATAAAAGAATTAGAAACCCCAATTTTATTGTAACGATTAGGTAACCAAAACTCAAATTTATATACCATGTATATTAGTTTTCAAAGATTTCTGAAATTAGAATTGTAGATGTATTTTATACAAATAATAATATTGCTACTCCAGCTTTTAATAAAATTACCAATAATGCATTCTTTTTAGTTAATTCTCTATAAAAGTCTTCAATATATTAGTGATCAACATCAGGATGAAAATCTAAGAATAGCTTTTTCTTATCTAATATAAGAACATCAGATTCTTTAAATTCATCTTCATTTTAATTTAACTATTTTAATTTATCTTTTTCAATTTCTCCATTTAAATAATCAAAGTTTTCATCAATTAATAAATTTTCTTTACCTAATTTAATTTCTATTGCTTCAATCAAATTAGCGCCTTCGATTGAAAATTTTTATCCAATAGGATTAGCATGTTCACTGTCATGAGATTGTAATTATTAATGAGCTTCTACATTCAAACTTGATTTATGTTATAATTTAGGATTATTTTATTTTAAATGAGGTAATACTAAGGTAGGTTTTCTCTTAATTTTTTTATCTCTATTAAACTTAGCAGGATTATCAATAGCAGTAACAGAATTAGATGGAAGATGGTTAGAATTCTATTTTTAAGATTTACTCTTATTTTTTATATTCTTAGTGGTTAACTGTTCAGATAATATATAGGTTATGATTGATCCTTTTCCTTTTGCATCTACAATATCTTGAGTAAAAATAAAGTCCTAAGATCCACTAACTAATCTATAAGCTTCCTCTGATATTTTAATCTAACCATCTTAACCAGTTGAACAAACTCTAGACGTAGTATTAACAGTATCTCCTATCAAAGAGAATTATGGTTTGTGATAACCTATAACCCCAGCTATTACATTTCCATAATGAACACCAATTTTAACGATGATCTCTTCTGATTTACCAAAGTTTTATTATTATGCGAATTTCCTCATTTCAAATGCTACTTATATTGTTCTAAGAACAGGATTAACATTACTTTAACTTGCTATATTTTTAAGTCCTGCTGCTGCCATATATGTTTTACCAACAGTTTCTATTTTCTATAATCCATATTAACTACATAGTGAATCGTATTATCGAAATAGAATATCTAACAAATGAATCACATTCTCCTTTTCTGTCTTTATAATTTTATCAAATTAACAAATATCACAAAATAAAATTGCTACTTCTCCTTGATTCTCTTAAATATCAAATTCTCCTTTCTAATTTATCATATTTCTAATGAATCTAGGCATTAAAATGCTTAATGTATCACTAATCGAATTGGTTTGCTAATCTAAAGTCAACATTTAAATGAATTCTTCTCTTGAATTTCTTTAAATTCTTAAATACATTCCACTAGATAATGCAGTTTGCATCAAAGCAATCAGATAATAATTCAACATAATATAATTATTAAAATTCTCATCAGTTGTTGTATTATTTGCACTAAATCTAATAATGAAACTTATGTTAACAACAAAACAATAAAATATTATTGTTAATGGTCTGTCATCAATTAAAGGTTAAAGCATAAATAATTACATTATCAACATATCTGTTAATTCATTATTATTATCCTAATAAAAATAGGCATCATAAATGATCTTATAAATCAATCTACAAGTAATCAATATTTTGCTTATTCTGAAATGGTACTTTTTAAAAGCAACTGTGTAAATAAATAGAGCCATTAAGACTTAAGCTGCATTATACCCAAAAGTGAAATATAGAAACCATGTATAATCAACATCTGTATTTATTAACCAAATTTATACTAAGATTGCTCCTTCAACCAACATCCAACTTAATGGATAATAGAGTCGATAATATTCAATGATAGATGGTAATTCATTCAATTAATACTTAATCTCTAACTGAATATTTTTAAATGTTTAAGTTATTTTGTTGATTTTTGTTGTTTTAACACTTAAAACAATACCAGATAGTACCTATTTTATAATGGGATCAATTTCTTCTTCATTTTTGAATAATTTTAAAACATATTTCTGGATATTTATTACAATATTTTCTTTCTTTCTTTTTGAATTGTAAATTTAGATAGTTTTAATTTTGCTATTGATTTCTATTTGATCCTAAGATGAATATATATGATTATGAACATAAATTGAATGAAATTGAGTTAAAGTCTTTTAGAAACAAAAGAACATAATTTAGATAGCAATGATTTATAAAAGAGATTGAAAGGAGAGTAAAAATTAAAATAATTCACCATATTGATAATCAAAATAATCTAAGTATCCAACTGTACATAAACCAAAGTAAGCAATTGGTAGAATAATATATTAATAGATGTTAGCATGAGTCAATAATTTAGTTAAATCTAATAATAGTATGATGAAGAATTATTAAATAGATTTCATTTGTTCATCTAAAATTTATCCTTTGTTACTCTTCAAATCCATATGATGTAAAGTTAAAGAAATTATTAAAGCTTCAAATGCTGAATAAAGAATAACTTTATAGAAGAATAGCCAATATCTCATTTATCGGAAATCTAATTAATTTTGATTGTAGAAATAAACTAATTAGTTTTTAATATTGCTCACATTTTCATTTTTTTGAGTTAATCGTTAAAAGAACATTGAGAAGCAAGGTATAATATAAAGTAAACTTTAAAAAAAATCTAAAGGTGGATAGAATGTAATTCCAGTGAATAGGATTTAAAAAAAAAGAGTAAAGCACAATAGATAACTTCTATAAAAGGAGAATGTAATTATGTTCTCTAAAAGTTCTGCAGATTATCTACTTTCATTTAATACTACGCTAATTAGATTCTTAAAGTCTTTTACTATGATATCAGCAGTTCCAATGTAAGGAATGGTTTTATACTAATGTTCTAATTTTAAGTATAATGTTACTTATGAAATTATTAAGACATTTTCCACTAACTTATTATAATTTTGAACTCTTTTGCTCCTTTTTTCCTCTCTATAATTGTTCCATTTTTTCAATAGTTGGTTTTTATAGTAATCTTTCAGCATATAATTAAATTGAAAAATCAGAGTTAGCCATCAATTAACTATCATTTCCTTCATCACCAATAACTAGAAATCTTCTTCTCCAAAGTTACTTTTGTTATAAGATTTATCCTAAAATGGCTTTTTAAGATTTAGACATTCTATATCCAACAACTGAAGTAGAGAAAGCTATAATGAATGCTAAATGATTAAATAGTGAATTATCCTAATAGATTTTTTCTAAAGTATCGCCATGAATAAGTATTGAAAATGGTTTGATCTTTTATTAAGAAGTTTATAATCCAGGTAAGAGACCTTTTGTACTTTATCTTCTGGTATTGGAATGAATGGATCTTCTCTTTTGATTTGGACTCATTACAAGTCTTTCTGATGATCTTTTTTCAACAACAATTTAATCTTCTTTTAAATGTTTTATTTAATTATTATATAACCATTAAATTTATTGTTTGATCTATAGATTGACTTCTTATTGATCAAAATGAATTATAGGAATAAGATCTTTAAGTATTTCTGTCTTATAAGCAATTGGTAATACTTTATCAAGTGTATCTCCACTAGCAATCCAAATTATCATATCTGCAGCTAAAAAGTTCTTAATTACAGTTCTTATAGATTTTCTTAACTTTTCTCTAATTCCAATAACTAAACATAATTCATAAGCTCTTGGTTAAGTTTTCAATTCATGAATAGGATTCTTTAAAAATTAAGTATATTAATTCCCATCTAAAAATGATTTAAAATAAACTACTGGTCTACAACCATTTTAATGCATTCTATATATCATTGCATCCCATTTATCTCTCTCTTCTTTATCCATAAGAATTTGATCACTCATTTCTTAACTATCATCTCTTATAAATTAAACATATTCATATGCTAAATCTACATCTTCAAAAAATCTTGTATAATCTAATCTAGATATTATAACACTGATCTTATAATGTTCCAATTATGTAACAGTAACTGGAACTTCAACTAAATTTCCATTAATCTCTAAAATATACTTACTTTTATTTTTAGCTGCACAAATAAACTTATAATCAAAATTAGATATAAAATCTAATTAAAGATCATCAACATTTGAAGAAAACTCATGTTTGAATAAATCATCATTTTTATTATAAGAAGATGAAGTATTATGACAAATCATTAAAATAAAAATAGCCTCCTCTGTCTATTTCTTACTGTCAATAGCAATAAGACGATTTAGAAAATCTTTTTCATCTAAATTCTTTTATTCTTCACTTAATCTCTCAAATGATGCTTTGGCTCCTTCATCTTATAGAAATTTGGTAAAAACCATAGATTTCTCAATAGGTAATTTACGTTATTAGAGTTTATCTGCTCTATCTAATTTAACACTTTATTTTCTACGAATTGTTACACCTGCAACAAATGTTTATCTTTTAATTTCATTTTATTATGGAGTATTTTATTAAACACTTGAAGGATTATTATTGTTAGCATTAGCAATATCTGTATTTGAACCCCATGAATCTTAAAATAATTTTGGCTATTTGCTTTTGTGTATTTCTTTTAATTTAGCATTTTCATCTACCATCTCTTCAGGATCAAAATTAGCTTAATCATTATTATTAGTCTCACTATTAGATGGAGGAAGGTATTCTTCTTATTTTATTGGTTTTATTGAAGAACGTTTAGTACTACTAATCATCTATTTTGGAGATGGTAATATCTTAACTTAAGAAGCTTACTTAGCAGGAGATTAAGTATCTTTCAAAAAATATTATTATATTTCATAATGATCTTATTATTATTTTTAAATTGATTTCCAATTTGTTTTATTTTTAAATGTCTTATTATTAATATTGTAAACTTAATCATTTATTGATATCATTTTTAATTTGAATTATGGAATAGTCATTGTACCTGTTTTATCAAATATTACACTATCTATTAAACTTAAGTCTGCTAGAGGTGTATCATTAATTCTACAATATAATGATTATAATTATAATTCAGTATCTTAATCTTTAATTTTTTATTCTTACACCTTCTTCTATTTGTATCTATGACTCTTTATTATCATTGAAATAAGAGTCTGAAAATCCATTATGGAGTGTAAATAATATGGTATCATATTCAAATATCCTAACAAATATTTTGATAATGTTTAAAGACTCCATTCTCTACCATATGTTATATATCGTAGAGATTCAGTCATCCATGATGCAAATGACAATACTATTAATAAAATTAGTGTAAATTAAAAATAACGATCTATCTTTGTGTAGAAGAAAGAATTATTTAATCTGTTCTTTGGTTGATTATAGTAATAACGAGATGTCATCCCTGCATATAATACTAAACCATAGATATAATCACAATTTAAAAGTAACTATTCTCTAAACAATATGTTTTCTTTTTTTATATCTATTGCTTGAGGATCATTCTTCAATCTCACAAAACCTGTATACATTGACTTATCCCCTAATTATCTATCGTAATTCACCTTCCCACTTAATAATAATCTATATTCAAAACAATTATTCTTGAATTGATGAACTCTTGACATTGATGTGAGAATATTTGGTGACTTCAAAATTTAGTTTGTGTTACCACTAAAACTTGTTACATCAGCTGAGCAATATTCCAAATTAGATTCCAATATTAAAATATCAGCTGGACATATTTCATTTCTCTAAAGGTAAATTATGTCTCCCACCTCTACTTAATCCCAATATACTGTTTCAAAGATAGAAACTTTCTATTCAATTTATATAGCTGGAGATTATCCTATTTTTTTGTCCTCTCCTCGAAATGAGGATATTATCATAGGTTTATAAATATCTTATTTGCGAGGTCCTGAAAGTAGAACTATATCATTTTTTGGACCATTCTAATTTTTATTATCAACATCCTGCAACCCTTTTTCTTAATTAGGTTTTTTGACAGCACTCCCTTTTTTTAATCTCTTAAAAATAGTCACTTTTCTCTTATTTATCAATTCGTCCTATTAATATTTGATATATTGATAATAAATCATCTTTATAAGAAATGCAGCAATGCCTGTTAATAAAGGAATTACAAACTAATAAAAGAGAGAAAAGTCTTCACCCTATAAATCAATAATTGATAGACAAATGATATTAATGATTATGAAAATCCAATTTCCGGGTCTGTTAGCATACTCTTGGAACATTTGTGGATAGGATAAATATGAGCGAATACCATTACGAAGTTCAGCTGAAGGAATTCCCTTCAAATTAACTGTTTCTCCCATGTCGAATTCTATCTAAGGAATCAAATGGCTCACGTACCTGGCGTGAATACAAATCATCTGATCTTCGAATCATCTTAGCTACGTACTTCTTATGAATGTACTCATACAAAGCCAAAGCAACTTTTTACATTAATTATTTAACAAATATATTATTTTTTATTGTTTTGATATAATATATAATATATTCATTTGTTTTTTTATTATCTTTATTTTCTAGGTGGTACATAATCTTTCTTTGTTGTTCTATCAGCTTTTAAAGAATCTATTTTATTTTTAAGTTTTTGCATTAATTCCTCTCTGGATGCTAGTGGTGCATCCTTAATTTTCTTTGATTTTTAACTTATCTTTTATTACTTTACATTATTATTCTATTCCTTCTTTTAAGTCTAATAAAAAGTACTCATTTTGACCATCTTTGTCAATTCTTTATATGCATTTAAAAATTACTCCATAAATTATTAATTTAATTATGTAATAAGGTAATTACATTTCTGATCCTATTGAATACTTGTAAAAAATGAGAGAACATAAAAAGATTTTACTTGTCAAATAGGAAATTTTTGGCTTCTAACTTTACGATATTTCACTTCACAAGAAGGGTCCAATTGAGGATAAACTTTACTTAAAAAATCCATTCTTTCTAATGAATGTTAGAAGAGGCAATTCAATCTTAGTATAGGATGATTATATTACTATCTGTAGAAGAGGAATGAGAAAGTTCTATGATCTTGAAAGAAAATATATTGATTATGAATTGGAATAACAAAATATCAAATTGTCTAGATATCATGAAAAAGCTTGTATTAATATTTTACATCCCATTAAACAAGCTATTTAAGAAGGAAAAAAGATTCATCTATATAAATTATTTAAAGAAAATGGTGAACACTGTTAAATAAGTTTTACTAATGGATATTGGTTAGTAGCATCTAAAAATTGTACAATTCTCTTTCAATAAGAAGAAGACTTAAATTTATATAATGATCTAAGACATACTTGGGCTAAATTAATTGCTAAATAGTGGCTAGAAATTATTAAAGAATAAAATTTTGATAATTTAAAATCCTTTCTTAATCAACATACTTTAATTGGAGAATATTGTGGAAATCCTCATTATTAACATATTACAAAGTATACTCATATTTAATTAATATTCTATGCCATTGTTAATAACAATTCTCCAGATATATGTTTACCAGTTGAATAAACTAAGTAAATTTGTGAATAATATAAATTGCAATTTGTTAAAAATTCTTCAATTAAAAATTTTGATAATTATGAAACTGTGTTAAAATAACTTGCAATCTGGTCTAAAATAATTGGAGAAGGACCTATGGAATTAGAAGGAGAAGGATCAGTAGCATATTTAGTAGCAGAAGATCCTATTGGAAATTAATAAACAATAAGTCTTTGTAAACTTAAATCTATGGAATATTTAATCTATAGAAAATTGAGAGAAATGTTAAAGATATTGATTTAAAAGATTAATCTCAATGAACATTATTAATTATCTGTTTAATTAGGAAAATTTCTTAATGAATTGTAAATAATAATCAAACAATATTCACCTCCTCAACCTATTAGATATTATCTTCATATTTCTAAATTGGCTTTTGAGGAGGTTTATAACAATAAAATTCCATTTGAAAAAATTAGATATAATTTTGTTGATTTCTTGGAAGACATATAGAATATGTAAGAAGACAAAATGAGTGAAATAGATGAGTTAGGAGAAGTGAAATAGAAGAATTTTTAAAGACATGTAAGAGTCATATTATTAACATTGCCAATGTTGTTTGAAGATAAAGTATTACAGAATTTGAAGGATAAATTAAATATCTAATGTGTTGAATGTTAATATATGTGTAGAAATCAAAAAGTATTTGCTTAAAGAGCAATATCAATATTACATATGATTCCAAAATTACCATACAATATTAATAATGAATAATAATTGAATGATTATTTAGTAAATTCAACATTATAAAACTAAGATCCAGCAAATATAATTTTTGTTTTTTTAGGTATGAATTAGGATGGATTTAAAGTTTCATTATAGAACTTATAATCTAAGAATTTTTAAGATTAGAATCCAATTATAAGTTCTTTTGGTGTTCAATTTACAACAGCAAAACCCAAAGTATAATAATTGAGTTTAGAGAGATGGTTAGAAAAAGGTTAAGTATATTTGAAAGAATGTTAAAAGAATTATCCAAATAGAACTTTTGTGTTAGATGAATTTGATCTATAAAAATTAGAATTGATAATAAAATAGTTTGAATATGCTGAATAATCATAAATAGAGGATTAAAATGAAATAGATTTTGAAGAATCAGATGAAGATGTTTGTGCTTAAAAAAATATAGTAATTATTTATCCATTGATGATACCAGGTTCTGGTAAATCAACATTGGTTAAATATTTAAAAAATAATTATAAAGATTATCCTTTTTATGATATATGTGCAGATGAAATTACACTCTAATTAATAAAGGATAAACTAGGACAAAATACAGAATCATTAGCAATATAATTTTAAAAAGTATTCCTATATATAAAGGAAGCCTTTTAATAAGAATTCCATAAAAAGATAAATGAAATAATAAATTCTAATAATGAAAAAGCTGTATTATTTATTGATCGAAATTGTGTTCCTCATACTTTATTATATATGATTGATCATATAAAAGCAATTTAAACAGATATTGCTCTTAAAAAAGGAGTTTCTATTAAAATCTATAATGTTGGATTCACATTTCCTACTCAAGAGAGTAATATATAAAATACACCTTTTTGTTTTGATTATGCACTTACTATATTAAATCGTTTATTGGTTAGAAATGATCACATTTTATTAGGAAATGATGTTCTTTATAAGACTTAAGTTTGTATGAAAAATCTGGCACTTTATACAGGTTTTAAAGCTAAAGATTCATATTTTCAAAAGTTTCATTTGTAAAAGATTATTCCTATGACTTATCCTTAAGATAGATTTAATCTTGATAAGAATGATTTAATTATTGCATAAGACCTTATTGCTAAAGTATATATATAAATTATTTAGTGTGTATTGGCATCACAATAGACTAGAGATTTAGGTTAAGGAGAAGAATTTACGAAATTAATTGAATTTATGTATAACATTAAGGAGAAGTATAAAGTGTTAGAAATTAATTTGGAAGAAGAGTGTAAATAAAATTGTCAGAGATTAGCAATTGCTATTCAAAAACTCTTGTTGCCATGATAAATATATTATTTCAGTTTTTATTTTATTGATTAAACAACTAAACTCTAATTTAAAGGAGATGAACTCAAGAATTAAGTCAAAGAACTATACTAATTTAAGACAAGGAAGTTAAGGTGAATAATGTAATATTATCTCTAAAAATTACATATAACAAACTGAATTACCAAATAAGAAATCTTTAAATATCAATCATAGCAAAAAATATATAAGTCCTAATGAAGTTCACTAATCCAATTGATTTCTATTAAAATGATTTGATATTCATAAGAATGAATACATTATTTTTTTAAATTATGTCTTTGATAGTATTATATCATATATCAAAGAAAACACATTATTTATTGTCAATCTAATAGTTTTAAATAACTAGCAAGAGTATTTAAAATCTTAATAAGGATTTTAGATCAAAATTAGAGATAAATAGTAAAGATGATACAATTATTGAAAAGGATATACGTTTGAAATATTGAATTGGATATGATTGGAATTTATGAAAATTGAGTCTAGAATTAAAAATGAAGGAACTTTAAGTTAGTTTTGACTATTTATATTATTAATATGAGTGAACTATTTCTTGGAGAGAAAAATAATTAAAATCTTCTTTTATTCGTACATAAACAAGGAAAAACATGAAAAATAGTCAGAAATTAGGAGGCATTAAAAATTTGTAACAAAATTGTAACCATGAAGACTTAGTCCTATAAGAGTAAATAAGTCAAGAGCTGAAGGATGAAATAATTTAAATTCTAAGAATGAATGAAGAGAATATATCTGTAAACGAAGCTATTATTGCACTGAAATCAGAAAATTTTATTGACAGTCATAAAGCAATAATTAAACTAAGAAGGACTTTATCTGTAAAAATATTTTAATGATTAAAAGAATTTTGAGCAGGCAGAATAAATTGCTTAAGAAAACGAACTAATTCCACTTTTATTTTATGTAATAGAATATGGAAGTACAAACTTAATAAAAATAGAAGCAGCATGTTGTTTAAATTATTTATTATTTTAGAAATCATTTCAATTTTAGCTGGTGGTAGAAGTGGAATAACAAGAATAATTATGGAAAATGGAATTCTTTAATTATCATTATCTGCATTAGATAGTAATTAAAGTGAGTTGATTATGCTAATCATAACAATTTTAGGTAAATTAGCAGGTGAATCTGTTAAATATAGAGATTCTATATTATAAGTTTGTAGTATGGAAAAAATAATAAGTAAAATGGAATCTAAATATAAATCCACTTATATATGGTGTTTAGCTAATTTATCTATAGGAAGACCAAGTCCTAAATTTGATAAAATAAAACCAGCATTTGAAATATTTGCAAAAGTAATTTTAGAAGAATTTAATTAATAAAATTTAAAAATGATTAATGATGCTATTTGGGCATTAGGATATATGATTGATGGTGAACCTAAAAGAATAGCTGCTCTAATAAATAGTGGAGTTGTACCTTAATTAATAAATTTATTACCTATGGGAAATTTTGTATCAATTCTAAGAATATTTGAATGTATTTTTTATGGAACCGATGAATAAATTAAATATTTATTAGAATGTGGATTCATTGCACATATAAGAATGATTGTAGATCCTAAAAGTAGAGAAAAAAGTGGAGATATGATTTAAACCTTTGCAGCAACAGAAACTTTGTTTAAGGTTTTATCTAATTAAAACTTTCTGATCTCTCTTTTTAGATCATTAAGTGATAATAATTCTAATTTAAGAGGAGATGCTTTAGAAGTTATTGGAAATGCTATTTAACATGGGACTAATGAAGATGTTAATTAACTTGTTAAAAATGGACTTATTTTATATATACTAAGAATGTTTGAAATTGCAAATGAAAAAGAAATAGCTGTTAATCATCTTAAAAAAGGACTCGAAATACTTATTAAAATTCTTAGAAAAGGGGAAATTAAACTCAAAGACAATAAGTCTAATTAATTCTTTACTTTATTTAAATAATTAGATGGAGTTAGTATAATTCAAAAACTATCATCCTGTAAATAGGACGATGTTGCGAAATATGCTTTAATATTTAAACAGGAATTTGCCATATGAATATATTAAATAATATTAAATATAATTAACAATTTTAACTATTAATGATCTTGATCATTTATTTTCTCTTACCTACTATAAGCAAAGCAATTTAATCCTATTTCGTTAAGTATGGTGAGGTTAAGACCTTATTTAAAGTAATGGAAGCATTAGAAGCCTAACTTATTTTGATTGAGTATTGATTAAATTTAATCTAGTGATGAGNAATCTGTTAAATATAGAGATTCTATATTATAAGTTTGTAGTATGGAAAAAATAATAAGTAAAATGGAATCTAAATATAAATCCACTTATATATGGTGTTTAGCTAATTTATCTATAGGAAGACCAAGTCCTAAATTTGATAAAATAAAACCAGCATTTGAAATATTTGCAAAAGTAATTTTAGAAGAATTTAATTAATAAAATTTAAAAATGATTAATGATGCTATTTGGGCATTAGGATATATGATTGATGGTGAACCTAAAAGAATAGCTGCTCTAATAAATAGTGGAGTTGTACCTTAATTAATAAATTTATTACCTATGGGAAATTTTGTATCAATTCTAAGAATATTTGAATGTATTTTTTATGGAACCGATGAATAAATTAAATATTTATTAGAATGTGGATTCATTGCACATATAAGAATGATTGTAGATCCTAAAAGTAGAGAAAAAAGTGGAGATATGATTTAAACCTTTGCAGCAACAGAAACTTTGTTTAAGGTTTTATCTAATTAAAACTTTCTGATCTCTCTTTTTAGATCATTAAGTGATAATAATTCTAATTTAAGAGGAGATGCTTTAGAAGTTATTGGAAATGCTATTTAACATGGGACTAATGAAGATGTTAATTAACTTGTTAAAAATGGACTTATTTTATATATACTAAGAATGTTTGAAATTGCAAATGAAAAAGAAATAGCTGTTAATCATCTTAAAAAAGGACTCGAAATACTTATTAAAATTCTTAGAAAAGGGGAAATTAAACTCAAAGACAATAAGTCTAATTAATTCTTTACTTTATTTAAATAATTAGATGGAGTTAGTATAATTCAAAAACTATCATCCTGTAAATAGGACGATGTTGCGAAATATGCTTTAATATTTAAACAGGAATTTGCCATATGAATATATTAAATAATATTAAATATAATTAACAATTTTAACTATTAATGATCTTGATCATTTATTTTCTCTTACCTACTATAAGCAAAGCAATTTAATCCTATTTCGTTAAGTATGGTGAGGTTAAGACCTTATTTAAAGTAATGGAAGCATTAGAAGCCTAACTTATTTTGATTGAGTATTGATTAAATTTAATCTAGTGATGAGAATAAATTAATCACTAACTCATAGTTCTGCTTTCTATAAAATCGAACTTTATTCGCAGAAGGCTAAACCTTTTAATTGCCAAATTATGAATTGGATCCTTTTTTTGAAAACTCTGATCTCTTAATTGATGTTTTTATTTAAGGAAATAGTGAAATTTATGGATTAACTATAAATAATCGTCTTTTTCATGCCAATCTAAAAAACAAATTCACAAAACTTTATGATCTTAATTTAACTAATGATTAAAATTCTATACCTCAACTTATTGCTTCCTCTGAAAATCTTATTTTAGCTTCTGCTAATAATGCTTACTATTTAGATTTTAGAAATCTAGAAAATAAAGGCAAGATTTAGAATTGGCAGAGTAGACAAATCAGATATTACTCTGAAATTATCGATAACTATATATTTTCAGCTATCGGATAAGATGGTTTAGAAATTTATTTTATAAATCAGGACTATTTATCTTATAGATTAGATTAATAATCTATTGGATTATTGGCAGTGGATTTTAGAGATTTTTCTATTGTTAAAATTAATGGTACAAATTATTTTATATACATTCTATGTAAGATTAATGGTGTTATCATTATTGAATTAGCAATATAAAATGAAAAAATCTTAAGTAAATTAATCTTGAAAAACATTGGTTCTAAAACTGATGGAATTGCTCTTACTATGAGTTTTAATGAAGCTCTCTTTGTTGCTTATAAAACAAAAAATTAATACTATGTGATTCAATTTAATATTGAACTCATTAGTAAAAAATGGGGTTCTGTAGCTAGATTCAACATTTCTCATAAAATTGTTGATATTGATGTTAATGATTAATATATTCTCGTGTAGGGAACTCACACTCATTTTCTAGTTTATTATTTGAATAAATAGGATATGATTCCTTTTAAATTAACTTCTGTATAGCAATTTGTTTTATTTGATAATTACATCTATGGAACAACATCAAAAAATTTATTTTAATTTCTACCAAAAATATAGCCCATTTAAATTAAGTGCTTTATTGATTGTAATTTTATTTTATAGAAATTTTAGCTGATTTAAAATAAATTGAATAAAAATATAAATTAATGTATCGAACTAATTAAGGTTGGAAATAAAAAGAATTTAAAGTTAACTTTAATAAAAAATCTTTTAATATTTCTAATAACTTTATATTTTTCGTTTTATTACTCTTTTTGATATCAATACTTTTTTTTATAGCTTATCGTTTATATCAAAATTAAAGAGAAATTTTAACAGAAAGTTAAATACTAGAATAAAAAATTAGATCTTTACCTTAAAATAGAGCTTCTAAATTATTGATGCCTCATACTTTTAGAGCTGTTCAACCAAATGCTGAAACCAGACTTCATACCAATGATTTTTCAGATGAAAATACTATTGTTTAGAAAAATAAGAAAATTTTTTGATATATATATAAAAATTAAATCTTGGAATATGGTTTTTTGAATTGGATTTTCAAACTAACTTGGTTATATAATAAAGATATTATTGCCATTGAAACTGATTTAGATTTCTATTTTAACTGTTTTCAAATTGATATCTACATTAAAATAAATTCTTTTAAAACTTTAAAAAAACATAGATATTTGCTTTTTTTAAAATTAATCAAAATTTTAAAGATTTAGACTAATTTAATGATATTATCTATTCAAATTTTTGATCACTAATTGATCTACGTTACTTTCAAATAAAAATTTTATAAACTAATAAATATATTTCAATAAATTATTTTTTTGAATTATGATTTAATATGCTGAATGATTATTCATCTAATTTTTGTTGATATAATTTTTTTATTTACATCAACCAGAAATTGTTGTTTCAAGAATATTTAGATATTTTATTGAAACTCAATTTATTTTAATTATATTTTTATAGGAATTTGTGAATTTGAATTGTTTAATCTTAATAAAGAATATAATATTAGAATATATGATATTAATGCTATTTTATTAGAATGGTTTATAAATCAGAATCTTTTATTTTATTAGGTTTCTAAAATATTAAATAGAGTAGTACAAAGATGAAATAAGTAAACAAGAATGATAAGACATATAATTTATCATTTGAAAGCAATAGTTAATAATAAATATGAAAAGTAGTAAAGAATATATAAAATAAGAGAAATTAAAAAGAAATTTATATAATTTTAAAGATAGATATATAAAATTGATATTTTGATACAAATATCATAATATGGAGTCTGTGTATTTTTGTTGAGGTAATAGAGGATTAGGAATAAACCAATACATAGTTAAGTTTCTTCTTTTTCTATCCTTATAAGATTTAATCTTCCTTTAGGTGATTTTAAACATTCTAAAAATAGAGATAATAAGTAAATACTCAATAATATAATATGCTGAATACAATAGTAATCCAGAGGCAGATATTTTAATTAAAAGAGGAGCATGGAGTTCTTCATAAGTTCTGATTAATAAAACAGGACTAAGGATTCCTCTAAAAATTAAGAATAATGAGAAATAAAGCAGTTCGATTGATTCGTAGATTTTAGTTTATCTTAATCCAAAACAACCCAATATATGTCTGAGATGCATAGGCAAATTTGATATTTCAGTAATGAACATACCAACTATATAGTGATAGAGTAAATCTATTACATATAATAATATGTCCATATTTTTTATTAAGTATGCTTTCTCCAAATGCCATTAAACTAATGATATGATGAAATATCAACCAATAGTCATACAAATCGAAATAAGTACAGATTATGACGTCGTATGCAAAATAACCTGCACTGACAATCATAACGAATTGCATCTCTGAAGAATTCATTTCTTGTAATTAGTAAGGAGTTTAAGATAGTATGATAATTAGTGATCCCCAAAAAGTAAATTATCCATGTAAAATTGACACTATCCTATTGAAGATATCTATCTGTTTTTTAGAACTAAGGTTATTCAATTTGATTCTATCATAGCAAAGTATAAATAATGCACTCCACACTATAAAACAGTAACTGAACATTCTTAACTAATCACTTGATTCATTTACTAAATCCCATTAATACATTATTATATGAATATTAAAGTTAAGTTTCCTAATGGGCATTATTTAAACTTCTAATGTCCATAGCATTGGACTACTGAATAAGTAATGCTTTAACATATAATAGATTCGCTATTTCTCTGCTAAAAACTAATCTTTCTATGATCCAGATGCAATCAAATTATATTATGATGGCGTGGAATTAATTGGAAATGAGAAGTTTATACATATTACCAAAAAAAAATATGAATAAATTGTATTTCTCATAGGACTTACTACTTAAGTACAAACTTAATAACCAAACAAACAATTGATCTATTTAGAATATACTAAAAATATTCAAACGATATAATTTATCAATTCAAATTATCCAACTAATTTCTAACCCATTATGTCTTATATGCCTATCATGGGATTGAAGTTTTAGTCAAATAATTAACCAAAAAATTTTAAAGTTCAATAATAAAGAATATAAGGTAAAAAATTTATTAGAAATTAGATGATACAGATAGTCCCATTTAATAAGAGATCTTTTTCCATTTTAAAATGATTTATTATATTGGAGCATTTTATACTCTATTTAGCTCTTATTTTAAAGGGTAAAATTATTATTATCTACTTATTATTATTGAAACATACTATTGGATTAAATATCAAGAATTTAAGGGTCAATTAAGACGATAATAGCAATTAATACAAAGATAATAATAATAGAGAGATTTAAATTAAAATTAAGAATAATATTAACAGCAATAATAATAAATAATAAGATTATGTTAGATTTTATACTTAAGAATAAATATAGTATAAAAACAAAATCAAAATAATAGTTCTAAATAGAATAAATAAAAATTTAAGTAATGACTAGAATAAGATATACTTGATGAAATGGATTCATCGATGATTAAGATAATGAAGTAAATTTTTAGATGGATAATAAAGAACATTTATAAGATTTTTTAATTAGACTTGCTAAAATTTTGTAAGAATAAGAATTATAAAGATAATAATAATAAAATTAAATAGAAAAAAATGAAGATATACATGAATCTAAAGAATAAGATAAATAAAATCAATAAAGTTAAAATGATTAATAAGATATTCAAGAATAAAAAGTAGAGTTGTAATTTAATGAAAAATAATTTCATGAAAACATTGATGAATTGATTAATAATGGAATTACTTAATAAGATAGTGAGAATATTCTTGGTTAATCCTAAAATACTGAAAAAATTAAAGAGGAAAAAGTAGTAGCTTAAAAAGAAAAAAAAAATAATGAGGAAAACATGGAAGAGATTTAATAAGAAAAACAATAAAATGATGAACAGGATGAAGAACCTGAATTAGAAGAGGAAGTTCTAAAACTTAAAAAATTATAATAATCTAATAATTTTAAAAAATATTTTATTAGAATGGAAAAGGACTTTAAGTTCATTTTTTAAAGCAGTTTTCGAATTAATTTATAGTTATATAATGTCTTTATTTCCATTTTGGCCTGTAGGTTTATATCAATAAGAATGAATTAATTAAATATAAATTATTATATAAATTAATTGATGGATGCTAAAAGCTCTTAAAATATGATGCTCAACATGAGAGAATAATTTAGATAAGAAATAAGAAAGAAAGATTAAGAATCTTTTTTTTAAAGGAAGAGATTAAATTTCTAGTAATCATCTTAATTACCTGATATTTAATTAGATTAAGCAATCCCTTAAATAAAAGAATGTTTATTATAAAAAAATTTAATACAATTAGGATTACTTCATTAAGTAGTTTTTAAATTGATAAATGATAATGTATAAAATGAAGTTTACTTTTTAAATAACTAATATTTAGAACTCTCAATATAATCTATTTAATTTGGTTCATTGATATGCTATTAAGTATTAACAAATTTATGTTTAAATCCTTTATATCCAAATAATCCAATAAGTTAGGTATTGATTACAAAAGCAGTGAATTTAATAGGTCAAGTAAATTTATAGTTCGAAAATGTAAAATATAATAGTATATTAGTAAATATAAGTTCGTTCATAGGTTCAATAAAATTTGGATCCAAAAATTAGTTAAGCAATAGAAATGGAACAAAATAATAAGTTTAAGGAAAATCTAGAGAATTAATATAAATTTATATTCTTTTTTCTAGGAAACATTATATCATAATAAAAATTGCAATATTTGAATTTGCTTCCAAATTTACTTTAAATTGGATCTATTGCAGAAGGATAATTTTTAACTAGTGTAATATTTTTATTAAATTCTATTATTGAGCATTAATAAATTGATTCTAATTAAAGATATATTGGTTTAAAGATTATTGTTCAAGCTTTAAGAAAAGAATAATGTGAAGAGTATTTAATGCCATTAGGTAATTTATATAATTCTCAATTTGATGAATTATTGTTGTAATCTAATGTATTTGAAACTATTATTAATCATCATTGTACAATGGTAGATAAATGTTTAGCCATAATAAAGTAGTTTACACTTTCAGATTCTTTATTAGTTGCGCATGTAAGAAATATATTAATATAAGAAATTATTGGATTTAAAAATTTTAGATAAGTTATTATAAAATTTAAATAACAAATCATAAAGTATTAGAAAAGAGAGTTACTTAATTTTATCAAATTTAAGTTTTAATGATAATAATGCTGCCTTAAAAATTATTAATCATCCTATACTTTTTAAGATTATAGAAAATATTATAGCATCAACTAACGAAAAGAGTTATTGTATGAGTGTAATTTTGAATTTATAAGCAACAGGAGATGAGATTGTATCAAAAAAGTTGTTAGATATAGGATTTATATAAATAATTTGTAGTTTTTTAGATATTAATGAAGTTGGTTTAATTAAATAATTATTAGATTCAATTTTAAGATTATTATTGATTTAAAATGTAAAGGAATAATTAAGATAATATAATTTTAAAATAAAATTAGACAAGATTTTATAAGATTTTGATGATAAAATGATTCAAGATTTACATGGAAAGATAATTTAACTTTTGTGAATATTTATGTTGTTGTAAATATTAATATGAAATAACTAAGTATATCATGATGAATCTCTAAATGAAGATTGTTTGACATGTATTGTAGGTTTAAATGCTTCAACTTTAGTATGTGGATGATAATTTTAATAAATATTCCTGTTTTATGATTAACTAAGTTAGATAATTAAAGAGGAATTATTAACTAGGCCATCATGAACAATCATATCATCCATACATTATTGTCTTATCTCTTTATTTTGAAACCATATATGTTGTAAAGCTTCTTTTGCATTGAGTCTTTTTTTTGGATCAATTTATAACAATCTACTCAACAGATCTTTAGTAATTTTATCTAAAGCAGGATGATCCTAAAATTATGCTTTGCAAATTAATTCAATAGTTCCATGAGCAGTTTCATCTTGGAATGGCAATTATTTAGTTAATAATTAATAGAGAATAACCTTAAAATATAATGATAAATAATTATATACTCCAACAGCCCACATATCAACTTTGTAGGTCTAACTAATTTTAGTGTAAATTTCAGGTGCACAATAAAATTATGTACCTGTTGGTGTCCACATATCAATATATTATTATTTGATATAAAATCTCTTACTGACTCCAAAGTCTAAGATTTTTACATTTAAACCATCAAATAGAATGTTATCAGGTTTTATATCTCTATGGCAAACCTTTTATTTATGCATATAAAGTATGCCATTCAACAATTCACTATTATTACTACATATTTTAATATACCGTATAACTATCTTAATTTCCATTAAATTCAATTTGTTTATCTAACTTTCTAAATTTGGATATTAACACAATTCCATAATTTAATAGGAATATCCATTTTATTAGTTTATGTATAATTCTTTTACTTTAATTAAATTTGGATGTTAAAGTATAGATCCAATCTAATAAGTTTTTCTTATTGATGCAATTATTTCAGGGTCACTTGATCTAAATATTTTTACAGCAAATTCTTGATTATCATTTTTTCTAATAGCTTTATGAACAATTGCATGAGCTCCTTCTCCTAATTTATTACCCAATTCATAATTATCTGAAAAATCAGCAGCAATTTTTGATTACTATGAATATGGTGTGTCTAATTATACTATTCGAAAATAAGTATATCAATTACAATCACTATTTGAATGTCTTAATTTTTATTATTCTTTCATGATTATTATTTTTTTCTTCAATTAAGTTCTTATCTTTTCCTTATAGGATGACACTTTTTATTATAACTTCTCATTAGGACTTTATAACATTATTAATTATAAAATAAATTAAATAAATCATTATCTAACTTTTTGTTTCTTTTTTAATTATTAGATACAAAAAGATTCTTTAGCCATAATAAAAATCTATTAAGCATTTTTATTTCCAGTTTCAAGTACCATTTCTGAGAATTTGGTTTTTTTATTGATACTTTCAGAATTATAATCATTACTTAATAATTCAAAAGGATTTCCTTATTCAACAATTACTCCATTTTCTAAAACTATCACTCTATCATAATGTGCAATAGTATTTAATCTATGTGCTATTGTTAATATTGTACAATCCATAAATTTAGATCTTATAATTTCTTGAATAGCTTAATCAGTTAAAATATCTATATTTGCAGATGCTTCATCTAGAATAAGAATCTTTCTTCTCATTAAAATTACTCTAGCTAGACATAATTACTATTTTTGACCAGCTGATAAATTTAAATCCATAATATCACAATTCAATAATAACTTTTATTATTCTATCAAACTATCCATGTTAACTTCTGATAAAGCTTTCCAAATGTCTGAATCAGTATATAAATTTTATGGATCTAAATTTTACTTGATTGATCCATAAAATAAAAGTGGTTATTATGGGATTATTGCTAAAGCTTTTCTTAATTGATTTAAAGACAATCCTTTTACATCACAACCATCTATAAGTATTTAACTCTATGAATCTATTTCAACCATTCTAAATAAAGCTGCTATTAAAGATGATTTACCAGCACCTGTTCTACCTACAAAAGCTATCTTCTCTTCAGGTTTTATTTCCATCTCAATATTTTTTAATACTGCTTTCTACGTTACATCATATTATAATGATAAATTTCGTAATTCTATACTTCCCTATTTAGGCCAAGCTTTAGGTAATATTAATTTACTATTCTCATTGTCTTTTTCCTAGTCAATCTCTAATATATCCAATAATCTTTCATATGAATTGAATAATCCACTCAATTCCATTAATTATCTTAGAAGTGTATTCTAAGAGTGAAATGATTATAATAATAATAATGCTTATGAAAATAATGAATTATCTTCAATGAATGCTATTATTAAATAAGTTCCTGATGTTTTTGTAAATAAAGCTATCAAATCTACATATTATGAAAAACATTTCTATGTCTAATGATATAAATAATTTGATTTAAAACTATTATTTGCTAATATAAAAAATCTCTATTTTAGTTAGTTGAATTAATTTGATAAACGATAATGAGTCAAACCTTACATATATATCTTAAATTATGATAGTTAAGGAGCCCTTTAACTCAAATCATTTATCTTTAGTTAAGATAAAACCTAAACAACTGTCTTAAATAAAATATAACTTAAGAATAATGTAAGCATTATTGGTAAAAAAAAGAATGGCTAAAGAAATCCTATCATCAATAGAGATGTAATAAATTAACAACCATCCTCAAATATATCAATTAATACTATAGGCATTTGATTATCTAATATTGATAAATCAGTAGAGTATTTATTTATTATAATACCACTTGGTAATTTATCAAAGTATCCTTTTTTTCCATTAGATAGAGCTAACATTGATTTTGAAAATATTTAATTATTCATATCCAAAATTACATAACTACAAATAGAATATTTTAGTATATTATTAATTAAATTAGTTAACACTAGAAACAATATAATAAAAGCATATTTTCTTATACCTTCATCATCTGCATTTAGTGTAAGTAATCTATAAAATAAATTTCTAATTATTTCAGTTAATACATTTAATACTAATATTATAAATAATTTTGATCTAGTCACATAAAGTAATAACTATTTAATTGTTTTAATAACTTGTTAATTTGGAGTTAGAAGATTTGTTGGTTAATAAAATAGATTTTCTGAATTTTATTTCTTTTTGATATCTAAAGATTACTATTATCTATTTTTAGAATTTTAATTGCTTTCAATAATTTCAACAGGTTATATATTTAATATCTTCTCTATTTATAAACCAACTTCATTTGCTTTACCTTAACAAATTATTTATCCTTCTTCTAATACAACTATATAATCACATTTTAATGCATAAGATAATTAATGAGTAGTCATAATCACTATTGGACTTGGTTAATTTTTATTTTTAGTTGTTTAATATTAAAATATAAATTATTAGATAGCCTAAGAAAAAAGATGTTTAGCAACTTTTGAATCCACTGCTGAAAGTGGATCATCCAATAAATAAACACTTGGCATTGCATATAAAGCTCTTGCTAAACTTAATCTAGCTCTTTAACCACCTGATAATGTTGCACCATTTTCTCCAATTATTGTATTTTCCAAATCTGGAAGATTAACTAAATCTGATAAAAAATTAGATGCTTTCAAAACCTAAAATTATTTATTTTTATTACCTCATGAAATAATTCTTAATTGTATTCTCTACCAAATAAAATGTTCTCTTTTATTGTACTTGGATTTATAAATGGTTCTTATTCAACATAACCAAATGTTAAATTTTCTACTAATTCTAATTAACCTTAAATGTAAGGGATTTCTTTTAAGATTAATTATAAGAATGTAGTTTTACCTGATCCAGTTTTACCTATAATACTAATCAATTATCCTCTGTTCCCAGTAAAGTTTATATTTTTTAGCAATGGCTATTTTTACATATCCCAATAACAATAAACAGAACGAATTTAAATTGCTTCATCTTATAAAACTTAAAAACTTATCTTTGTTTATGGATTGGTTTTTTCTGTTAATTTTATTAAAGAAAATTAGCTTAATTCTTTATTGCTTGAGAGTTCTAAATAACTTTATGCATTAGCATTTGGGTGATCATTTTAAAATTCAAAAATTTAAGCAAAAAGTGGCTAAATTAATGTAAAATTTTTAATTCTTTTAAAAATAACATTTAAATTAATAATAGCTTTTAACCCATATGATACTTGATGTACACAATAGTATCTTATGGATGCCATTAATTGTATAGTTAAAATTATCTTCTATAGATTTAGAGGAATACCTAAATTATAAATGATGATTAAAAATAAAAAGGAACCCCAAATATTTATTGATTAATTTATTGATCTATCAATTAAAGTTAATATCTAAATTAAAATATATTATTTCCATTCAAGATGCCTAGTTTTTAATATCATTTATCTGACAGTCTCTTACCAACAATACATTTTTATAGTTTAAATATTATCTAAAAAATTAGTTTGTTATTTTAATCTTAAATCTTAATATTATTTGAGTTTTTTTATCATAGATTATATGCATTTTTAAATAATTGTTTAAGTTGGATAAGTAATGATACATATCATTACTGCCATTAAACCATATGGTCCTTAAAATTAAAGCTAAAATCTTTATAATCAACTTTACCCACAAAATACAACCAGAACATAATAAGGAAATTGGAACTATTGGTATGCAATATATGTATCCATATTACCATTCTAAAGTTGATAAATCACTGCATATAATATTTAGAATGGAACCAGAATTCGATTTCTAAATTGAACAATTGGATAGAGTCGAGATTTTCTCAATCAAAATATACATTAGAATTTATCGAAGTTTTCCTCCAAACTTACTTAACTATATACTACAATTTATTAAAATAATTTACTATTGATAATGTCTTCCAATTATTGTAATTATTGATAAAAAAGCTAAATATAATGCATTCAATTAAGCTTATTCTTTATCATTATTCTGAAAATTTTCTATAATATTATACAACAATAATGAAATAATAAAATTTGAGTTTGATTCAATCATTCCTAAAATCAACATTATGAGAGTAAAACATGAATTAAATTTCCAAAAAAATAAGTTGTAAAAGCTAAACTCTTATTTGAGTTTTAATTCTTATCTTATCTAATTTACATAATCATGGCTGTATGACTCGATTTAATCTTATTCAGATAATTCTGGCAAATCCTTTATATTGACTGTTTTGTGAAATTTTATTATTTTTTTATAAATTGTAATTATTGCCTTAATTGTGCTGATAAAAAATAACTCTTTTAAAAGAGTACATCTATCTTTAAATCTAGTGACTTAAATAACTTTAGCTTATTTTTTATGCTTAAGTATATCAGTTTTCAATAACTTTACTGACTAAGGAATTTGATTTTAGTGAATATCATATTTCTTTTCATTTTCATTTTATAAGCTGAATACTCTTTTTTGATATAACTTAATTTCATTATCAGCTTAAATTGAACATTAAGAATTCACTTGAAAATCTGTATTTTTTTATGTTTCTTTTTTTAAATGTCCTGCATCTTTGAAAATTTTTGTTACTTAAGTGTCTCTCTTTTGAATCTGCTAATTTAATTCATCCCATTACCTTTTTAGTAGATTCAATTGGATTTTTCATTTGTACAGGGATTTATGAAGAATTAAGTATCTACATTTCTACATCAACAGGAGAAATAATATTAATCTCATTAACTAAGCAATCTTATTTATTATTGTGTAGCTACTCTTCCTTACTTTATTTATCAGATCGAGTAAATATATTCGTTTTCATTTAATTATTAATACATTTGAAACTATACCTGTATAAAATTTATGGTTATTATTTATATCATTTAAATTTATAGTTTCCTTTATACTTGTAAAGAATTTGTCTGTTTAGTGTTTACAAGTTTTCAATTAATTAATTAAACAGTTTTAATCAGATGACTTTAATTAAAAAGTGATCAATATAAAAAACTTTTATCTTTCTGATAATATTTTGCGGTAGCTTTAAAATCTTTATACACTTCTAGAATATTAAAATATAATTTGGCTTTAATCAATCAATAATTTAATTGGTCTAAATTTACATTTTGCAAAAATTTGATATCTGCAAAAAATTCTAAATTTTTTATACGAATGTTATGGCCTTAATCTATATTAAATTAAAAAATAAGGAAAGTTATCTCATAGCTTAAATTTTTGAAGAATGAATATGCTAAAAATAATATATTAATAAAATTTATTACATTTATGGGGGTTTGCACTAGTCACTCCTAAAAATAAAGAAAAATAAAAGAAGAAGAAAAAAACGATACAATCCAATAAAACAAGAATTCTAATAATGAAACGCTAAAAGGAAATTTAGAAAATGCCTATAAACTCTCAAAATCTCCCTCAAGCTAATTTTCACATTAAGGAATTTAAAAGTAAAAAATTGATATGAGTATGATACTGGATATTGCAAGAAGAAAGAGAGGAAGTGTATAAACTGAAAAAAAATCATAATATAGTCAAGAGAAAAGTGAATATTCTAATAAAAATAGATCAAATAAGAAAACCTTTAAGGTGAATATAGCTTTAAAATAAGTCCCTCTCTAATAATGTTATGAAATATTGAGTTAAAATGGAAATAATATTTAATTAAGTCATTTAATAACAAAAAAATTGAGAGTCGGAATATTATACGAAAATAATCCATAATCAAAAGAACTTATTCAATAAATTTTGGAATTGCAATTAGTAATTTATATAATTATCGAAGTTTCATCCAAGATTATAGAATATCATTGAAATATTAGAATTCGATAATTAAATTTTAATTGTAAAGGAACATTTTGAACATAAGGATTTAAGAACAAGTCATATTGAAAATTAAACTGAAATTTTAAAATAAATCATAGAAGCTATTGAATATTTGCATTAAAAAAATATAATTCACGGCTATTTAAATATAGAGTCTTTTCAAAAATGTGCTACAATAGATAAAATTAAATTAATAGATATTGAAAAAGTGTTATCTAAGCCAAAACATAGAGAAGAAGAAATATAATATTTTTCACCTGAAGCATGTAATAAAGGAAATATTTATACAAAGTAAAGAGATTGTTGGGCTATTGGAATAATAGGATTAGAATTATTTGCAAAATAACACCTTTTTCATGGAAATAGTTTTGAATTAATTTAGCAAGACATTCTAACTAATAATTAAATAATCATTTAAACTATATTGCATAAAATTGAAAATGTCCAATTATCAGAGCTATTATAATTATTACTGAATTCATAATAAAAAAGCAGAATTTCTTTATAAAAAGCTTCAGCACATATTTGTTTTTAATCTAAATAACTCATAAGTAAAAAGAGATTATCTTAAATTATTAAGAAAGTTTTTGAATTAAAAAAGAAATCATGTATCTATTAATGCTTAGCTTTATTTATTTTAAGAAATATTAATATTGAATTTAATGAAGATAGAGAAAGTTAGTTATTTTATGAGATGGATATATCGAATGATGGGAAAGTGTGTAAAATAGAATTAATGGAATTTATGAAAAAAAATAAATATACAGAGGAAGAAATTGTTAATTGTTTTATAGAGATAGAGAAATGTAATGATGGAATTTGTTTTGATTATAATGAGTATATTACTTCTCTCTTTGAAACTTCTACATTTCTAAATGAAGATTAACTCTAAGAGGCTTTTTCATAATTAACATATTCTAATTAAGGAATAACTCTAGGAAAAATGATATCTCTATTTCCTCATCGTGAAGATGAATTAAAATTAGATTTTAATTAATTCTATGATAAAATTGTAAAAAAATATAAATAATTTTAGATAACATATCCTACCTTTAAATAAATAATGTGTAACTGATTGTTTATTATTTTGTTATTTAGAAATTCTAAACAGATTTTATACATATCATTTATCTTCTATTAATTCAAACATAATTTTAATAAATTCCTCAAAATTAATCTAAAATATAGAACAACATTTTACTAATTGATTTGGAATTTCTTGGAGTCCTTTTTCAATTTCTGCTTCTTTATTTCTAAATAATGGTTGCAATTCATTAAATCCGAAAGGTTGACCATTGTTAATTTGATTAAAAATACATTTCAAGTTTTCATTAGTAATAATGGTTTTTGGATTTGAAAGGGCAATCAAAAATTCAGAAAATTCTATATCACCACTATGATTAAGATCTGAAGCATCAAATATTTCATTTACAAATTCTTATATTTCTTAAGGCTTATATTGTGTATTAAAATATTGTGTATAATGTTTAACTAATTCTGGTTTAGTGAGTCTACCATTTTTATCTAAATCTAAACCCATAAATATTTCTTAAATTTGGGAATATTAATCATCAAATTACTTAATCATCATTAAAAGAAAACAAGATTGAAGAAAGTTTGCTTCTTTTTTTTTAGTTAATTCATCCAAACATTATTTAAACTATGTTTTAGTAACTTTTTCATAACCTTTCATCCATTTTGATTCTAAGGCTTAAAAAAAATCTATTCTTTTTGATGGAGCAACTTATAAAAATTAAAGTATTAAATCTTTAATTAATGGATTTCCAACTTACTTCTCTAATTCTTTTTAGATAAAACCCTCTTTTTTACAAGATTGTTAAATATTATCTAAACATTCTTATAAAGATTTTGCATCAAATGGTAATTTACCAAAAGTAAGAGCCATTGTTATTATTCCAATTGCCCATTAATCTCTAGCAGCAGTATAGTTTTATTTTTCATTACAACATTCAGGTGATAAAAACTATACATTATTTTCATTTATATCTGATTTACAAAATAAACAACTAAAATCAGCAAGTTTAAGTTTAAATTGTCTTTTTCCTTAATTATATTTTTCAAAACTCCTCAAACTTAATTAACCATGATATAACCCAAATTTATGTAAATATCCCATTAATTCATAAATTTATCTACAACATTAAGCAGCAAAATCTTCATCTAAATTGGAATTTTTCTCTGAAAGCAATGTTAATAATGATCCACCATTACAATAATCAGAAATTATTGTATAATATTTATCTTCTTAAAAAATTCCATATATATCAAGCAAGTTTGGATGATTCTATAATATTTCAAATATTTACTAATTATAAGTACAATATTTTATTAATAAATGCACTTGTTGGAGTACTTATTTCAAATCTTTCAGCTATTCGAATTTTTCCAGTAACAATATGTTGAACAACAAACATATTATCTTTAAAATTTACTCCATCTAAATAGCGAAGGTTTTTTCGAATATAATATTTTGAAATAGGGTCGTGTGTGATTGAAAGTGTTACTTTAAGACTTTCTTACTTTTTCATAGTCTTTTTTTTTTGATTAGGTAAATCTAAACCTTTAGATTCTGCACTTTTTCTTGAAGCATTTGAAATATTGATTCCACCTGTAAAAGCTTCACTTCCTCTTTCTTTATCTGGTTCAGTTCTTATTCTCTCATCTCTTAATTGTTTTTATTTATTTTATCCTGATCCTGCACAAGAACCCATTTAATAATATATTTATAATATCGAAAAAATCACATTTCCATTATTAATTTCTGATTTTATAATCATTAAATTGATCTAAATCTCAAAAGTTACAAAGGTCTCACTTATTATGTATATTTATTTTTTATTTAAAATAATTAGATATTTTCAAATTCTCACCTAAAAAATTTAACTATTAGAGGTTTTCAAAACTTTAAATTATTAATTAGTTGCTAAAAGTAATTGAAAAAAGTTAATGATTTACTCACTTTCGTATGAATTTCTCATTATTTTTTTATTTAAAAACGATATTATTATAAATATATACTTTGAATAATGAATTCTATTTTTAATATTCATTTGATTAAGAATTAGGAAAATTGTAGAATTGACAAGACTTTTTTTAAAGTACAAATTTTGAATTAAATTTTAAATGGGATTTATCCACAAATATTCGAGGATTTATACATTTCTTTATAAAGTTTCAAAATATATAAATTATAGATTTTTAAAAAAATACTTCATTTAGTTTGATAATTTAGAAAAGTTTTAATCTTCTATCATATTTATTAATTATATACGATGCAATAATAGATATTTCTATTAAAAGTAATGATTTATTTCTCTCCAAAGCATATATGCATTTTATATGATTTATAAGAGCTCCTAAAAATTATAATGAAAAATAAATTATTAGAAAATATTTAGCATTATTTTGAAAAAGTATTTTAAATATGATTTTCAAATACCATAAAGCTCAAAAATTTCTAGAAATTTAAGAAGCATAAAAAATATAAGTGTTAAGATTCAAAAATATCAACTTCATTTATAAAACTTTAATGAGATTCTTTTTAAATAATTAATTGAAAAGATGTATGTTTTTTAAGACATTTCTTATATCTTGATCAAATAAATCGTGAATAGTACTTAATTTTNTTTCAAATATTTACTAATTATAAGTACAATATTTTATTAATAAATGCACTTGTTGGAGTACTTATTTCAAATCTTTCAGCTATTCGAATTTTTCCAGTAACAATATGTTGAACAACAAACATATTATCTTTAAAATTTACTCCATCTAAATAGCGAAGGTTTTTTCGAATATAATATTTTGAAATAGGGTCGTGTGTGATTGAAAGTGTTACTTTAAGACTTTCTTACTTTTTCATAGTCTTTTTTTTTTGATTAGGTAAATCTAAACCTTTAGATTCTGCACTTTTTCTTGAAGCATTTGAAATATTGATTCCACCTGTAAAAGCTTCACTTCCTCTTTCTTTATCTGGTTCAGTTCTTATTCTCTCATCTCTTAATTGTTTTTATTTATTTTATCCTGATCCTGCACAAGAACCCATTTAATAATATATTTATAATATCGAAAAAATCACATTTCCATTATTAATTTCTGATTTTATAATCATTAAATTGATCTAAATCTCAAAAGTTACAAAGGTCTCACTTATTATGTATATTTATTTTTTATTTAAAATAATTAGATATTTTCAAATTCTCACCTAAAAAATTTAACTATTAGAGGTTTTCAAAACTTTAAATTATTAATTAGTTGCTAAAAGTAATTGAAAAAAGTTAATGATTTACTCACTTTCGTATGAATTTCTCATTATTTTTTTATTTAAAAACGATATTATTATAAATATATACTTTGAATAATGAATTCTATTTTTAATATTCATTTGATTAAGAATTAGGAAAATTGTAGAATTGACAAGACTTTTTTTAAAGTACAAATTTTGAATTAAATTTTAAATGGGATTTATCCACAAATATTCGAGGATTTATACATTTCTTTATAAAGTTTCAAAATATATAAATTATAGATTTTTAAAAAAATACTTCATTTAGTTTGATAATTTAGAAAAGTTTTAATCTTCTATCATATTTATTAATTATATACGATGCAATAATAGATATTTCTATTAAAAGTAATGATTTATTTCTCTCCAAAGCATATATGCATTTTATATGATTTATAAGAGCTCCTAAAAATTATAATGAAAAATAAATTATTAGAAAATATTTAGCATTATTTTGAAAAAGTATTTTAAATATGATTTTCAAATACCATAAAGCTCAAAAATTTCTAGAAATTTAAGAAGCATAAAAAATATAAGTGTTAAGATTCAAAAATATCAACTTCATTTATAAAACTTTAATGAGATTCTTTTTAAATAATTAATTGAAAAGATGTATGTTTTTTAAGACATTTCTTATATCTTGATCAAATAAATCGTGAATAGTACTTAATTTTTTTATATTATCAAACCAATTAATTTGTTATTAAACTTGGACATTCTTAAATTTATTGAAAGCATTCAAATTTATAATAAATAAAAAAAATTAAAATTCTTTATTGATATTCATATCTAGATATCGCTTGTATTTATCTAATTTTATAATTGTCTTCTAACAATAATAAATATATTTAGTTNTTTCAAATATTTACTAATTATAAGTACAATATTTTATTAATAAATGCACTTGTTGGAGTACTTATTTCAAATCTTTCAGCTATTCGAATTTTTCCAGTAACAATATGTTGAACAACAAACATATTATCTTTAAAATTTACTCCATCTAAATAGCGAAGGTTTTTTCGAATATAATATTTTGAAATAGGGTCGTGTGTGATTGAAAGTGTTACTTTAAGACTTTCTTACTTTTTCATAGTCTTTTTTTTTTGATTAGGTAAATCTAAACCTTTAGATTCTGCACTTTTTCTTGAAGCATTTGAAATATTGATTCCACCTGTAAAAGCTTCACTTCCTCTTTCTTTATCTGGTTCAGTTCTTATTCTCTCATCTCTTAATTGTTTTTATTTATTTTATCCTGATCCTGCACAAGAACCCATTTAATAATATATTTATAATATCGAAAAAATCACATTTCCATTATTAATTTCTGATTTTATAATCATTAAATTGATCTAAATCTCAAAAGTTACAAAGGTCTCACTTATTATGTATATTTATTTTTTATTTAAAATAATTAGATATTTTCAAATTCTCACCTAAAAAATTTAACTATTAGAGGTTTTCAAAACTTTAAATTATTAATTAGTTGCTAAAAGTAATTGAAAAAAGTTAATGATTTACTCACTTTCGTATGAATTTCTCATTATTTTTTTATTTAAAAACGATATTATTATAAATATATACTTTGAATAATGAATTCTATTTTTAATATTCATTTGATTAAGAATTAGGAAAATTGTAGAATTGACAAGACTTTTTTTAAAGTACAAATTTTGAATTAAATTTTAAATGGGATTTATCCACAAATATTCGAGGATTTATACATTTCTTTATAAAGTTTCAAAATATATAAATTATAGATTTTTAAAAAAATACTTCATTTAGTTTGATAATTTAGAAAAGTTTTAATCTTCTATCATATTTATTAATTATATACGATGCAATAATAGATATTTCTATTAAAAGTAATGATTTATTTCTCTCCAAAGCATATATGCATTTTATATGATTTATAAGAGCTCCTAAAAATTATAATGAAAAATAAATTATTAGAAAATATTTAGCATTATTTTGAAAAAGTATTTTAAATATGATTTTCAAATACCATAAAGCTCAAAAATTTCTAGAAATTTAAGAAGCATAAAAAATATAAGTGTTAAGATTCAAAAATATCAACTTCATTTATAAAACTTTAATGAGATTCTTTTTAAATAATTAATTGAAAAGATGTATGTTTTTTAAGACATTTCTTATATCTTGATCAAATAAATCGTGAATAGTACTTAATTTTTTTATATTATCAAACCAATTAATTTGTTATTAAACTTGGACATTCTTAAATTTATTGAAAGCATTCAAATTTATAATAAATAAAAAAAATTAAAATTCTTTATTGATATTCATATCTAGATATCGCTTGTATTTATCTAATTTTATAATTGTCTTCTAACAATAATAAATATATTTAGTTATGGAATTGTAAATACCAAATAAAAAAACCAACCAAATCAGACCATCGATGTTTCTGAATAATTTAGATATGAACTCAATTTTTCTAAGTCCAAAATTGAATCCTTCTGATATCGAAAAAGCTCCTTTGCCCACTCAATAAAGAGTGAATAAGAAAAGAGATGTTACTAAGCTGCCTGCTATTAATGAAAAATCCACAATATTGATCAGTGATAAAGAATCGCTTGAAAATATTTTTTAAAATGAATAAAAAAGCTATAGATCTTCATTAAAAGTATAATTGCAAATAGGGGAGAAATTAAAGTTACCAGAAATATAATATTCATCTCCTTAAAATGAAATGAAACATAAAAAAAATTTAACGGAAGGAAATTTAGTAGAAAAGAGAGTTGAATTTCGAACATCCATATTGGTGATAGATTTTATTAATTAAGTGATGAAGAAAGATAAAATAGATGGAAGTGCAAAGCCTCTAATTCGAAAAGGTTTACAAAGACAATAAACAAAATTTCTAACTAAATTAGCATGAAAGAATGACTTAAATATGATTAATTTCGAATTCATATGACAAAATAATAATGAATGAATTTATTAAATATCTCTTAGCTATCCATTTTTTTAATTATTTTATATTAATAAAATTATTAGATAATAATAATTTTTTATTGATGTTTAGAGTCTTTTATCATATTGGATATTTTGGATCGAAGTATCCATGTTTTGTATTTTTGATATGTTTGGCATTGAGTGGAATAATGTCATTAGGGTTATATAATTTACAAGTTTTAACAGATCCACAATGTATAGCAGTAATAATAAAATAGCATTGTGGGTCTCATCTAGTAGTAGAACTTATTAAGAATAAGAGAATTCTGCAGAAAATTTTGGTCCTTTTTATAGAACAAATTAATTCATATTAACTTATTAGAATGAAAATTGGGTGAATATATTTTAAAAGGAGGGATTACAAGTGATATATTTCTTGTAGAATATAATAAGAAATAGAAAAGTATTAATAGGAGGTAGAAATACAACTTTAGATGATCTATGTTATAGGCCAATATCAGCAAAAGGTTGTTATATACCTAGTCCAATGGATATTTGGCTTTAAGATCCGAATTTATTAGAAGTTATCTTTATAATTTATTTTAGAAAGATCATGACATATAATTTACAACATTATGTACAGAGTCAATTGATGTGAATTAAACTAATATACCTTGTAGTGATTAGAATGGAATTCCAATAATCTTAGAATCGGTATTTGGAGGAATGTAAATTATTTAATAAAATATTAATTAGAACATGTGAAATGAGATAGAATGATACTTAACCATGTGATCATTGTTATATTTAAGCTAAGACAATGGCAGTTACATATCTTTTAAAAAATGATGAATTTACAAAACAAAATGCTGAACTTTGGGAAAAAGAAGTATGGATGGATACATTAGATGCTTTAAATAAAAGAAATTACAAAAAACTTTATGAAAATTATAATAAATCTATTATGGTTGCTCCAAGGGAAGAGCTTTTAGATTAATATAAAGTAGGTTTTATGGCAGAAAGATCAGTTTCAGATGAAATTAATGATGAGACAAATTAAAATGCTTGGATTGTGATTGTTTCATATTTAATGATGTTTGCTTATATAGGTTTTGCAATAGGGTAATTTCCTAGTAAGATTTACAATGGATTTACATTAGGATTGGGAGGAATATTCATAGTTGCAGTCTCTATGATAAGTAGTATAGGATTAGTATCATATTTTAATATAGGATTAACTATGATTAGTTTAGAAGTATATTATTGTCGTTATCAAGGTGATTCCATTTTTAATATTGGCAATTGGGGTTGATAATATGTTTATTATAACACATAATTTTAAGAAACAAAAACACCCTACAATTGAAGAAAGAATGGGAAATACATTAGATTAAGTTGGTCCAAGTATAACTATAGCTGCAATATGTGAAACTTTAGCATTTTTAGTAGGATCATTAACAAAAATGCCAGCTTTACAATCTTTTTGTATTTAGGCAGCAGTTGGAGTGTTTATTGATTATTTTTTATAAATAACAATGTTTGTTGCATTTTTAACATGGGATGAGTAAAGAAAGAAACATAAAAGGTATGATCTTTTTGTTTGTAAACAGGATATAAATTATACAATAAAGGAGAATAGAAAATTAATTTAGACTTTTTTTAAAAAGAAATATTCTAATTTATTGTAAAAGCCAGTTTGTATAATAACAACTATGTTAATATTTATTTTTTTATTTGTCATAAGTTGTGTTGGAATTACAAAAATAGAAGTTGGATTGGATGAGTAGGTTTCAATGGTAGAAGGTTCTAATTTATTTAATTACATGACATTAGAAAAGAAATATATTGAGATAGGTCCTTTAGCTTATTTGATTTTAGAAAATTTGGATTATTAAGATCCTCATGATTTAGAATTAGTAGCTAATTTATCTAATTCTTTATCATAATTAAATGAAACAGTTCAGCCTCCAATATATAGTTGGGTTGCATCTTTTAATTTATTCATTAGAGAGAAGGCAGAATGGACATTGGCGTGTGAAACTGAAGATATAGCATTATATGATTTGCCAACTTAATTAAAGAGATTTTTGGGAGTAAGGATAAATTCTCCTTGTTGTTAGAGATATGGGATTTGTGGAGAAACATTTGAAGCTGATATAGTATTAAATGAAAAAGGGTATGTAAAAACAAGCAGGTTGAGATTTTAACATCGTCCTATTCATAATTCAGCAGGATATATATTATCTTTGGAATAGACTAGATAAGTAATTGACAAAGTAGTTAAATAAGGGAAGTTGAAAGATGGTCAAAAAGTATACTCATATTCTATGCCATATGTATTTTATGATTAATACTCATATATTCGAGGCGTGGCTATAACAAATGTATTCTTAGCATTGGCTACTATCTTTTTAACAATGTCTTTAGTTTAAGATGTTATTTGTGCAATCATAGTAGTATTATTTGTGTTTTTGATTGCCTTCAATTTAGTAGGAACTATATGGTTAACTAATGTAATATTTGGTGGTTTTGTGGTAATAATTTTGATACTATTTATTTAGATTGAAATCAATGCAGTAAGCGTTGTGAATTTAGTCACTTGTATTGGATTAGCAGTTGAATTTGTTGCACATATAATAATTAAATTTCGTTTATGTGAAGGTTAAAGATGGGAAAGAGTTAAAGAAGCAATGTCAACAATGGGAACTTCAGTATTTGTTGGTATTGCATGTACTAAATTCATTGGTGTGGCTGTACTAGGATTTGCACCTTCCACACTATTTAAATTGTATTACTTTAGAATGTATATTCTGATGGTTATTTTGGGAGCATTTAATGTAAAACATATATTTTTCTAAATTAGGGATTAGTGCTATTACCAATCTTTTTAGGATTGATAGGACCTTAATCTCCAGTAGCATAATTTAGAATTAGAACTCTTATTAATAAATCAGATAGTAATTCTATTACTACTTCAAGTGCTGGTAGTAAAGGTAAAAATTTATTATGATATCAAATATAATTTAAATATTAATTAATAATGTAAAAACACGTATTGATGGATACAAGTCCACACATTGAAATCAAACACATCACATAAACTACAAATAAAGCAGTGTTTGTCTTGTATTATCAATAAATTAATGAATCTAATGATGCTATTGTTAAATCGCTCCAATTTTATTTTAAATCAAAGGAATTAATGAAAGACATCAACTCTGGCAAATAAGTCAAAATCTATTCTTTAAATGAAGATGATCCATTTACTTATGTGATAGTTTAACTTGCCACTAATCCTAGATAAGATGGAGCAAACATAGCTAGAAAAGCCAGCAATAAAATTGCTACATAAAAAACTGAAGATAATTCGATGTCTGTATTATTACCTCATAATTATACTATTCATGATATAGCAGAATTTAACTTTGGATTCTAATTAGCTAATTATAGATGGACATATTAATCTATTAAAGAAGGAGGTAAATCATCATCATTTCCAATACATTATTTATATTTGATTACTCCAATCAGCTAAGAAGATTATCTATCCCAAATGGAATAAAAATGGAATCTAAAATAGTAATTAAACAATTTCTATTAATCATTAGTTTACATCATTTAGTCAAACCTATTTTAAGATTGAGAGAATTAGTTCCAACAAGACCCAATATAGCTACAACAGGATTTATGAAGAATTACATTTTAGATATTGTAAAAGGCTTTGGTGATAAAGTGACCTCTACTTTGATTGAAGGAGACGAACTCTTAACTGCTGGCTTAAGACTCATACATGCAGTTGGAAGAGGTTCAATTCATAAACCATTTTATTCATGCTTATCTTATAAAGGAAAACCAGAAAATGATAAATATTTTGCTTTAGTTGGAAAAGGAGGTAATTTATACAATAAGTTTTAGTTGTTTTTGACACTGGAGGTCTTAGCATTAAAACAACATCTAGTATGGAATAGATGTATGATGATAAAGGAGGAGCTTGTACTGTCTTAGAAACCTTCAGAGCAGTAGTTGAATTAGGTTTACCTATTAACGTTGTTTGCTCAACTGCTTGGGTTGAAAATTCAGTTGGACCAGATTCTTATAGAGTCTCAGATGTCATTTAATCTTATAAAGGAATCACTGTTGAAATCTTAAATACTGATGCTGAAGGTAGATTGATATTAGCTGATGCAATGTCTTATGCATAAGATAAATTCCACATCTAAGAAATGATTGAATTATCAACACTTACAGGCATCATTAAAAATGCTTTGGGTAGATATTGTGGAGTCTTTACCAATAGAAAAGGATGTTATTCATTGCTATAAAAAGTTGAAAAAATTACTAAAGAACCTTTTTGGGCTTTACCTTTAGAAGATTAACATAGAGATTTGATCAAAGGAAATGTTGCTGATATCAATAATTCAAGTTCTGGTAGAGTTGGAGCTTCTGCTGCAGCTGCGTTTTTAGAATGTTTTGTTGAAAAAAAGGTTAGATGGATGCATTGGGATATTGCAAATGTTGCTGTTACTGATAAGAGTGAGGGAATTTATACAAAAGGTGGAACTGGGTTCGGAGTTATGTCCTTGATCTATTACATGACCTGGGATATTGTCAGTAAAGAACTCAAAGAATTGAAGGAAGAAAATGATGAAGATGATAATTGAAAATATGATATATTACATTCCTAATTAAAATATTACAATAATAATGAATAAGTACACATTAAGATTTCATAATACACAATTAGAGACACAATACTAAAAAACAGAATTTGATGCCTTTAGGAGTAAAACTAATTCTTATTTTCTATTAATCTTCTTCATAATTTGTTGTTTAAACTTTTCCTCACAATTTATTTACATACCGTAAAATCCTTAACTTTTGTGGCCATTCATAAATATAATATCAATCGTAATCATATTCACACTTACCAAAAAGTGTCCCTAATTAATTAAGCTAATAATATTTTTGGAATGTCTTCTTATCATTTCATCAATACTCTAAATTGCCTATTCTCACAATATGGCAAGTGACTCTTTAAATTGTGTACTGCCTCTTATTGATATAATATCCAATTTGCATTTTTTGCAAATATTTGATCTCACTTGCCTTTAAATTTTCATTAACATGGGATTTAAAATTTTCCTCTAATTTGCTAATCATTCAGATATTAATATTTTTACAGTATTAACATCCTTTTTTGGTTCCATTATTTAAATTATTACTATTTACTACTACAAACAATGGAGTAGATAATAATTTACTCTTTATATGAAAGACTTAATTTGGGAATAATAACTTCCAAATATCATAAAAAAACCATTTTTTTAATTTTCACTTGAAACCCCTACCAACAATTTTGTTACTCTTTTCTCTAGTTAAATTAATCTTTTTCCAGGATTTAAATCTTTTTTTTGTGATAGTTGTAATTTGAGAGCCTTTTTGAGATTATGCTAAAGTAAAAATTAATCACTAGAGCAAAAATTACTGAACGATTATCAGAGAGATAAACAAAAAATAACATAAAATAATTACTAATTATCATACTAATTTAATTCAAAATCTTTTATTATTCATATTTGCAATCTAAATGTTGAAAGATTTAGATGTTTACTGATACTAGAACAATGTAACAACTAATAGAACCCTTCAGTTTCAATTTCAAAGATAAAAAAAGCTATGTTAAATTCTTTGACTTCTAATTCAAAGTTATTAAATTAAAGGTTCTTTAAATTAGGAGTTTTAACTATAATGCATTTCAACAATAAATAAATAGGAACCTTTAATTGTTATGATCTAATTAAAAAATTAATCAGTTATTTCAACTTTCTTAATATTGACTTATTTCCAACTCAGTCTTCAAATGATTACAAATTATCTACCTATAAGTAACAACTATTTATTTTTATGATTTGCATTTTTAACATCTTAACTAATCTAATAAGAATCAAATATTAAAAAATATACTTAAGTATTTCAAATTATGAAGGAACGATATATGTGAAATTTTAAGGAATAAACGAAAGTTTATTTTTAGAGTCATTTAAAATGAATTTATTTTTGATGCAATCTTAAAGTTTTCTCCTGGTAACTCCTGTTGATAAAAATTTGACACTAAAACTATTGAATCAAAAATTAAAGTGATTTATATTACAAATATATAATTATTTCACAAAAAGTTTTCAATTCTATCTCATTCTTCTCTCTCTATTCAAGTTGAGAAAAATTAAATTCTGATACGATATTTTTTATTTTTAAATGGATAAAGAGTTTGTGTAATTTAAATTTAGTATTATAATAGATATAATATTGAAAATGGCAACTATTATGTGTTAGATTTTGTGAATCAGAGAGTTTAGCAAACAAATTCAAGAGGAAAATTCCCAGAAAATTTTACTCCTCTTATTAGTGGATTTTGTAATTCTAAACAAAGAAAATTGAGATTGTAATATCACAATTCTGTTTCATATACACCTCACCAAAATAAGTATTTTGGTTATTGTTAATGCCCTAATTAAAAAGTTAAGCCTACATCATAAGAAAAGGTTTGCATAATTAATAAGACCTCAGACCGAACAAATGTTATAAAATAATCTTTGCCTGTAAATCTTAACAACTGTTTTAATAAACCAAAAACTCCAAACATTACATAAACCTCAAGCACAAATCCTTTAAGATATAGAGTATCAGAAAATAATTTTGATGATAATCTCATTAATCATCTAAGTGCTAGTCTGAAAGATGCATCTTAAGTATATAAATCTGGATCAATTGAATCTATGAAATATAGAAAAGGAACAAAAATTATGGATAAATAAGTGAAGTTAAAAAATTAAGAACCTGATTAATTAAGATTTACATGCAGATACTTAAACAATAAGAAAGTTAAATCTCCTCCATATAAAGTAATGCAAAGATATGATATAATAAATAAAATAAATCAAGAATAAGATCGGAAAATAGCAAAATCTATTGATGATAAGCTCATTAAAAGAATTCCTCCTGTTCCTCATCTTTAGACTTTGCCTTCAAGATTTTAACATAAATCATATAAAAATGTGGACATTTCATTATCTCATTCAATTGAAGCTCAAAAAATTAAGGCATTTATTTCTTAAAGATGACATATATTAATATATTTTTCCTCATTATAATTTTATTTTGATATTTTGTAAATTTTTAAATCTTTGTCNAATCTTAAAGTTTTCTCCTGGTAACTCCTGTTGATAAAAATTTGACACTAAAACTATTGAATCAAAAATTAAAGTGATTTATATTACAAATATATAATTATTTCACAAAAAGTTTTCAATTCTATCTCATTCTTCTCTCTCTATTCAAGTTGAGAAAAATTAAATTCTGATACGATATTTTTTATTTTTAAATGGATAAAGAGTTTGTGTAATTTAAATTTAGTATTATAATAGATATAATATTGAAAATGGCAACTATTATGTGTTAGATTTTGTGAATCAGAGAGTTTAGCAAACAAATTCAAGAGGAAAATTCCCAGAAAATTTTACTCCTCTTATTAGTGGATTTTGTAATTCTAAACAAAGAAAATTGAGATTGTAATATCACAATTCTGTTTCATATACACCTCACCAAAATAAGTATTTTGGTTATTGTTAATGCCCTAATTAAAAAGTTAAGCCTACATCATAAGAAAAGGTTTGCATAATTAATAAGACCTCAGACCGAACAAATGTTATAAAATAATCTTTGCCTGTAAATCTTAACAACTGTTTTAATAAACCAAAAACTCCAAACATTACATAAACCTCAAGCACAAATCCTTTAAGATATAGAGTATCAGAAAATAATTTTGATGATAATCTCATTAATCATCTAAGTGCTAGTCTGAAAGATGCATCTTAAGTATATAAATCTGGATCAATTGAATCTATGAAATATAGAAAAGGAACAAAAATTATGGATAAATAAGTGAAGTTAAAAAATTAAGAACCTGATTAATTAAGATTTACATGCAGATACTTAAACAATAAGAAAGTTAAATCTCCTCCATATAAAGTAATGCAAAGATATGATATAATAAATAAAATAAATCAAGAATAAGATCGGAAAATAGCAAAATCTATTGATGATAAGCTCATTAAAAGAATTCCTCCTGTTCCTCATCTTTAGACTTTGCCTTCAAGATTTTAACATAAATCATATAAAAATGTGGACATTTCATTATCTCATTCAATTGAAGCTCAAAAAATTAAGGCATTTATTTCTTAAAGATGACATATATTAATATATTTTTCCTCATTATAATTTTATTTTGATATTTTGTAAATTTTTAAATCTTTGTCTAGTTGAAAAATGGAAATAACTACTATAAAAAATTATGTAAATTTATCTTATTAATCAATTTATAAATAAATTAGTCAAGGCATAAGATCCACAACATTCACTATTATTTTCTTTCGTAAGATTTTGTTTTTTAATGTGCAATCCTTCTTAATGGTTTTTTTACTTCATTCAATTCTTATTTATCTTAAACACCAGTCTCTAAATCAATTACAACCAAAGACTTCTTGAACTCCACTCTCTTTCTTTGAATTTTTTCTACTGGAGCATCTATTTTTGTGTCTTATCGTCTCAAAAACAATCTAGTTCTTCTGGTGTTTCTCTAATAATCATTAGGAGAAACATTTCTAGATTCTTTATTGAAAAGAGGCAAATCAGGTAAGGATTGTTATAATTTTTATGTTCTCTAGGTGTCCAATTTTGGAAATTTTAAATGGTAAGAAACCTCTATTAATGGATCACTTTCAATTTCTGTATGAATGGGTTTGTTAATATTTCTTTCTATAGTTTCTACCTCTGTCTTTAAAGAATAAGGAATTAGGTCTATTTAATTTAGAAAAAGAGAAGGTCTCATTGTTCTTGCCACAGATATTTATTTAATACTACTATCTCTTTATCCAATAATAGGCAGCGAAAATCTATTAGTAGAAAGTTAAGCCATTTGAAGTTTCAATTTTATTTAATAAATTCTTGTTTGTAATTTAAATCAACTTTATAGAATTGAAACTGTTGTTAAATTCTGATTAATTTGATTATAATAATAATCTAAATTAAAACAATTATCGTCAGTTTATTCACTTAAACCAAAGCAACTTTTTGATTAGAGATACTTAAATAATTAATAACTTCATTTGCTTTAATACTATACAAAATCTTTCTCTATATCCAATAAACTCATTTAGAACCACATAGTATTTGTATACTTTTTTTGAACAAAAAACTAATTTTAAAAATTTTTATCAGCTTAATTTGTAAACTATAAATTATTTACTATTTTGTATATTACATTAAGTTTAATACTTTTTTACACTTTTGTACAAAAATGTTTCGTTTTGTACTGAATTATTAGAATATTTATAGCAAATTGTACCATTCGGAATTGAATTTAATTTTCTATTTTTAATGCCATAACATTATAATTAATTTAGATCAAAATCCAAATAAGTAAGTTTTCCTTTTTTTATTTTATAATAATAATTTAAAAATAAATATAAAATTGAAAATTATATGGTTATAGAGAATTATTAAATAGAAATAAAGCTTGAATAGTTTAATTGATGTAATAATAATGAGCTCTTTGTTAATAAAACTTCTTAAATATGATTACTTAATTGAATAGAGAAAATAAAGATAAATAAGTATAGGAATAGGAGATTGTGGTGGTATATTAGAAAGAGATTGAATCATAGATAGAATAGATAAGACATGTGTTTAAAATAGATTAATTCTATAATGATATACTTTGAAAAGTCAATAACCTTACATTTCACTTAATTTGTAATTTAAGTATGAATTATAATCTTGTTGTATTTTTCTTTCTTGGATAAATGAAAAGTCAACATTGGGATTTCCATTCAAAATTTTACTTCTGTTAAGACACATTTCCATCATGTAATCTAAAAGGATTAATACTTCAGTTTCTTTGGATGTAGATAGCATTTACTTAGCTACACTTTGAACTCTTTCTTTAATGATTTTCTCAATAGACAAAAGTTGGTTTTAATTTAATTCAGAAACATCAATGAATGTTTAAAAATCAGCTAATTGTTTTATATTAGATAGTAAACCAATTCTATCGAAGTACTACAAGGTATTAGTACATAACTCAGTAGCTAATTAATATTCATTTTAGAGTTAGTTTATGTATTTGGAATATTCATTAGATTTTTTATTAGATTCTATTAATAAAAATACTTTTGAATATAACAGTTTAAATGAATTAGCAGTAAATTTAGCTGAGAGTAAACATAATAATTCAAAATGTAATTCTTTTTTATAATATTAAGTGATAGTTGAAATATGTTAAGTAATTTCAACATTGACAAAATGAGAAAAGTTTAAATGCATTCTTTATAAGTTAAGTTAATTTATTTAAGTTATAAATTGCTAATTTTAAGCATCATTAAATTAAGGAGGTATAGGAGAATCAAGCATGGGAGATTTATTTTTATCAAATTTGATATTAGATTAAGGTAATGATCTCTTTTATTATTCGAACATAAGAAATAGTTCATTCCATTCCATTCTTTTAGATTCTTCTTTTTCTAAAGCTTTAATAATAAAATTTCTTCCAAAATCAGATAATTGAATATGATTATGAAATTTAAGTGGTTATTTCATAATATTTTATGTTAAACTCTTTTCATCAACACCTGTCCATGGTGAATTACCATAAATCATTTCATAGTATATTATACCTAATGACCATATATCTGATTTAGTAGTATATTTTTCTTTTCTTAATATTTATGGTGCCATGTACAATGGTGATCCTACACATGTTCTAAGTAAATCTCCACTAAAATTATCAACTATTTTAGAAAATCCAAAATCAGCTATCTTAACTGTTCCTCTATGATTCATAATGTTAGCTGGTTTAAGATCACGATGAATTATATTTGCTTTTACTAATTCTTTAAAACCACTTGCTAATTAACAAAATATTTAATTAACTTCTGTTTCAGGAATCTTTCTACCTTTCATTATATTTCTTAAATCACCATCAGCACAAAATTCTGTCACAATATAGATTGATCTATCTGTCGTAAATTTATCTATAAATTTTACAATGTTTGGATGATCCAATTACTTCATTATTTGTATCTCACTATCTATTTTATTATTTACTTTTAATACTAAGTGCATCAATTAGATACTAATCTTTATTTATCATTTAACTATCTATTTTCTTTATTGCCACTTCCATATTTGTACTTATTTTATTTCCCCTGTAAACTTTCCCAAATGCACCTTCTCCCAAAAGATATTTAGAATCAAATTGATAATCCCCCAATTTCCTTATGTTTTAATCAAATTACTATTACATAATTAAAATTATATAATCATTTTTTTAAGACCTTCAAAGCTTTCTATATTTCTATGTTATTTATTTATCTTAATTCATATAGATTCAATGGAATTGATTGTTTTTGATTCAATCCTTTCTATTCAATTACTTATTAAACATTTGATTATATTCTCTATTTACAACTGTCTTATTTCATTGAGATTGATCTTACATTCAAAATATTAGATTAAAGATTCATTAGACTCTAATTTTAACAAAATGGTTATTATTATTATTATTATTATTAACTCACATCAACAGATTTAATTGTTTCTGTAAGAAGATTTCCTAAAGGTGAGGATTTCTCAAAAAATGATCTTTAATTACGTTCTTTTAATTCTTATTTTGGTTTTTATTGAGATTCATTCTTTGTAAATAGAGAATCAACTAAATTATTGATTTTATCAAGTTCTCTGCTTATTTATGGTTTAGTTTATAAAAGACTTGAATCCCAATTCTATGTTTGTATGTTATTTTGATTATAATAATCTAACGGATTTCTACTTTCTATAAATTTGACTTAAGTTTTAGTTAAATATGAAGAATACTCATCATATTTAACAAATTAGTTTAGATCTTAATTTAACATTAATAAAAATAAATATGTTTTAAGCAGAAAAAGGTGCCAATGCTATTCCTGGATATACAGGGTAATATTGTTAATTAAATAACATTCAGTTTTATACCAAGTCAAGATTATGATCAAGATTTATTGTAAATTTAAGGCAACAGAAATCATATCCCAAGTATATCATTTATAATTATCATTGAGATTATGCTGGATTTGTTCCAGGAATCAAATCAGAAAATTTATTTGGAAAAACATTTGGAAAAATTACTTTACTTTCCAGCACTCATGAACATCATAGAGGGTATAAAGATAATCTTTAAATTCAAGATCTGATTTACCTGCTGATATTAGGTATAAAAGTGAAATCAAAGAAGCCTATTGTGATCAAAGAGATTAACGTGGAAGAGACATTAATCTCTACGGCAAATTAGATCCAGAAACATCAGTAACTGTTATTTACACTATTTTTATTAGAAAGCACTTGCTTATACTCTATCCAATCTGACACACTTTGAACAAACTAATACTCTTCCAAAAAGATGTAATTATCCATTCTATTATCAAAGCTGACTCCAAAGAAAGATAGAGCACTTTAACTTATGAAGAAGCTATGCAAAAATTAAAATGATTATTAAGAATACATAATAATATATATTAATATAATGTTAGATTCATTTTTAGCACTTTAATAATTCCATAACACTTATGAATTACTCTAAAGTAAGCTATTATTTATATTTTATTTTTTTACTTTTTATTCTGGAGCCAATTCATTAAATTATGCTTCCAAGTCCTCATTAATTACATTAAGATATTTTGTAATACTTCCTGACTTTATCTCAGCTTTATTATTACTTAAAAGATTAAAAGTAGTTTCAAGATTCATTCTAGTTAACAATTATTCTTTTGGAGCTGCCAAAGATAAAAATGTAAACTATGCCATAAAATCTGATTTTATCTAATGATCTATGAATATTTGATTTATACGAAATTCTATATCACTTAATTTTGTATATTTTTAAAACATTTTTATTAATTCTTCTTTACTTAGTTTCAAATCTAAATCTTAATCAAACTCTCCAAATAGTTTTTGTAATTAAATTGCTGTTTCTTATTCCAATTCTTATACCATTATCTCTATTATTGCTTATTACAATTCACAACTTTCTTTTTAATCCATCATATTTAATAATAATCTTTCTTAAATTGGAATCTCAACTTATCTGTAATTTTTTAACCATTCACTATTTTTTAATTCTTCAAAAGTCTTTCTTCTTTTTTTATTCTTCTCTCCTATAACCGATGAAATAAAATATCTAAATTCAGCTGACCATTTCTTTAAATCTTAATCAACATCAAATTAATAGTGTAAAATATGTTATTTTACAGATGGAATATCATTATATAATTTAGTAGGTATTTTATATGGTACTTCACCTTTACCAAGAGTGTACAAAATCATCATTACAGCCCATAAGTCTCTTGTTGGTGAATATTCATCTTTATAGAGTACATCTGGTGGAGTAAATTCTAAAATTTCCAATTCATCAACACATTTAACTGATATAGGTTTGACGTCAATTAGTTTAACGATTACTTATTCCTATTGAAATTAATATTCCCAACTATTAATAGTCATATTTCCATGAACCATTTATTAATTTTTTAAATAAGCAAGAACTGAAAACATTTGGTCAGCAATATTTGCTAAAATTTTTTCTGAAATATCAATTGAGTTTGGAAGTCGTGATAATTTGGGACCATCAAAATATTCATAGATTAATTGATAAGAGGTATTATCTTGATGGACTTCTAAATTTTTTAGTATATTTTCGTGTTCCTTTGAATTAAAAAAATAAAATACTAATTAATTAGATTTAAGCCAATAAATGAATTTTATGCTGTCTTATTCTTCCTTAGAAAGAATTTCTAATCGTGCCTTTATACCAGTTTTATTATTCTGAACAAATGATAACTCTTACTAGGAATATTCAGTATAAAATTGATACATTCATTTGTGATTCTTTCTTATGCATAAATGAGTATTTTTTGGATGCATTTGTACTAAAAAATTAAACTCCTTGAATAACAGATCCTCTAAGAGGAGAACTGCAATTACTTAATGATCTTTAAGATAGTGATCTTTATGAAGGAGATTTTTGAAATTTTCCTGCTATTGATCTTTGACCTTTTTTAGATAAACCATGAGATTGTACTGATTATCTCTTTTCCTCAGAAATTACTCCAGGTGTATGAATACTTTTCTAACTATGCTAACTTGGTTGACTATTTTAGGGTGATTATTCTTTTTTAGATTAATTCAGATTTTAAGGTTCCAGATTCTTTTCTTATGAAGGTTTGTTAGGTAGTACAATTTTTAGTTATTATTTTTACTATTATTATTTTTTACTACTTTATGAAGCGCAAATCCCCATCTTAATCAAGATTTGATGTAATAAAATTATTCAAGATTAAATTAATCATCCAGAAACAAATATATAGCAATTATTAATGTTTTTTATGGCCAGCATTATTTTCTTATTTGTCCTTTTTTTCAAAAAAAAGAATGCATATTTAACATACTAAACATGCTTTTATATTTACCAATTTTACTATTATTTTTAACAAATTATTATATTATATAAATTATTATTAATTTTTCATTGATGAGTTTCCTTTCAAACTGAAAAAGAGTTCTATTTAATTGTTCCTCAAATGATTGAAATCAATAAATTATCTAATTAAACAATCTATAATGTCAAAATAAGCAAATTATCCCATTTAACTTCACTATTCCAGATATAAAAGCAAATCAATTTACAAACAGAAAATAACCAAAACTAAATGTTTTAGCAATAAATATTAATTCTTAAACTTTTAAATCAAAAAACTATAAAACCAATTTGCTATTTTCTTAAAATAGAGATTTGATTGATACATGCACATAACATACATTTGCAAATTCTAATACAAAACTTCATCACGTTTAAATCCTTAAAATTATACTATAACCACGAATTAAATGATTAATTTTTATTGTTGTATGAATAAAATAGTTACTATAAATTAAACCTTTAAATAAAATGCAAAATATTTATCTAAAAATTAAAATGTAATAATCAAATATAAAAATAATAGTATTAACAAAACCAATATATAATAGTTAAATTTAAATAGTAAATAAAAACATCCAAGTGTTCATCATAAAGAGAAGAATCTTTTTTCTAAAAAATAAGAAATAACTTATTAAAAATTTATAGACAACAAATATACACCATTTTAGTACAAGTTAGAGCAAATTTAAAATCTAGATTAAATTTGTAACACACCTGTTTTATTTAGATGGTTTTTAGTGAAGAGTATGATAAAAATAATACTCAAAATATGTTCAATGGAAACTTTTTAAACAATTAACTCTAAAATTTTGATATTTAAAAATAATATGATTAAAAATTAGAGAAAAAAATTATAAATTTTCTACCTATAGTTTTAAAAAAATTAATATTCATTAATTATTTTATGGTAATTTATCTTTAGGATTAGATGTAAAAATAAAGGTAATGATAAATGTTGTTAAAAGAAAAAATATTTTATAAAAAGAGATTTTAAGAATTATAAAATAGAAATATAATTATTATTTTTTTAAAGAGGTATTTTAGCTTGAGTAATAATATTGTAAAGTAATATTAAAATGAATAATTTAAAGAAATTGTTATAAATATAGTACATATCGGAAGAAATGAAATTCTTATTGATCAAATTAAAATTTAGAATATAATTTATAACACAAAAGTCTATCAATAATAATACACAGAATCTAATACAAAATTAAAATTTATTCAAGATAAATATAAGAGCTTTAAAAGTAACTGGATCATTTATTAAAAAGTTGACAAGAAAAGAAAAGCATTAAATTTATACTTAGATTTAATCCCTTTAAAAACATAAAAAACTTTATAATATAATAATAGAAAAGGGTTGGAGCCAAGTAATTTACGGAAAAAGTATGTTATAAAATAACATTCATGAATTTTTGATTTAATTTGATGATGATTAACCAAATTATATGAATTGTAAGAATTTTCAATTATTTTAAGTTTTGGACAAATAAATCATGAAAGTAGTTTATTGAAATTATGCATTTAAAAGTTATTTTGCTAAATAATTATATTTTTTTTAAATAATTTTAGAACTAACTTAATTATATATAAAGAAAATGATTAGAAGTGGAGAAGGATTCATTTTATATGAGATTGTAAGTAAATAAAATTAGTTCTAAATAATTCTGCTCATGATGTTTCTATGTTAGTTATATTAAATTGAGTAATTTGAGATTTGAAATAAAATTAAAAATTATTATAAAATGATATTATCAGAGCGAGAGTATTTAAATGTGAAAGGGAAATAATATTAGAGAGTTCATTCAAAGCGTATTTGTTCTCCTAATGAGAGTTTGATAAGTGTGAATCATAATCCATCACTTCCACAATTGAAATTATAAGCAAAATAACTTTTAGCTTAATCAATTCATAAAGAATTATCAGGAGGTCCTCCTTTGGGTTAAATCCACTTGAAACCATTAATTTGCAAAAATAAATCTTGCATCTATTTAGTTAGAAATTTAGAGGATAAAATAGCAAAATATATAGTTAGATTAAAAGAAATAGTAAAAGAGAATAACATACTAAGAAAGAAGTTATAAATGGATAGATTATATATTGATGGTTAAATATAATCTACACACAGATCTTAAAAATCTTTAGATTTAAAATAGTTAACAGAAGAAGTTTAATATCAAAGATCTAATTTTATTAGTCTTCATGATGCACATTCAATAACTAAATTTTCAAATGAAGTTTGTCTTGCAAATCTTACTCAAAAATGGACATTTGATATTTTTAATAATTTGAGTATGTTATTACAACAACCATTTTCAGATATAAGTTGGAATAAACCAATAACAACTAACAATTCTTAAATTTAATTAAATAAGTGTTTAAGGAGCTGTTAAAATAATGTTCAGACAGATTTTATAGATTTACATTGTAATCATACTTATCATAAGAATTGTTTATGTGAAGAGATTGTAAATTCTTAAAAAGAAGTAAATGCTTTTTGTTAATGTAATTAAGAACTAAACAAATAGGATAAAGATTAATTAAATTAGGTTTAAAGGGCGATAATAAAAGAAATCAAATTAAATGCTTAATTATCTTAATTAATAAAGAAATCAGATCAATTTACTTTTTATAAGTGTGAACTGAGTACTTGTCCATTTATAATAATAAATTAAGATTTCGAAAACTTACTTAGTGTATAATCTTATTGTTAATCATGTTTGTCCATGAGATTATTTTAAAAAAAGGAATAAATAGAAAAATGATTATTAATAATTAAATTATATATATATATGAATGAGAGTGGATTGGGAATCTATGGAACTAGTTATAAAACTATGAATTAGACAACAAGAGAGAATACTATTTAGGATCATTTATTTTTCTAAACTTCTTATCAAAAATAAAAATCTGTTAGAATCAAAACTAAAACAATGAATGAATCTATGTATAAAGGATTGCGAATAGGTACAACAACACTTCAATCTCATAGATCAAGATATTCATCTACTTAATAGGAATCAAGATAATAAAGTTCTACAGCCTATTAATCATAAGAGTATAAAGGATGTAAAAATTATAAATGTCTAAAAATGATATCTGATTTATAGGATACTTAAGATTAACATTTATAAATAATTAAAACATTAACTTAGGAGATTGAGAAATTAAAGAGAGAAATATAATAAAATAATAAAATGATAATTAATGAAGATAAATTAAAAGAAAGATTGATATCAGCAACTAGTAGAGTCTAGGTTTAGAAATCTTTAGGTTTGTTTGGATAGAGTTTAGATAGTAATTAAATTTTAAATGTTTCTAAAACTGATTCTATTGTTATGAATAGAACAATTTCATAATTTCACAAAGGAGAAAATATAAATATATCATAACTTTTGAATTACTCAAATTCTGAATAGGAAATGATAAAGTTATTGGATATATACCATAAATCTTAAATCTAAAATTATTCCTATCATTCTTATAAGGACAATCAAAATTAAGTACCATATATTAAATGTGATAAGTGCAACCTTATCAAAAATTTACACATTGTGCGTTTAGAATGTAAACATCAATATCACTTAAATTGTTTAATTGAACATATTAGGTCTTAATTATCTAAATAATAGGACAATTTCAATTTAATTGGAACTCTTTAGTGTCATTGCAATGCTAAAATAAATTTAAATTTCATTAAAATAATTTATCAACCAGAGTTCTTTATTATTTATTAAATTATTTCTAACTTTTAGCTATTTCAATTAGCTAAGAATTATTACTTATCCAATAATTAAAGCTAAAAGTAGAATGTTTGTAAGTGTATCAAAGAACATTGTTATTTTATCATCATAACTGATGAGGATAAGATCTCATATTGTCCATTATGTTGTGAATTCAATTTATTTGTGTAAATTAAATTTATTTGATTTATAATATATAACAATGATAAATAATAAATAGTATAAGTAATAATTACCTATTGTAATCTAAAAGTATGAGGATAGTTTAAGAGAGAGTAAGTATAAATTAAAATATAGGAAAGCTAAAGGAAGTTTTATGTATGATCATTCATTATCTATTGAAAGAGGAAACTATTATTAAAGTAAAAATAAAATCTCAATAAGAAGTTCAAGCAATAGTTAATAATAAAAGCACATCAAAGATAAATTTCTATGTAGTATTATTCCATCATCCAAGAATATTAAATACTAATAATCTAAATTCACTATTAATACTGAAGAAACTAATAAAAATAACTAGAAAATTAAAAATGATGTTCATTTGTTATATTAACTCATTTCTCATGAATAATAAAAGCTCCATAAATTTTAAATTCCAGAAAACGCACAATCTAATTAATCTAAATTAATCGGTTCAATTTAAAAAGATCACAATAATATTTCATCTAATTAATAACTTATAGAAAATTGTTAATTGTGTATCAAATCACGTAATGGAAAAATAGTTTAAACTTAATGCAAACATATATATCATTATGATTGCTTTCAATTATATCTAGAAAAATGTGTAAAAAAAGGTTACCCATTAATTCATTGTCACTGTAATATCAAAATACCATAATAAATCATTTTAAATAATACCAATCAATTAATAATTTATAGATACTTTTAAAATTAATATCAGAAAATATAAATTAAATATTTTAAATACTATAATTTTGAGAAATGTGTTAATTCATTTTGCAATTTCTTTTGGATAAAAACAAATGAAAGTTCTAAAAGAAAAACTTCAATTTTATAATATTGTCCTAATTGTTTAAATAAAAATTTTGAAATAGGATTACAAATGGAATAGATATTTTACAAATTTTGATATATAATTTTTGTAAATAACAATCATAATCATCCTTTTTGTTAATTTATCTATAAAGATATAACATTAATTATCATCCAAAAAACCACAACTATTTGAATAGAATAAGCTTTAACCAGTAAATTTTCCTAATATCTACAGAAAATATTTTAATCGGACAATACGCATTCTATCCATTTCTTCAAGATTATTATAATTCTAGATTTTTTAACCCAGTAAATCATAAGAGTTTCTCACCATCATAGATTTTAAATTTATAGGGAACTAAATCTTTATAACAAACCTTATCTTAAACAATCACCTTTCCCTTAAATTTAATAATTAAATGATTTTGGAATATAGAATGATATATAAATCAAAATAATCAAAGGATTTAAAAATGCTTAAAATATTAAAAAAATTATAAAGTTTTAAAATTTAAAATAAAATAAGAGTATATTCAGAGACAACAGGAGAATAATGAGGAACTCATTTTTCTTTTGATTAAATTGGTAATTTCTGGATTTTAACTAATCTTTAGAGCTGATCTCAAATCTGTGTCATTATATTTTATTTAATTTAAAAGTAATTTAACACATTCGTAATGATGCCATCTTACTGAAACATCTAATGGACTTTCAGTTAGATCATCATAGACTCTACTTTTTATATGAGCATTGCAATCAAGTGATAATAAATACTTAACTACTTTATCATTTCCATTTTTGCATGCAATATATAATGAATTTTATCCATATTGATTAAATTAATTTATAATATGATTTGGGTCTTAAGGATTCGTAAGGTTTCTATTTTTAATAATAAAATAATGCATACCTTTTTGGATCTTTTTATATTATTTTCATCATCTATTAAATATCTTCAGATGAACCTGACTAAGAATGTTAAGTTAGATGGAAAACTAATTTAAATTGGTTAAGCCTATCCAAGACTTATAAATCTTTAGATTCTTATATAGGATGAACTTTATGAATATTTTTTGTAGTTTAACAAGGGCTTGGGTTGAATTTTTCATAAAATTATTCCTAATATCTATAAATAGTACTGAAGATGTAATTTATTCAACAACATTTTATTATAATCTCCTTATTCCTAAAACTAGATTTCCGGCAGCTTTGAATTTGCAAGATTTTCTAGGAGATATCATTACATTATTTATGATTTTGCTCTCAACATTATTTTCTTCTTAAGGTGGAGTAAATGGTCGATTATTATCATCTTCATTTTATAAGAATTCATTATTGGATCCCAGTTTAATAAAATTGTTGGTTATATAATTGGAGTTCATAAATGTTAAAGCTATATGATATGATTTTTAAATACATTATTGATTGAATTGAATTAGATTATCAACATTAATTTAGAATTCTGATCCCGTTTACTAATATTCGAGAATAAAATTATACTTATTTGACAAGGAGTGGAATGGCTTAGTTAAGTTCATGTTTCCCAGTATCAAGTTAGGAGATTGTATTGAATTTATCTGATGAGGCCTTTTCAATTCCTAAACTGTAAGTTCGAACATGATTATTACAAATCGCATCATCCTTGAATATATGGAAAGAATATACTTCTTAAGAAATTTATCTAATGTAGACTTCTGATTATGGTAAAATGTGTAAATCAGTTTTTAGATGGAAATGTGATCCAAAATTATTATTCATAAATAAATAAAATCAAAATTTTTTTTGTCATTTTGTAATATTTTATTCATTGTTAGAAATTTATCCTCCTGTCATAATTGGATGAACTTCATCATATTAGAAAGATATCTTTTCTCTCTAATTGCGTAGTAATAACAATTTAGTATCTCTTGAACTTTAAGGTTAATCACTTTATTATTTGCCTAATTAAGAGATGGCGAAATCAGCCACTTCTTTCATTACATCATTAGGTCTTTTAGAATTATGATGGCCATCAAATGATTTAAGTAATTTGGTTCCTTTAAAAAAGCAATGCAATTATTTGGTATGTTTTGAATGAATTAATTGATCTTAATTAGCACTCAAAAATGCAATTGATACTTAAGATGAAAGATCTAAAATCTGTAAATTAAGGAAATTACTTCCTATAATTTAAATAATATTGAGATCATCAATATTAAATTTAGCTTCCTTCCTGATTTTAGATTTAACAAAACAGAAAAAACAATTGAAACAACATCCAGGTACTCCATAACCAGAAGTTGCAATTTCTTTACACAAAAGAGTCAAATTAGAAAAAGGACTATCACAAACTAAAACTTTAATATCTTCATTATGACTAGCACTTAAAATAGCAGTGACTGATCCCATTGATCTACCCCATAACCCTATTTAAGTTATGTAAGGCTCTATTATTAAAGTTACATCTTACTTTATGATCTCTTAAATAATCAATAAGACTCTGTACATCTTGGGATTCATAATAACCAAGAGAAATGTATACTCCTTCAGAATGTCCAGAACCTAAATTCATGATAGATAAATGTCTTACCTGATAAATCTATTCCACATACTGCTATATTATAAGGTATTAAATATTCTAAAATTGTTAATGCTTCTACCCTGCTACTTGAGTTTCCATGCAAATAAATCATACAAGAATGTTACCGATCTTGAACTCTCACTGGTTCAAAAAGACTTGTTATATTTATTTTTCTCTGTACCTACATTATAATGTAAGTTTTCTTTTATTCACTATCTCAAAATCGGTTCGTTTTGTTACTGTATCCATTACCATTTATATTTAATTACCCAAATCCTTTAATTAATAATAATGTCTTGGAGGTCGAATTATTGGTTTCCACAATTTCTCACTACATGAATAAGACATTAAAATTTAATCAATTATATATATAAAACAAAAATTTCTAGTCAATTTTACTTTAAACTATAAGTCTAAGTCTTCTTAGAAATAACTAGATAATTCATCTAATAGTCAATTTTGAAATTTAATCATTCACAAATAACATTTTTTTGAAAATGTGTAATTAGAATACTCATCTATTATACCATTAAAATGTATTTCAAGTAGAATATTATCTAAACTTTGACATTCACATTCCTGTTTGTCATTTTCAAGTATTTTAACTTTTCTAGTGTAGTAAAACTCATTTGCATATGTTTCCAAAAAACTAACATATACTATTGGATCAAAATACTTACATTACACTAAGTAAGAAAATCAATATTTTGTCTGTCAGTTAAACCTATGGTTGTAGTGATTGAGTGTTTTTTGTATTAATTTTCATCCAAACACCAATTATCCCAAAAAAAATAAAGAATGATTCCTTAGATCGTTTGAACAACAATTAATTAGATGGGGAATGCTCTTTTGGGTTATGAATATTGTGTTTCATAGCTATTTGAAAGGCTTTGAGAATTCGCTCATATTAGAGGAGAGATTTTAATTAAGTTCCTGGGTTTGGTATATTAGTCGATTTTTAATAAATACACCTATCCGCATGAGAGATTGTCAGTAGTTTAGAAGAATAAACAGATTATAATAGAATTTATCTAAATTGAATAGGATTTGAGTACCTTATATATTTGTTAAGAGTTGAAATGTAAATTAAGGCAGATTTAAGTTTATGAAAGTAGAATAGGAAATAATATAAATAATAACATATTAATAAATATAAAAAAATATAAGATAAATAATGTGAGTGATTAGATGGAGTATTATTTGAGTAAAAAAGTGAAGTAGAAAATTATTGAATTGAGTGTCTGTTATAATTAATATAAAATATATATATGTTTAAGAAGGAAACAAATATCCGAGATTTATTTGCCGAGAATGAGAAACCAATTCAGATAGTATTGAAACGTAGAGCATCATAAGAAAGTATAATTTGAATAAGAAAGTAGTGTTACCAAAGGTGAGTGTGTCACCAAAATTAATGGAATAACCAAAATTAAGTGTTCATGTTTGTTAAGCTTAGATGCATAGTCCTGAAAGAAAGACATATTATTTAGGAGAGTTGAAAACAACAAAGAGAAAACCTTTACCACATAGCAATAGTATTACAATAAAGGTAGAATGTATAAAGTTTAAAGTTTAAGTATACAAATTTAAGTACAACATTGACAACGAATTAATGTAATAGTTATGTTGGAAAGATAAATTATACATTAAAATTTGTAATAGGATGGGGTGGATTTGGAAAGGTTTGGAAAGTGGAACATAAAAGATCTAGATAAATCTATGCTATGAAGGAATTGCAAAAAGCTAAGTAATTAGGATTGAGGACTTAGGATTTTAGGGAAGAATTCAGTAAAATCAGTGTTAAACGAGAAGAATTTACTTTAGAAGTTGAAACATCCATTTATAGTAAATATAGTGGCAGCATTCCAAGATAGAGAGACATTATATTTAGTAATGGATTATCTTTCAGGAGGAGATTTAAGATTTCATTTGATATTGAATAAATCATTTAAAGAAGATTAAATAAGTAAAAATATCATATAAATAATAAAGAATTTTTTATGGCATGTTTGATTTTAGGACTTGAATATATGCATAATAATTCAATTATTCATAGAGATTTAAAACCAGAAAACTTAGTATTTGATTAATAAGGTTATTTGAGAATAACAGATTTAGGAATTGCCAGATTACATAAAATAGATAATCATAATGAAACTAGTGGAACTCCTGGTTATATGGCACCTGAAGTATTACTTAGATAAAATCATTCTTACGGAGTTGATTATTTTGCCTTGGGAGTTATGACTTATGAATTAATTACTGGGAAAAGACCTTACATTGGAAGATCTCGTAAAGAAGTAAGAGATGAAATACTTGCTAGATAAGTATACTTAACTTAAAAAGAATGTCCTAATTATTCTTCATCTCTTATTGATTTCACAAATAAATTGATCTAAAGAAAATAATCTTTACGTTTAGGAGTTGGAGGTATATCTTAATTAAAAGATCATCCTTGGTTTTATGGTTTTGATTGGATTAGTCTATATAGTAAGAAAATGCCTGCTCCATATCTACCAAAATGTGAGGAATATAATAGAAAATTGTAATAAGGACATTAATAATCAGATAAAACTTTGATTGAAGAATTTACTAAATAATTGAGATTAAAAGAAGTATAGTAATAATTTGATGGATACACATATATTCATTCTTAATGATTCAATTTTTATCTTTTTTAATTTTATTTATTTTTGATTAAATTAAATTAATCTGAATTCATTATACCTATCTAACTCTTTATACTGAATATATATTATAACTAACTTTCCATTATTTTATATAACTATATATTCATAACTATTATAAATTAAATATATACATAATACAAATTGAATTTCTATTTTCCTTTAGCTTAATTACTTGATTATTATTTAATTATCTCAATTATAATCACTTATTAACAACTAATAATCTACCACTACATTTGAAATTATTCTCATAATAATATCTACTCTTTAATAAATAAATTCCATCATTACTTTTTTTAATAAATACTTTCTTATTTTAGTTTTTTTTCATCCTCATTTTTATTGCTATGAAAAATGATTTCATAAATGTGTATTATTTATCATAGATATTCTCATTTTTAGAAATGGTATTTTTTCTAAAACTATTTTAGAAATGCATAAAAATTGATATCAAATGATTGTGTATTAGAATACCTTCTGAATAATATTTCTAATTAAAATAATAAAATTATCGTAATATATTAGTGTAATATGAAAGATCTATTCTAACTTATTTATATATTTACATTAATTCTAAAAAGAGAATATCAAGTTTTATAAATACTTTAGAAGATTGTATATTTTTATTAGTCTTTAACTTCTAGAAGTAGTTTAGAGATATAATTTGATTGAATTATAGAGTATTGTTATTACATACTTTGCTAAAATAACGTAATTATTTATCTATTGTAATTAAATTAACTTTGAATAGTTGATTATTTCATTTATTATGTTTCTAACTGTGCTGCTTGGGTTATTTTATGAAGGTCATACTTTGAGATATTAAGTCCATAAACATTTAACCATAGTAGATCCTATCCATGATATTCATCAAGTAGAATACAGAGTTCTGATGGAATTTGGATCTCTGAAATAACCGATGGAGTTAATCATAGATACAGGATCTTCGGATCTATGGGTGCCTTCGATAGATGGGAAAGGATTTCTTAACAATAGTATAATAAGAAAATCTTATATTAGTCAAGAGATTCGATTGTAAAGAATCATCTACTTGTATTAATACTAATTCCCGTTATTAAATTTTCTATGATGATGGTCCTATATCAGGTACATTAGCTTGGGATTAAGTGTGGATGCATAATATCAAATTTAATTAGTCCTTTTTATTGATAGAAAGAGCAAGTGGTAACATGGCTTCAAGTGGAGGTATACTAGGACTTGGGTTCAATTCAAATGCTGCAAATTAAAATCCATCTATTTTGGAATCACTTTATGAATAAAAACTTATATCCAAGAAATACTTCTCATTGTATTTAAAGGATGAAGGTGAATTTGGAAGTTATATTCTTTTTGGTGGAATTGACATGAAATTTGTCTAAAAGGGCCATAAGATTTCTTATGTTCCTTTAATTTCAGATTATTAATACCTTATAGGAATAGAAGGTATGTCAATTGATGATGAATTATTTACAATCGCAACTGCTCTTGTTGATAGTGGAACTAGTTGTCTTACTGTTCCAGCAGTAGCAATGGATGATATGTTATAAGTATTTGCAGCAAAAGGAGTCTAATGTTCATATAGAGTTGAAAATTATGCACCCTCTTATTGTACTGTACATTGTTTTGTCAATGCTACACATGAATAAGGAATCATTGATGCTTTCCCAATTATTAAAATTAATGTCAACAGTTCCTTTGAATTATTACTCAATCCATAAGATTATATTTATTGTATTCTATTTTCTCTATATTCATATAGCATGTACAATTTTAGATGGGAGCTAATCTAAATGTAATACTAAATTAGAAAGGTCATAAATTGATGATTTCTTATTATTAGGTGATGCTTTCTTACATAGCTATTATACTGTTTTCGATCAAGCTGACAAGAAGATTGGATTTGCACATTCAATTAATAACAAAGGTCTAAAATTACATGTGAAAACCAGACATTTAAATAGTTATGCTTCCATCCTTATCTTATATGTTGGATTATTATTCATTTTTTGATTATTTACATGTATTTTTAAGTAGATTAATATTTTTATATATTTATCATTACATCTTTACAAATCTCAATTTCAATCTATTAAAATACTTATAAAACTTTTCTTAATTAATTATCTATATGTTCTGATTAATTAAGTTTCAATTTCATTGAGAGAATGTCTAATGTGAATCTTAATTTTAGTAAAATCATATACTATATGAAAATAAATTAAAAGATGTTGAAGAAAATCCTCTTTAAAGTAAAATTAGATATTCTATAATCAATACTACTCTTTTCAGTAAGAAAATAATTTTTATTTTATAAGAATAGATGGAAAAAATGTCAAAAGAGAATTATCTGAAAAATAGTAAAGTTTAAATTATTGATATATTTTAGAAAAAAAATTCAAATTGATAAGGTATTAATTTTGAAATAATCCTTTGAATGATGAAGATTTTTAAATATATTCTTACTTATAAAGCATTATTTAAATTATAATTACAAAATATAAAAAAATTATATTAGTAATTGTTTTTTGTTAAGAAAAGTACATTTTATTTTATTTTATTTAAAAGTTATTATAATTATGTAATTCTCTATAACATAAGAAAGTAAATATTACAATATATAATAACTAAATAATGAAAAAATTAAATATCAAGGAAATTTAATGTTATTCATAATATTCATAGAAACAAACAAGAACTCTACAACAGTTCCAGGAAGATGATTATCTTCTAAGTCTTCATCATCACTACTATCTAAATTAACAAGCGAAGGTCGAAAAGTGCTTGCTTTAACAACGAATTTATCAGTTACATTTAATCTGTTCTATTAAGTTTTTTATGCTCTTAAAGAATCCTAAGAATTTTAACTTAATAAATAAAGTGATCTAATTCCTGCTTATTTAGTCATTTAAGATCCATCTACAGAATTTGTTCTATAAGCATAATCTATTAATTAACTTTATGTTCTTAACATTTGAATTACTTCATTTAAACTTATTCTATTTTTCGGATTCTTTTAAAGCATAGATTTGACTAAACCAATAATTTTGTGACTAACATTTACAAAACAATATTCACTAAATTCAATTTCACATATTTTATTAGCTCTCATTATAGTTTCTTAATTGTGTCCTCTAAATGGAGATTTCCCAGTTAATAACAAATAATAAACTACTCCCAAACTAAAGACATCACCTACTTCAGTATATGGTTAGTTTTAAAATATCTCTGGTGCCATATAACCTACAGTACCTTATCCTGAAGTTAATACATTTCTATTTATTTATTCTGCAAATCCTAAATCTATTATTTTTATCTCATCTTTATCTAGCAATACATTCTCTAATTTTATATCCCTATGAACATACCCTAAACTAAGTTAATTGTCTTTTTACCTATGAAGACATTATAATCCTAGTGCTATTCTCATTATTATTCCACTTGCTTCCATTTCTTATATACGAACTTTCTCCTTTAGTAATTAATATAAAGATCCACTACTTAATAATTCTGTTATCAATACTATTCATAATTTTTATTAAACATTCTTACTTAATTATTCATCTAATTGGATTATCTCAAATAAGTTCAAAATAAATGGAGAATTCAACTTTTTTAAAATCTCACATTCTTATCTTATTAATTATGAAATTGACATTAAATTCTTTTTAGAATTCACTTCTACTTTATTATATACTTTCCCAGCATAAAATTACTTTTAATAAGGTAGTTTATTAACTGGACAAAGCTTATAAACTTTAGAATAACCACCCTTTCCCAATAAATCTTAGAATGTGTACAGTTATTCGAAATTCTAACATACACAAAATCCAGCTATCCTTTTAAAATATTCAAATGTCTTCTAACTCTATTCATTAAAACTATTACTAATCTATATTCCAAAAACATGCATAAACTCTCTGATTTTTCTTTATTCTAATCACCTTTACAACATCATGATCTCTTTATGGTAACTTCAATTCTATTAATTTTACACTCATTTATGTATTCAATTACACCCATCTTAACTTATCTTACTTCAAGTAGTAAAATTAACCCTTATTGTTTAACACATAAGTTCGTTCTTTTATTGTTACACTTTTATAGTCTGTTTTCTTTAATTCTTCGCTTAATAAAATACTATTGTCAACAACACAATCATTTCTATTCCAAAATTTTGTACTTGTATCACATTCTACAAATACAGGCCAACTAGAAACATAAGACATTATTAATTAAAGACTTTTTTATTAATTACTTCACTAAATTAAGATATTTTAGATCAACATATCATTTCTAAAAACCCAAAATGTGAAATCTTATTTATATAATATTTAATATCTTATAAATCTTAAAAAGTAAAGTGTTAATTCTCTATAAGGAAAGGAGATAATTGAAAATTATAAATTTGATATTAAATTCAATTCTATTCTTTGATCTAATATGAAGAATAGTTTTCATTTTTGTTAGACTGTAATATTATAATAATAATATATTTTATTTTTGTGTATTTGATTAATCATTTGAAGCTTCTATTATTTTATTGATTATTATATTATCTTAGCCATTCTGATGTATACAATTCTTAATTTTATCTTTCAAGTCTTCTATATATCATTTAAGCTCTTCTATCACCATCTGGACATACTTCCTTCCATAATTGATGTTCTCTACCACAAAGTTTACGATTGACTGCATTAATTATTCAATTACCATTAGTTGAATTCTCTTTATCCAAACATTAAAAATAATCCTCTTAAGCAGTAAAACATGTCTAAGCATTCCATGATTCACCACCATATCTTGAAGGTGTTATTAATGCATTTCCATGATAACTCATGATTGTTTAATAATAAAAAATATAAATTAATTATAGTTTTTGCTCAGCAAATCAAATTTTATTAACCAACATGATTATCTTAATTTACAAACAATAATTCAGGAATTGATTTAATTTTCTATTAATTCTCTGAAAGATGAAAACATACTCTACATGCAGGTTTATAACAATCTTCACCACCAATTAATTCAACTAATTTTTTAATATTTTAATTTACTTTCTTGAGATTATACTATTCTTTTAGTAAAAGAAGCATTCTCTCTTTTACAAAACCAACATACTGCTGTTAATTTTGTTATTCGTTCAGCTAATGGAATCAAATTTAAAATATTATGAAAAGGTTTTCTATCAAATGTTCCATCAAGAGCTGCTACTATTACAATCTTTCCTTAATTTGCCATCTTCTCACTAAATTCAACAATCTATATTATTTATTATCTTATTTACATCTGAAAAGAATTAACCTTCATCAATTGCAACTACATCACTATCCTTACACTTCTCATATGCTTCATTCAATTTACATACTTTTATGGCTTTCAAAAATTATCTTTATTTTAATATTCATCATACTTGTCATGACTTGAAATACATTACTCTTCTGAGTATCTATTATCATTTGCATAATTTAACACAACACATTTTCTTTCAGAAATTGTAAATCTTTTTACCAATCTCATTAATTCACTTGTTTTACCAGAAAACTCATATATATTTATTTATTTACCATTGGACCATATATTACTGAGATTGTGCCTGTATACATCTTAATTTTCAATTTAATTAATGCACTTATAAAATATATCATTCTTAAAAATTACATTTCCCGCTTCTTTGACAAATTAAAATATAACTAAAAAAGCAAATATATTTTAAATTCTTAACATTAAATAACATATCTAAAATTCGTATCTACATTTCAAAATTATATGTTAACCATATCTATTTATTTAAAAACATAATACATTTTATTACAATCTTTATAATTGACAACTTATTCATTTAAAATTAAAATTTAATTTTAATCTCCTCTTATTGTTCTTAAAAAAGTATTACTTATTTATAAATATACATAATAATTATTATTAATTAAAATGATTATGATAATTTTCGTTTCATTAATTGGTAATATTTATTGTCAAGCGATTGGAACAATCTCCTGTTTTACTTTAGATCAAATAACATGTGAAAATTCTGGATATTGTTATTGGAAGAATTCTTAATGCCTTTCCCTATAATGTCATTTAGTAAATAATTTGGCTGCTTGTCGATCAGGAGGAGCTTTAGAAAATCTTTGTAAACAGGTTTCCTATACACCTCCTCAATTTATAGCTTCTTGCTGCAATATAGCTTATACAGCTTAAAAGATATATTTATATAGATTTTTATCTGACTTATCAGAAGAAGATAAAGCACAAACTTAAGCATCTATTATTTAACTAAGTAGTGAATAACCTAGTGTATAGGCAATGGATAAATTATTTTAACTTGACTTTTTATCAAGTTCTTAAGCATAATTATGTGCTATTCTTGATTTATATATAAAATAAGCAGCTATTCTGATTGGAAAGTATTCCCATCCATATTATTTGGAAAGGGCAATTTATGAAAGTTTATAAAATGTTAGAGATGATCTTTATTCTGATTCACTTTAAAGAAGTTCAACAATATGCAAAATTTTAGAACTTATAGATATTTATTATTAGAGATTAAACACCTATTCAGAAAAATATTATACTGTTTATAATTTTGTGAATTTTAATCATATTCATTTGAAATATTTGGGATTTTAATTTCAATAATAAATATTTTTATCATGGGAAACATATCCAGAAAATGGATTTTTTGAATTAACAGTAATCTATCCTTAAATATTTGGGATTTAAAATGCTGTAAGTCCAATATTTATGATTCAAATAACAAATGAAATAAACTTAAAATACAAGATAAAATGGGCAAAAACTACATTAAACACAGTACAATTAATGAAAATAGATTTAGTCAAAATGATATTTTATGAAGTAGAATTTTAATAAGCTTGTTCAAATGGATATTGTAATGTCATCGTAAGTGGTTCAGGTAACTTTTTATTTGTTGATCCAACCATTTCAAATAATTGTCCTGACATCTTAGATTTGACGTTATGCATTCTAGCTAAGTGTACAATCTCAGGTGTTAGCTGTATTTGATATATTCAAATTTTGATAAATTTCCTTCTTAAACTTTATTTTAATTATATGATAAAAAAGAATTTAATTGTTCTTTAGATTTAAATTTGATTATTTATAATTAATGGGAGTTTGTACTTCTTCATCTTAGTCAAATAATTAGAGATAAAAGAAAAAGTAAGTAGAAGGCAAAATAAATCAATAAATTTCTTTTGTTAATGATTAAAAGAATGATACAACCTAATTCTAAGAGTAAACTTTGAAATAAAACAATATTAGTTTACAAAGGAAACTCTCTCCGAATTAAATTACATCTCAAGTGTAATTAAGTTAGACTAAAAACGATACAATGATCATTAGAAGACCTTCTCATGGTACAACAATGACAACTAGGACTATGATCGTTCAGCCGTCTTAGTTATAAGAATAATAAAAAACGGGATCACAATTAAACCTTCCTTATTAAAGAAATAGTGTAAGACAAAATACTAAAACTCCTTAAGTATCTGTTTCTAAAAGCTATTCAATTGTATCTAGTAAAAATCTAGGTATTCGAACTATATAATATAATAGATAATTAAGGCAAAACGGTCATGTAACATAATGAAACAGGATAATTAGTTTAAGTTGAAATACTTAAATTTGATAATAGAAATCATTAATATATTGATAAGATGGGTGAAATAAAATTAGTAAGATAATTAATAACTTAGGATAATATGCATATTGTAAGAATTATTGACACTCTTGTAGATGATAATAAAAAAACTTATTAAGTGATGTATGAATGTTGTCCTGGAGGATCTTTATCAAAATTTATAGAATTTCGTAAATTTAATCATTAACAAATTGGAATTATATTATATTAAATGGTAGATGCATTAGCTTATATTCATTCATTAGGATTAAGTCATGATGAATTGACTATTGATAGTTTTTCAGTTTTTGATGATTCTTCTACACCTTATATTAAATTAACTGATATTAGAAGTATCTATTAATTGATGTATCCAAAAGAGGCTCATTTTTATTAAGATCCACTTACCATAACTAAATCAAATCTAAAACACAAAGCTACATATCATAATAATAAATAGAATCTGATCGAAACCAAAACTAGAAATAAATATAATGATGTTTGGGCTTTAGCTATCATTGTTCTATATTTAAGAAATCAAGAATTACCTTATAAAATATCAGAAATTGATTAGTTTGACCCTCAAAATTATTTAAATGATCATCCTTCAGAAATGAACTCACTTCTATTAGAAATGCTACAGATTAATCGTTACAATAGAATTACCTTATAAAAATGTTTAGAACATCCTTATCTCATTAAGATGAAATAAGTCTAACCTTAAGATTTCTTGAAACCTTTAAAAAATATGATAAAGTGTAAAAATATGACTTATTTTCATAAATGTGTATTTTAATATCTTCTTCACAACTATGCTAATGATCATTTAAAAGTTTTGACTAAGTTATTTTTAACAGCCGATACTAATAAAGATGGGACATTGAGTTTAGATGAACTTAAAGAATTATTTTCAATTGAAGGAAAAGATCTTATTGATGAACTTAATCTTGAAAAAGATCTTACCTTACAAGAGTTCTTACTTTTAGCTTCCAATAAAGAAATTATATTAACTTAAGAAATCTTAGAATCAAGTTTCAAACTTCTTTCTAGGTTATCAAACATAATAACTCCAAAATCACTGTAAAAAGTGTTAAACAATTGTAATGAATAATAAATACGATAAGATTTTAAGACTTTCAACCTTAATGAGATTGTAAATATATCAATTATAATATTTAGTTATCTTTAAAAGAATATAGAGAGTTTTTAAATAATTATGAGACTCCAATCCCTATAGCATGATTAAAATTAATCTTAATTACATTTTATATGATTACAATAAATCTTATTAATATTTTAGATAATCAAAAAACACTAATAAAATTTAGATGCTTCTATATTATTAAAATAATTATTATAAAAGAAATTGTTATGACAGAATTCTTAAGAGCATCCTTTATAAGTAGTTCTTCAGGGACAGAAAGATAAACTCATCAAAATAAAATTGATAGTGGACTATTCAGAAAAAAACTTAAAAAGAATAGCAATTAAATAAATAACAGCTAATTACAAAAATTTCGATCATTTCAAAATTGTTCTATCCAAGATTCTTCAGATGAAAACTAATAATAAAAAGTTAAATCATCTATAATTGAATCAGACACTGATTAAAATTAAACTTATTAAAAGTAATCACCTATTCCTACATTGTAAATTGATATTCAAAAAAATGGAAAATCAAAGTAGAAAATACAAACATAACAAAGATCAAAGTCCAGATCTAAATCACCAATACACAAAATTCAATAATCGACTTAATTACTTACACTTTAATTTGATTTAAAATATAGAACAATTAAATTGCCAGTTTTTCTTGATGATACATCTTTCACTTTGACACATAAATTGTTATAAGAATTAAGTGTTTCAACTACTGCAGCTATAATTTCAAAAACTTCAGATATTATCTAATAGACAATAGAAATGTATATGACAAGATTATATGATTGGATTAATTATAATAGATTAGGAAAAATTGATAGTGCTTTATGGAAGGCATAAGCATATAAAAACACTAGTTTTCTGCAAGATTTAGAAGATGAAATGAAAGTAGATTTATTATCATAATATCAATTAATAGATCAAAGCTAAACAATAGGAAAAATTAAATTATATTAATTTGGTTAATATATAGGTGATATTGCAGTTTATAAAAATTAAGACCCTTAAGAATGTATTCGAAACTTCTTTTATTCTACTGGATTGCATTATGACGAATAGAAATTCAATAGGCTTGTAAGTGAAGTCATTTAGATATAATTATTGAGTGATGAATGCATTGATGAAAAATATACAAAAGATGAAATTGTGACTAATGTTAAAGTGAGTCATGATAAAATAGTAAAAGTTAATGCAAAAAGAGTTTGTAAAAATAAAATATATATTATTTTAGAATTAGAATCTAGATAAAATTATGATTAAATTAAGTGTTAATCATAAATTAACACCTTAATAAGCTATTAAAGTGAAAGATTAGATATAAAAAAGCTTTTATATTTGATTGTGTGCACCATACTCAACATTATCAACATTTCTATTTATTTATAAATACTCATCTTTTTTTTTAATTAATAGTTTTTCTTCTTTTTTTAAGTTTAAATTCATCAATTACAAATTCATTCTCTGAGTGAATTACCAAGACTGAAGAATAAGAAAATCAACTTTTTTGAAGTTCTTCAGACAAATAGTTTTCTTTTTTAAAGAAGTAAAAAATAATAAATAAATTAAAGTGTTATTTTCAGAAATATATTAATAGAGCATTTTTATTATGAAATAGATATCAATTTTCATTTTAAACTAACAAAATTTAATTCATAGTTGATTCATATTTGATATATTCTAAAGGAATACAATAATTCTACATATAATATTTTTAAAAATACCTCATAATACAATTCATTTTTTTTAAATTCTTCAGTCAATTAATTTTCTGAAATATTAAGAACTTTTGACAAAGATTTAACAGTAATTTCTGAATTTTTATTCATTAATTTTTTATAACTATGATCAAGATTTTCATGTGTAATGTAAATAGATTTATCTGATATCATCAAAATGAAATCCTGCAACTCTATTTCCACTTAGTGATCAATTAAACTTTCAATTATTTTAATATTAATTTCTTATTTTTATGATTATTTAAGTCTTCTTTGAAAATCTTTTAATTCTTATATATTCAATTTTCCATCTTTATCTTTATCTAAGATATCGAAAATACGTTTTCCTACTTAATAATGAGAATGCTCATAGTTTTCTAAAAGATAAATCATTAGCCATTTTTATAAATCATTGCTGAAACTGTAAGTAAAATTATACTTAAAATGGCAATTGAGATTGTTAATTTAATGGTTTAAAATAAATTTATGCTTTTAACAATCTTCAATAGTAATTCTTTAAGTTTTATCAGGATTGAGCATATTTAAAATAAGATCTTAAAAATTTTAAGATATTTCATCTGAAATGTCTTAATATGTAGTCCATTTCAAAATTGCTTGTTTAACATCTTAGATTGTTTCGAGATTTGAATTCCCTTCGTAAATTAAATTTCTTGTGATTAATTGATAAGCAATAATTCCTAAAGACCAAATGTCATTTGATTTATGAGGATGATTAGAAGTTAAAGATTCAGGAGATGCATACTGAATGACTTAAAGTTAAGGTTCTTTTTAAGGTTTGAATAAACTTTTTAAATCTGTTAACTTGATCAAATAATTTTACAAATCGTAATAAAAAGAAAAGCTATCTATTGTCAATTTATTGTGGGTTAACTTATTTTTGTGAAGAAAATTAATGATTTCAAAAATTTAATCGAGGATATTACTCACTACCTATTCAGATAGTTTATGTCCTAATAACTCTGATAATGGACCTCCAGTACAATATTCACTAATTATTTAAAAATTCTTGCCCCAAATAAATATTTCATAAATCTTTGCAATATGATAAAATTCCTTAAAATAGTAATTATCATAATTACCAAATTAGTTTTCTAGAGCCAATCTATGTAATCCTTTCCTTCTTAATCGTATGGATGTTATTCCATGAAGACTATTTACCCATCGCTGTTATGTTACATCACTCGATTCGTTAATTTGTTGAATGTCTTTACCTTGCCTTTATAAACCGAATAATCTTTTGAGGCTATTGCATCAGTGATTTTGATTTTTAACTAAGGTGAATTCTAAGCCCATTTTTTATTGTTTCCTAAATTTATATTTTGTAATATGTACTAGGCCGTTTTGGAATTTAAGTTTTATCAAGAGTGTGTTCGAAATAGCTAAGTGTTCCTGACTTTATTAACTTTCTCTAAACGGTTTGGTTTTAATTTATTCTTTGTTCATTTAAAGCAGAAGCAATTTCTATTTGGGGTTATTAAACATCGGCTGTTTTTGCCAACGATGCATTAAAATTCTCCTTAGTAGTGTTCTTATTCTAAGGAACTTTAGTTGAACTACAAACTCCCATTAAATATTTAAACAAAATTAATATAAATTTTTAATCTTGCTTATGGCTTTAATTCTGCCAATAGTTCAAAATTATCTGATAAACTGTTTACTTATTTATGATAATAAAAAAGATTTATAAATTATGATTGTTTGAAAATTAATTTATAAATAATTGCCATCCTCAAGTAGTAATTATAAATATTTCACTTCAATTAGTAATAGAAAATAAAGTATTTACATACACTAGCATACCATATTTAAATTTTTTAAATAGCATACATTATAAATTATATTTTGATAGGAAATTATATCATAAGTTGTTTTTAAACTTGAAAACTCTATAAATTCAATATATTTTTTAAAAAGTAAAAAAGTATGTTTTTTAGAAGGGTCATGATGATGGTCATATATGTGTAATATAAATTTTAATTATTTATTGTAATTTCAAATATCGAAGACATCTTTTTAAGGTATTTTTTTGTCTGAAATTTTACAGAATGGACAACAGCGTTTTTAAACATATTCAAACTCGTGTTCATCAATATAGAAAAATCTTCCACAATCAGGACAGACATGAATAGGTTATTCTCCGATCATGTTTTTATAATATTTGACATCAATAGTATTGCAATATTATCGATAATCTACAATTAAGACTTCTTCTGGTGAGAGAGACTAAAGAGTAGGTTCATCTAATTCAACAACTAAATATTGATCTTGTGAAGTTTGTTATTGTTAAATAATTTCATTGATTTTATCTTAAAATAATTATCCTGGTCTTTTATTAATGGATACTTTTTCTGTATTGAGTAGTCTTTCAACATCTTCTTTGGAGAGTGAATTATCAATTTTAAATTCTACAAGTGGTAGAGTAGAAAAGCTAATGAAAGAAGAAAAGATGGGATGTAAGCAAGCATTACAAAGTGATAGTTTATCAGTGGAATTGATGATGAGATTGTAAGTTTAACATCTCATACATAGAGGTAATTTAGATTCATCATCAGTATAAGGTTTAGATCTAACTAACAAGGATTAAAGATCAATTTCTTCACTCCATTCAGGAGGTATTTTAAATGACTAAATAATAATATTGATATGAATTATTACATTTAATTTTTCATAGCATATGCGTGCAGTTTTATAGCACATAAGTTAGGAAGCACATTTAGCTAAAGCATAATAGACATAACTCATTTTAATTCCTTAATAGACACTTTTCCATTTAGATATAATGAATCTAGCAGAATTCATAATTTATAAGAAATATGATTCTCGAGATAGTGGTTAAAATGGTTCACAAATAAAACTATGTATTTTTTGATATGCATAATAAACATCAGCAAGATCACTATAATCTTTGTATTAGGTAATAGCTTTAACATCATCTCCTAAAGGATTTTAATAATCTTAAATTTAAGATAAACAATCAATGGCTAGATTCCATAAATATTGACTAGCATCATGATATCTTTATTCTTCAATACAATTTTTAGCCATATCTTTGGTCATTTTCATAGTAATATCAAATCTACCAGCACTTTTATATGCTTTTAATGCATCTTCATAACGATCATTAAGTAATAAATAATCAGCATAAGGTACTTTAGCAATTTAGAGTAATTCTTTATTGGATCTTCCAATTTAGAATGCTTCTTACCATTTTTAGAATTCAACATGTAAAATCATAAGATTCTTTAGATCATTTAATTTAAGATAAGCTTCTTTCGCTCCTCCATGATGTTTAAGTTTTTTAAAATAATTAGCACATAGAACAATATTATCTGAATTTTCTTATTTATCGAGCATTCTGCAAACATTAATTAAGCCTTCTAAATATTTATTTTATCCATATAATTCAATAGCTTTTTTATATTCTGCACAAGTAACAAATAAATCAGCTGCAGCTTTCCAATCTCCAGATTCTTTAGTCCATTCTGCTTATTCTCTTAACAACATATTCATTTCTATTTTAGGTGGTGCTATATCTTATGGTTATGGCATAACTGCTTAACCTCTACCAGTTCCTGTTCTTCCCTAAGATGTTGGAACTCTAATACCAGTACCAGTTCTACCTCCTGATGTTACTGCTCTATAAGCAACATCTCCTTTCTTTGCAAAATCTATTTCTATTTAATTATTTACTTATAGCATCATCCCATCTTCTAAGCTCTTTAAATAATTGAACTGCTCTATCTGCTTAACCAACCTTTATTAATAAATTACCAGCATCCATAAATCTACCTTAATATGCTAATGCTTCTGCATTTAATTCATTTAATGTCTATGCATCTAAATTCCTCTTCTCATATTTCAATAACAAATCTATAAATTAATAATCCTTATTTCTTAAAAAACACTAATCATTATTATTATACTATTTATACTCTTCTAGCTATCTCAAATTCTCCTCCTATCAAAGCTTCTATTCCTAATGCTCTTAAATCTTATTCTGTTACACCTAAACATGCTATCTTCAAAGCATTCTGAAAATCTTTCTTCTCCAAATATCTTTACATATTCGCTGTCTATTAAATGTCAATTGTTTAAACTTTATCACCATTTTATAAGAATAATTTGCATCCTTTAAATCCTATCACATTTCCACTAATCTTTTAATTCAAAGCAGGGAAAGTAATACATTTAAAAAATAATAAACCTTTTCCAGAATATGCTATCAAATCTTCAAATTCCTAATTAAATGCAACGCCTTCAACACTCATCTCTCCAAATAATATCTCTTTACTTATTGTATCTAAAACCTATAAATTTTAATTTCCATCTATTAATGCTAATTTTCGTTTCGATAGAGACATTGTTAAATGTTTTATTGGTGTATTAACTTTATGAATCTAAATGGGGAATGAATTATCCAAATATATTTTGTATATACCTCCATTCTCTAAACCAATTAATACCAGCTCTCTTTTAGGTGGTCCACCTTAACAAGATACTACTGTAATATTAGATTCAAAACTCCATGTTTTATCCATATCTCCATTAAAATTAAATGCTATAAGTTTTTACCCTCCTCCAATTAATACATTGGATGATGCTAATTAGAAATGATCATAATCCACTCTCTTTTGAAATTTCTTGAATTATTTATATTTCATATAATCATCACCTTTTATTATACAAGTATAAATTATGACTTTGATTCCACAAAGAATAGCCACTTTATCTTTAAAAATAGCAACTCTCTTTACTAATTCTTTACATTTGATTCTAGCTTTCTAATTTGATACCATTGATAATATTATTGCATCTGTTAATTATTCTCTTTAAATTAATCTCTCATCATATAATGAACTAACATTATCTGATACAAGTTCTTAAACTACAATCTCCCCATCATTCGTTCCACAAACTATCGTAGTTGATTTTGGTTTAATTTTTGTACACCAAATCCAATCATTTAGAGAACAGGCTTCCATTAAGAATCCCCCTTCTCTTGTATATAGATTTATTTTATTATTATTTCCTGCTATTGCCAAATATTCTCCATTATATTAGTAATTTAATTATAAAGGATCAAAAGGTAATTCAATTCTCTATCCTATTTATTATCCATTAAAGTCAAATTAATATAATGAATTCGTCCAGACTCCAACTGTTAATTAGGATTACTAATATTCTGATGTTATTGGAGTCCATTCCATACACCATACTGGTCCACCCTTCTATGTTTAAATCTCCTTTAATTAATTTGCCTATCTATCTGTAATCACAACCAGTCCTAATCTCAAAATTATTCATTCATACCATTCATTGTTCCAAATGATANAACACTAATCATTATTATTATACTATTTATACTCTTCTAGCTATCTCAAATTCTCCTCCTATCAAAGCTTCTATTCCTAATGCTCTTAAATCTTATTCTGTTACACCTAAACATGCTATCTTCAAAGCATTCTGAAAATCTTTCTTCTCCAAATATCTTTACATATTCGCTGTCTATTAAATGTCAATTGTTTAAACTTTATCACCATTTTATAAGAATAATTTGCATCCTTTAAATCCTATCACATTTCCACTAATCTTTTAATTCAAAGCAGGGAAAGTAATACATTTAAAAAATAATAAACCTTTTCCAGAATATGCTATCAAATCTTCAAATTCCTAATTAAATGCAACGCCTTCAACACTCATCTCTCCAAATAATATCTCTTTACTTATTGTATCTAAAACCTATAAATTTTAATTTCCATCTATTAATGCTAATTTTCGTTTCGATAGAGACATTGTTAAATGTTTTATTGGTGTATTAACTTTATGAATCTAAATGGGGAATGAATTATCCAAATATATTTTGTATATACCTCCATTCTCTAAACCAATTAATACCAGCTCTCTTTTAGGTGGTCCACCTTAACAAGATACTACTGTAATATTAGATTCAAAACTCCATGTTTTATCCATATCTCCATTAAAATTAAATGCTATAAGTTTTTACCCTCCTCCAATTAATACATTGGATGATGCTAATTAGAAATGATCATAATCCACTCTCTTTTGAAATTTCTTGAATTATTTATATTTCATATAATCATCACCTTTTATTATACAAGTATAAATTATGACTTTGATTCCACAAAGAATAGCCACTTTATCTTTAAAAATAGCAACTCTCTTTACTAATTCTTTACATTTGATTCTAGCTTTCTAATTTGATACCATTGATAATATTATTGCATCTGTTAATTATTCTCTTTAAATTAATCTCTCATCATATAATGAACTAACATTATCTGATACAAGTTCTTAAACTACAATCTCCCCATCATTCGTTCCACAAACTATCGTAGTTGATTTTGGTTTAATTTTTGTACACCAAATCCAATCATTTAGAGAACAGGCTTCCATTAAGAATCCCCCTTCTCTTGTATATAGATTTATTTTATTATTATTTCCTGCTATTGCCAAATATTCTCCATTATATTAGTAATTTAATTATAAAGGATCAAAAGGTAATTCAATTCTCTATCCTATTTATTATCCATTAAAGTCAAATTAATATAATGAATTCGTCCAGACTCCAACTGTTAATTAGGATTACTAATATTCTGATGTTATTGGAGTCCATTCCATACACCATACTGGTCCACCCTTCTATGTTTAAATCTCCTTTAATTAATTTGCCTATCTATCTGTAATCACAACCAGTCCTAATCTCAAAATTATTCATTCATACCATTCATTGTTCCAAATGATACATACTAACCATCTGCACTCCATGCTGCACATATGATTTTCTCCTTATACTTTTATCTCTCAATATTATTCATTCCAGGAATCCATAATGAATATTCTTAATTTGAACCTGTGAATATCTGATACATTAATGGACTTATTGCAACACATTATATTCCATCACTATGTGAAAAATATTTCTCTGCATCTAACATTTTTTCACCTCTTCCCATATTGAATCCCCAAACAATAACTGTTTTATCCGCACTTCCTGATACCATTTTATTTCCATCCTTAGATGCCGCCAAACATGTTATTGTATCTTTATGTTATCCTCTTAATGGTTGTCTTAACATCTCTGATTTTTATGTATCAAATAAAAGTAAAGCATTCCCCACTGCCGCCACTACAACATCTCCGTCTATTCAATTCACTCAGAATCTTTACCTTTTAAAAAAGCACAAGCAAATACTTGATTTGTTAGATTCTAATTCCCTTCTGTTGGCTTATCTATTGTGTATCTCCATACCTCTTTAGTTTTCATTTAATTTTTATACTATTATCAATTTTATATTTATGAATTCAATCTTAAAAAAAACCATCAAACATATTCATGCCAATCATTTTTCATAAATTAACAATAATTTATACTTTTTTTTTATTTACCCTTTTAACAGTTATATTACAATATATTATATATCAATTTTACTTAATTAATAATCATAGAATATCAAAATAGTAAAAAAAATTTACATAGTAAAAATAATCAAAAAAATAAAAATAATAGAATTTAAAGGCTTCATCCACAAAAGCATCATATAATATTAATGAATTACTTCTAAAGAAATTTAAGAACAATTAAGTTTTTATTATTTAAAGGCAAAATCCGAATAAATAATTAGTAAATGTAGTCTTATCTAAAATTTCACAAATAAAAATTTTTAAATATATCTTTGATTGAAAAAATCTCAGATTTTTATGTCATTAAATTTTGATTTTTTGTTATTTTGTGAAAATATTATAACTTGATTTANTCCATTATATTAGTAATTTAATTATAAAGGATCAAAAGGTAATTCAATTCTCTATCCTATTTATTATCCATTAAAGTCAAATTAATATAATGAATTCGTCCAGACTCCAACTGTTAATTAGGATTACTAATATTCTGATGTTATTGGAGTCCATTCCATACACCATACTGGTCCACCCTTCTATGTTTAAATCTCCTTTAATTAATTTGCCTATCTATCTGTAATCACAACCAGTCCTAATCTCAAAATTATTCATTCATACCATTCATTGTTCCAAATGATACATACTAACCATCTGCACTCCATGCTGCACATATGATTTTCTCCTTATACTTTTATCTCTCAATATTATTCATTCCAGGAATCCATAATGAATATTCTTAATTTGAACCTGTGAATATCTGATACATTAATGGACTTATTGCAACACATTATATTCCATCACTATGTGAAAAATATTTCTCTGCATCTAACATTTTTTCACCTCTTCCCATATTGAATCCCCAAACAATAACTGTTTTATCCGCACTTCCTGATACCATTTTATTTCCATCCTTAGATGCCGCCAAACATGTTATTGTATCTTTATGTTATCCTCTTAATGGTTGTCTTAACATCTCTGATTTTTATGTATCAAATAAAAGTAAAGCATTCCCCACTGCCGCCACTACAACATCTCCGTCTATTCAATTCACTCAGAATCTTTACCTTTTAAAAAAGCACAAGCAAATACTTGATTTGTTAGATTCTAATTCCCTTCTGTTGGCTTATCTATTGTGTATCTCCATACCTCTTTAGTTTTCATTTAATTTTTATACTATTATCAATTTTATATTTATGAATTCAATCTTAAAAAAAACCATCAAACATATTCATGCCAATCATTTTTCATAAATTAACAATAATTTATACTTTTTTTTTATTTACCCTTTTAACAGTTATATTACAATATATTATATATCAATTTTACTTAATTAATAATCATAGAATATCAAAATAGTAAAAAAAATTTACATAGTAAAAATAATCAAAAAAATAAAAATAATAGAATTTAAAGGCTTCATCCACAAAAGCATCATATAATATTAATGAATTACTTCTAAAGAAATTTAAGAACAATTAAGTTTTTATTATTTAAAGGCAAAATCCGAATAAATAATTAGTAAATGTAGTCTTATCTAAAATTTCACAAATAAAAATTTTTAAATATATCTTTGATTGAAAAAATCTCAGATTTTTATGTCATTAAATTTTGATTTTTTGTTATTTTGTGAAAATATTATAACTTGATTTATTGTCAAGTTATTCTATTAAAAATTAACCAAAAAGACCTTTTTTATAAAAATAATAAATTATGTATAGTAATGTTAAAATAATAAATGATAAGGTCATTTAAAATAATCTATTGAATAGAAATTTATAAATAGATAAAGTATAAAAAATAATAATATTTAAAATTAATGAGCTGTTATAAAAGTATTTCACTGAGAATTTAAAAATAAAGCTCATACGACATTATATAAATCTTATCTATGTTAATTCTTAGGTTACTTAATGAGATATTTAAAGAGAACATATAACTAAAAAAAAACTTGTTGGTAATATAATATTTTAGATGTATCGTTGAATGCATTAATTTATAAAACAATGCAATTTCAGATTCAATAAATTCGTTAACATTTCAGCTCCATCGATCGTAAATTCCAACCTACTCCTGCTTTTGTAATGACCAGACCTTTATTTACATGTCGATCCAATTCTCCTTCCTTCTATAAGTTACGCTCTAAGACTCTTCTTAGTCCACTCTCATATTCTTTGGTGAAAATTAATCGTACACCTTAAAGAGAAAATAAATTTACTTTTAGAGGCACAGATAATACTCCTAGTAAGGATACTCCAATTAAAGAATTAAATGAGATTAAATTAACAAAAGTACATTCAACACATGAAAAAATAATGAGTGAATCGTAAGAACGGTTCTATCAATAGAAGAGATAAACAAATAAAAATAATAATAGTCAAGAAAAGATATCTCAATAAAATTAATCACCTTTACAATTTAAAAAGTTGGATATTGCAAAAGTGTAAGAAAAATAAGATAAATAAGAATTATAATTATTTTCAAAGGAAAGCTTATAACGTTATATACAAACAGAAAATTAAGGAAATTAAACAGAAAACTAACAATATTAAATATAAAATTAAGGAAATTAAAAACAGAAAAATTAAGGATATTAAATAGAAAATTAAGGATATTAAATAGAAAATTAAGGATATTAAATAGAAAATTATGAAGATTAAATAGAAAATTATGGAGATTAAACAGAAAAAAGCGAAAATCTTTAATAATATTATGAATAACCTATATCTAAAGGAGGCTTTAATATCTTAAATTAGAGCAAATAAAAAATGCAATAAAAAATATCAGATAATGATAATAATGATATAGATATTGAATAAGAAATCAAGGATTAACCTGAAAATTCTTATCCAGAAGAAACTTAACAATAATAATAATCAAGATTAAAATTATGGGCTTGTAATGCTAATGATTCTTATAAATAAATTAAGGGAAGAAATAATAATCATAAAAAGAGTTCCAAAAAAAGCCCAATTAAACCACCAAAGTCACCAAAAAAATAACATATAATTTATTATAATCAGATCTATTTATATAAGCCTAGAGAAAACAATAAGTAAAATACCTCTAAACTTTCTTATAATTCATCATGTAAGTAGATCAGTCCTAAAAGGTAAAGCAAATAGATTTCATTTATTCTTACAACTCCTAGTAAAAGAAATACAAGAGCACCACAATAATCAAATGAAGATGATGAAATTGAAATCATAAATTTAGCTCCAGAATTTTCTAAATTTATTTGATTAGAAATAGATTTTACAAATTTTTATATAATAAATTATCATTTTTTTTAAATCAAATCCTCTCATTTTTTTGATACCTACATAAACAATTATTCAAAAAGTTCTTTTGCATTTTCAACCTTTAATAGAGTTGAATGTTATTACATTTTTATATCCTGGGAAATGATTAATATCAATTATATAATATTCCCAATTCATCCCAATGATATCAAATCCAAAAAGATGTAATTTAAATTCTTTTGCTATTATTGATGATAATAATTCCATTTGCTTAAGTAATTAAGCCTCATTTGAACATTCATGAACTCCTTCATCAACTTATTTAAGACATTGTGAAACATTTTTAAACAAGTCTTTTTATGTATCAAAAATATAAAAACCCTATGTCCATTAATATCAAATTTACCTCTTCAAACTTAAAATTGTTTATTTCAATATTTGGAATTGATTTACGTTTCTGTACTATCATTTTATCTCCCAATTGATATATTTTGTATATAATGCTGTTATGGTTAATTATTTACTACAAGATTAATTATCCTCTAATCTACTAATAATCTGATACTTAAATTATTCTTGTTTAAACAATCCAATGAGCCCTTACTCATTTACCACTATCGCCATTATATGACAATTAACTGTTAATGCTCCTTATTTACTTTTTACGATTAATGGATATTTCAAATTAGACAAATCTTACGGTTAATCATTATTCTCAAAAACTATTTGTTAAGGAGTCATAATCTTTATGTGATGTTCTTGTATAAAATTTTTAAATTCTTGACTATCAAATATAGATTATAATTTGATATTTAGTTTGTCTCTCTAAATTAACGTATTTAAACATTCTATTGAGTCAATTACAGGTATTTAGGGATTTTCTTTAATGAATAGGTCATAATTTTATTAAAATAATTCAACTTCATTTTATTTCATGTTTATTTCTTTACTCTTATAGATGTCCATAAATCTATGAAATAATAAATCAATTTTTCTATATTTATTTAAGAATCTAAAATCAATAGGAAGGTAATTAAAATTACTGTTTGTAATTAATGTTTCAAATTGAATTAATTCATTAAACTTTTTAGGATAAAAATAATAGCCTATACAAAATGGATTTTCAGATTTTGAGAAAAAAGACATGACTTACTAAATGTGGGAAATATGAAATTTAGTTTTAGGATTCTGTTGATAATATTTAAGTTCTAATTTTTTTTTTTTTTCTAATTATTATGAGACACTAGAAAAATAATATAACTGATATTATTGATTGAGAGTGAATTATTCATAATTATGAGTAACAACAATAATCTCTTGATTTTAGAATGAAGTTTGTTTTAATTGTTAAAATGAGAGTTATTTTGAATCGATTCCTTAAAAATGTTTCTAAAATTCTTCTTAAAAAAATTGATTGGTATTAGGTTTAGTGTGACAGAAAATGAGTAATATTTGAAAATGTTGTTAAAGTAAGATGAAAGATTTTGAAAGAATAGAATTATATTTGTATAATCTTTTCTGTCTTAAATCATATAGTGTGTATCTAGAGTCAATAATTAAGAGAGGCTTGGAATTTTATTGCATTTTATTTATTTAATAATTTATATAAATTTATCTTGTTACTTAATTAATCATTTATTTCAGGATTCAAGAAATAATAATATTCGATATGAATTCCAAAGATTAATTATATTTAAGTAATATTGGCGAATTACAATAAAATAGTTCTAGCAAATGTAAAAGTGCATGAAAATTTTAAATATTTGAATGCACAATTACATAATTGGTTACTTAGAAAATCAAAAAGTTTGATGCAGATCTTGTTAAATGATCTTTGATAATAAAATATGTTTTAGTGAAATAGTAGAAAATCTATGCTGGATTTTTAAGTTTTTTTGTTTCATTTAAACAAGAGATTTCTTAAATGAATGGGTTTTCTTAATTTAGATATTTCTTAGGGATCTCAAAAAATTCAGGTTTAGATTGAATATGTTTGATTTTTTAAAGAAAATTATGAATACTATTGTTATGAATAATATTAAGCACATCTATTAAATGATTTATTAATGTGTCATCATAGATCTAATGTAGAGTATTGAATTACATGTTAGAGACATAAATTGAAATAATTTTATTTATCTTTGATATATTTATTGAAGCTATCTTCAGTTAGATCTTCACCAAAATCTCCTAAATATTCATTTAATGAAAAAATAAAGAAGTTCAAAAATAGATCTGAAGATATCTAGAATTTTGAGAGTCTCTATTTAATATGTTGAATATTATTTTAAAGATTTTTGATACTAATAAATTATGCAGTTGTCCATTCTTTAAATATAATAATGAAGTGAATAAATGGATGTCTTGTACTATTAAAAGCATCATTAATACAAGAAAAAACAACATAGAATTATTAAACTTAAGGATTTTAATCTTCAACGTATATACTATTTTCAATTTTAGATGATATAGATTGACTATCATTAATTTTATCTAAGTTTAATATATAGATTACATGAATTATAATTGGTTGATATAGTAAGATCTGATATTCCTGTGTTTAATAATTGGATATCTTGTCGAAGAAATTCATTGTTATTCCTATAAATATCATAATAAATTGAAATCAATTTACAAAAAGATTTAGCTTTATTAGATGAGTTCATCATATTGTTCATTTTTTATTTTCTAAGTTACTTTGAATAAGGAATATAAATACAAATGGCTTTGATTTTATTCCTAAATTTGTTTTACTCTTTGAAAGAGAATCGATTTAATGATAGAAGAAGAGGTGTAGACCATTCTTCAGAAATTCGAGATAATTTCTCCTTCATTATAGATGGCCAATCATCCTAATATAGAGTTTATGTATTACATTTACACCTAACCAAACTGTGGAGATTAATTTCTAATCATTTTTTTATGAATTACCCATAAATAATAAATATTTTAATTAATATCATCATTATTAAGAATGTAATTTACATTACATTAAAGATTAAGCACAATGTTAACAAAACAGTTCTAACATGTCTAAATCTATTGAATTTACTTTGGCATCACTATTAGATGATATATTTCCAATTCCTTTTACATTTACTACTTGAATGGCTCCAATTATTTTATGATTTTATGTTTTCAAAGGCATACAAATAATAGGCATATTTGTTTCAATGTCGATAGTTGGATTAAATATAGGACTTGTATAACAATTACTTACAGCCATCATTTATTATTCATCAATACATTTACCTACTATTCCTAATAGATTCTAAGTCTCAGTCATCTTACCTTCTTTATTTATATGATACAAATAATTATTCCAATATATTACTTTAGCATGATCAACATTCATTAATGATCTAAGACGTTCTTCAGATGAAAGTAATAGTTCTAACATATTATCTTGTTTTCCTTATAAAATGATACCTGTTTTTATAATATGTCTAAGTTTATTTTAAATCAACATTTAAGCATCATGATTCAATGCATTTTTAAGAACACTCTTACTAAATTCAGCCATAATTTAGAGTAATGCTTCATCATCCTTAGTAAAGAAACCATTAGTTTTATTTACACATTACAGTACTCCTACACATTTCTCTCCATCTAAAATAGGAGATACTAAAAGAGTTTTAGTTTTATAATTATTTTTTACATCTTATTATGTATTAAATCTTTAATCTCTATAAGCATCTTCAATATTCAAAATTGTGTGATTCTATGCCACAAAACCTGCTAATCCCTAACCTATTTATAATCTAATAGTTGTAGATGTTCCTTTAGCAACTCTAGTCCATAATTCTTTTTTAGCTTAATCTACTATGAAACACGAAGCTCTATCACATTCTAAACAATCAACACATTTATCGATGATATTTTATAATGCATCATCAAGTAAAACTGATGTATTCATTTGTAATGCTCCTGTTACGATCTTTTTCAATCTTAATACCAAAATAAATAATTGTTAATGATCTGACATTACTCTCTTTAACTTATCAAAAAGAAATGATAATTTTTATGCTGATATTGATTAAATTATTTCACTAAAGATTTCTTCAGAATCTAACAGTACTTTCATTAGTGAAACTGTTCCATCTTAATTATATTAAGCTGTTGCATCTTCATCAGCTATCATATTTAAATTTTAATATTACATAATTGGATATTTAAAATAGCATTAGTTCTAAAACAATCTTCTTATTATAAAATATCATAAAAATTAGATGATCCAGATATGTTCCTATCACTTTTGTATGTATCTCCTTCTTCTTGATGATATTTCATTAATGTAGGATTACGAAAAGTTTATCTTCTGAATAATTTAATTGATTATGAATTATCTTCAGGTATTTTATTTACCTTTTTCTCTAAAGGCATTAATGATTTATGATTCTTAATTTTTAAATTTGATTAACTTCCTTAATTTAATTATCTTTCATCTCTTAAGATGCTTAACTTTGCTTGATTAGCTTACATTAAATATTCATTAATATGAGTTAATCTATCAATTTCTTTTTATTATAGTTTAACTAAGTTTTGTAGTTTTCGTATTTAATCTTCTTTATTCTCTAAAACTGCTTCCAATTTATCTATTTCTTTTTATTAGTTTTTATAATTTTCAGTTAATTTCTTAGTAAAATCTTCTTATGCATCAAATTCTTTATTCTTTGGTGATGCCATTAATTAACTACGATCTGTTTTTATTTTATATTTTTTGTTATTTTCAACAGCATTTGATTCTTATAATTTATTCATTTATTTAATAAACACAATTAAGTCTAATTGAATTACAAAAAATCATAAATTTAATGAATTAAATAATTCTTTCTAATTTTAGACAATTAAAACCTAGTTTAGAAAGTGATTAACATTCTTTTTTGTAATAGTACAACTAACTCACAAATAATGGTTTTGTTAGAACATTATCATAATTTATAAAATTATAATTCACTATTTAAGAGGTTTCTTTTGTATTCCACTTTAATACCCTTTTCTTCCCAAGTTTCGTTCCATCTTTCTAAAACATAACCTAAAAATCTTTGAACATCTTCAATGCAAACTCTAGGTAAATATAGACTTAAAAAACAAGTAACAACTGAAAATGCGAATGCTAAAATAAAAGTGAAAAAACATGGCCAATATTTAACTATAACATCATTTACCTCATTAATAAAGATTTCAAAATCATCTTTTGTTATAAATGGTTCCAATTCTTTTGGATATTCATTTGAATATGATTTTGATGGACCAATAAAATAATGGACTCCACTTGATTTAATACTAGTTATCAATATTAATGGATGTTATTTTCTTCGAATACTCTCTATCTTAGCTAATTCAAATGCATTTGCTCTTGGATCAAATGGATATCTTGAATCTGTTTATAAGTCACAAGCTTCGTAACTCATTATTAATTACAAAAAATAAATAATGAAAAAGCATCCTTCTGAAAATATATTAGATTATTGTGTATTTTATAAGGATAGATAACTTCCACCATTACATAAAACTGAAGCTGTTAAACGAGCCTTAATTATAGATTCATTAACAAATAATGAACATCCTCTTAATTAGTTAATTCAATAAAAATAAACATTTGTACCTTTTATCAATGAAAGAGATAATTTGGGTAGATTAATATCAAGTGAATCTTATCATAGAAAAAGAAAAAGTGATGCATCCAGTATCTTTAATTCTCCAAAAAGTAGTCATCACTTTCTAACTAAGAACTCAATTTCTAATACAAGTAGTTTGTGTGAAAATTAACTACCAGCTACAAGGCTAAAATTAAAGAATCTTTTAGGATGTACTCCTGAAAATACAGAATTAATTTAATCTACTTTATTTGCTAGTTAAAGCGAATTTAAATAATCATTTTAGTTCAATTCTAAACATAATTAAGTCTCTCTAAAAATGCATAAGAAAAATAATAGTCTATAAAATAAACTTCCTTAATTTATTAAAGAATCAAAGATACCTGACATTAAATTGATCTAATTACCAACTACACCATAAGCTACTCGGTTTTATTAAAGCAATTTTGTTATTGAAATGTTTAATTTAAATAAGTATAAGTCTTTAAAATAATAAAAGAATACCAGAATATAAAATGTAATATGTTATATTAATGGAAACTATGAGTAAATTTTAAATTGATTTTTTAAAGAATTTAACTGCAAATGAAAGACGAAGAACATTCGTTAAATTAGACAAAAATCGAAGATTTAAATTGAGTTTATTATTACTAATTTCTAAGCCTCATACCTAGTATAGAATGTTATAATGATTTGTATATAATTTATATATGATAATAGTTTAATTGTTATTTAGTGTAGCATGTATTCATTTTGTTTTAGCAAAATATACAATATTTTTAGATACAAAGTAAGTATAGGAAAGTACATTCTTAATTGATATAAATTCAACCAAACTAGAAACAAACAAAACATTGGTATTACAAAACTTTTATAATTATTAATATGTTGGACAAATCCGAGTTCTTTCATAAGACTCAATATTAAAGTAAATGTTATACTATGATGAGATTTAATGTTATATTTGATACAGGTTCATCATAAATGTGGTTACCAAGTGTGAATTGTTAAAGATGTAATAAAAATTAAATTGGAATTGTATGTGAATAACCAACATGTATTCAATCTTAAGAATAAGCTTCAATTACTTACCATGTTGGAGCTTTGATAGGAGTTAAATGTTTAGGTATGTTCTCAATAAATGAGTATTTTGATGAATCTTAATTTATTTTAGTTGATGAAGTAATTGGAATGGAAGGAGCAATATATGATGGAGTAGTAGGATTGTAATAACAATCTAATCATTCATTTATAGAGTGGCCTATCAGTTTTTATTATAATTTTGAAAACTCTAATCGTTAATCATCAATTACATTTGGAGGTTATGATGATAGTTTATTTAATAAGGAAATAAGATATGTTAAATCTGATGAATAATGGATCATTTACTCGTAATCAATAGATATTAATGGAATTTTAGGAGTTAATCATTTTGTAATGATTGATTCTGGAAGTTCATTATTGATATTCCCTCAAAATATTTTAGTGAATTTACAAAATGTTTTTAAAAACTGTATATGGACAGAAATAATTAAATGTTCATGTCCAACAAATGATATTTATTAATTCCCTACTATAAAAGTTCTTTTAGATTAATAAGAATTTTCATTAGAACCATAATTCTATATTCATACTAACAATCATGAACCTATTTGTTATATTTTGATATCAAATATTAGATCACATAATGATCAATTAATGATTTTAGGTAGTCCATTTATGAGAAAATATTATACTATATTTGATAAATTAAATAGTTAAATTGGTTTAGTAGAATCTATATAATATTAAGAATCAAATTCAAAGAATCTACTTAAGAACTTTTTTACTTTAATTGGTTGTACAATTATTGCCATAGGAATCATTAAGATTGTCAATTATATTATGGAATATGAATTAAAAAAATAAAATAATTAGAAATCATAAATGGTATGAATGTATCAAGATTAATATTATTATTAATTCAAAATTAATATTCTTAAAATACTTAATAATATATAAGAAATATGATAAATACAAAAATTTTTAAAAAGAATCAACAACAGCTTTTTTTATCATTTTTCTCTTCTTAATTTTATTTCCCATTTAAAGTAATATTATAATAAGGAGATTAATTATTTTAAAGTTTACTTTTTTTTTTATTTTTTCCATTTAAATTTACTTTAATTCCTAACATCTATTATAATTAAACTAAACGTTACTTAATCATCTAAATTAATTTATTTTGTTTCGATTTTTCTTAAAATTTTAATAGCCACACTTTCAAAGACAACATCGACATTTTAACCAGTTTTAGCTGAAGCTTCATAAAAATCTAGTTTTTCTTATTATGCATATTCTTAAACTTCTTATATTGTTAAATCTTTATTTGGTAAATCTGATTTATTGCCAACAAGTACTAATTAAATTTTATCACAAGAATAAGTTTTAATCTCTTTTAACCATTTTTTTATATCTTCAAATGTTGATCTTCTACTAAAATCAAATACTAATAATCCTCCAATTGCTCCTCTATAATATGATCTTGTAATTGATTTAAATGAATCTTAACCAGCCTATTTAATTATTGTTTATATATTTACAGTATCCCAAATTTAAAGTTTTATCAATTAATCATTTAATTTTATTGTTTTATAACCAAATTCAACACCAACTGTGCTCTCTGTATGATCACTAAATTTATTTTCTGTGAATTGTAACAATAAACAAGATTTACCTACATCTTTTATATTGTTATTCATTCAATTACTTGTATCACCAACTACAATGTACTTAAACATATAATTATAATCATTGCTCATTTAATTAAATAAAAAATAAACTATTCTAAATTTTATTATCTATACTATTAATATTATTATATATATATTTTTTATTTTACATACTTCTAATAATCTTTAAGATATTAATTTATTTATTAAATCAAAATTATTCTAAATAATTTAATTCATCTTCTATTTATTGAATTCTTCTTTATTAAGCTTATGTCCTATTTTAACTAGGGATTTATCTTAATTCATTTTTTAATTACATTTTCCTTAGATTTCTTTAATTTTCTTCATTATTTTAACTAATCTAGAATTATTAATATTACTTTTAATTATTATTAGTAGGGTATTATTATTATAAGAATTAACTTTAATTAATAGATGCTTACTACATTGATGGATTATTAGTAAAAGATTACATTGAAAATTATTTTAATTAAAAGTTTTCTCTTTGTAGTTCTTAAATCATTCCTTAAAATTAAATTAACCTAGTTTATGCTTCCTATTAATTTAATTTTTTATATTGATACTTTTAACTCTATTTCTAGTTTGTTTTTTTATTGTTAAATTACAACTAATTATTCTCTATAAATATATATTAAATTCATAATTACTTAATTTAAAGTGATTCCATTACTATATCAGGATTAGAATTCTAATTAAAAATAACTTTCAATTTCTTTAACTCATCTAAGGTTTTTTAATGTTGAGTTTATAAATTTAAAATATTTGAATTTTCCTATTGATGAGATTATTATTATTGAGAATGTTATTTTTCAATCATTTAAATTTATTGTCTTAACTGGGTATTTTCTTGATTTTTTTTCTATTATATTGTTTATAATACTTAAAGTTCAGAATCTTTTTCAATGATAATATTTTTTAAATTATTAATGGTTTAATCTTAAAATGCTATAATTTACATTTGTAATGCATAATTAGGATCATCTGTTTGATTGTTATTTTAAGGTATGTTATTATTTTTCTTATCACTCATTATCTACAATATTATTGGCCAATTCAATAATAAATAAGATTATAATCTATACAAATATTTGCCGCTTTTAGGTATTATTTAAATTATATAATCAAGATAAGTTCAATGGCAAAAGGAAAGTAAGTAAAATAAGAACAAGTTAAATAAATTGAAGTTGTTGATAAGAAAGTAAAAAAGGGAAAAAAAACAAAAGTAAATGATGAACCAGTTGATTAACCAGTTTCACCACCTTAATCTCCTGTTAAGAAAGGAAAAAAATAATAATAAGAAAAAAAGGTAAAAGCTACAAAAGAAAGATTTAGTAATAATTAATTTGAAACATAGATAAACTTTATTATCCTGAAGTTCCTAATCAATAATTTCCAAATTAATTATAAGAAAATGTGATTAATGTAATTGCTTCATTTGGAACATCTGTGCCATTAACTGATATTACAAATAACCTTAGTTTATTCTATACAAATTCTATTGAAGAATAAACAGTTCATAATTTTTTAGCATAAGCAGAAGAAAATGGTATTATCTATGAAAGATCTGGTTAATATCATGTTTCATAAGAATTAATTCCACCTTAAGTATTATAATTCTTAATATTTAGCCTCAAACAAAATAGGTTGTATCTTAAAGCATTGAATAAGAAGTACTCTAATAATAATTGATTGAATCTGCAGTTAAATAATAATAATTAGATCATGATTAAATTGATTTTGAAGATTAAATTTAAAATTAAGTTAGTGAAAAAAAAGATTGTATTTATATTTATTAATCAAAGAAGTCCTTAATGATAACGATGAGAATCCCAATTCATTTTGATTAATTATTATTCAATATTAATAATCTTTTTAAATAATTGTATATTCTATTATTATATCATAATCATATTCATTATTATTGTATTATTTTAATATAATATTCTTTTTATTTTTCATTTTCATTTATGTCCTGTAAAAATAATAATTAATTAGAATAATATTCTATTGGATAAAAAGTGTCTAATCTCAAGAATTATTTAATAAAACTATACAATCTAAAATTATTCATTAAAAAAAGAATACTTCAAAAGTTCTATTGAATTTTAATTAATTGGTGTTTAAAACCATTCTTCTGAGTAAAATAATTTAAAGTAATATTAATAAATGTCAAATTCTTTTTGATTAGGTAATTCAATTTATTCAATAAATCTTTAAAATTTTATGTAATCAGGCATATCCCCCTTTATTTCTGTTTTTATGTATTCAAATTCATTCATAAATTTCTATATTTAAAAACAATAATACTGATTTCCATTTCAATAATAATTTCATTCTTTTTTCTAATTCCTCTTTAAGAAATTTTGATTATCTTGTTTGAGTTGTCTTAAATTAGTAAATCTATTCTTTGTAATCGTTTTCTGTTTCAAATATTTTATAAAATTAATTAGAGATTCCAGCATAATCACTTTCTGGGGCTATAAAATTATACCCCGATTATAATTGATAATAACCATATTGAGCGACACAAATTTTTAAAACTCTTATGTATAACTAATTTTGCTAATTACCAAACCATTTGTGTTTAAATAATTCTTGAAGCCATCTCATTAGACCATTTACCAATTTATCTCTTAATAAAATGATTTACAATAAATTTTCTGCATTAAATCCTGTTTATTATATATCAATCAGATTAACACCCTCTATGTTTTCTTAATTTTAATTCATATCAATAAAAATTTATAAGTCAAATTAAACAATTCGAAATGTTTTTCTACTAAATTCTTTATTAGATTTATTCATTATTCTTCTCTATTAACTACAACAACTTTCTAATCTTCTCTTTTGCATTTATAAAACTAATTATTTTTAGTAATCTTATTTTTAAATTAGTATTATAGTAATTTAACTAACTTAAATTTTTTATTAGATTGATTTCAATTCAGTATTGTAATCAAGAACCTAATTTTGATCAAATTTTATTCGATTACATTATGTTCAAATTTGTGAATTGAAATTTAATTAAATCTGAAAAAGCAATAATACATTAAAAATAGCCAATATTGTAAGAGCTTTCAGACTTGTTATATTTAAAAGATCTATTAATTATAAAGATTAGATTTGAAATTTCAAAATTAAATTAAATTTGAAAAAGTTAAATTTATCTTTTTTAATGAAAATCTTCAAATGTAAATTATTTGACATTCTTGCTCTTACCTAATAACCTATGTCAAATTCGAGTTTGTGAAAATCTTAAGTTTATTAAAGATTTAAAAATCTAAGAATAAAATGTTACATCAAAGTATTTAGCACTTAAAAATTATTAAATAATTCTCCAAAAAAGCAAATAACAAAATCGAATAATAAGGAAATTTAATACTATTATACAATAAAGACTTTTATTCAATGTATAAACTAGCTAAAATAGATATCCTCTAGTTTATTATCTTTTAGACTAAAACGAAAGATGAAAGAATAGATTATTAAATTTAAGTCTTGATGTGAATTAGTCAAAGAAAAATTAAAATAAGTTTTTTAAAATTAAATTATAATATTATATTATTTTTTGAAAATCACTAAAAATATCAATTTAAAAATGAATATGAAAAAAATAATAGAAAATTATTAACAAGTTTTATTAAAGATGTTCTATTTTAAATTAATTTCTTGAATTAAATAGCATGGATATGCAAAAATTTATAAATTAATTATAATTAATAATTTTATCATGGATTTAAGAACTCCAGAGAAAATTCAAAAATAGTTAATACTAACATAAGCACCAAAGAAAAGAAAGAATTGCTCATATAAATATAATCATTCGGAATTAAATACTATTAAGAGACAATTATTTTTTTCTAATGATGAATAAGAATAAGAAAGAAATAATGTAGAATTTTCTTTTTGAGATATGTTGTTTATTAATTTTTTTTTTTCAAAGTCAATTGTCATTCTTCAAATTTTAAGGGTCTCTTCTTTATTAAAAAATAGAAGAAAAAACTAAAGTGGATTGCTTTAAAAAAATTTAAAAACTAAAGGAAAATAGAATTATAATTTTTAATGAGAAGAAAATAAATTTATAACAATATGATTAGAGTTTAGTTTTGTTATAAGGATAAAGAAAATAAGAAAATTTACGGATTATTATAAATTTGATAAGAAGTGTCAAAATGTTTTAGGAATATTTTTGATCACAGTTTAAAGTTACTTAATAAAAACAGGTTTAATAATGATATCGAGCATACCAAGAGTTTTACATTATGTTTCTGTTTCATAATCATCATGAGCAGTACATGCTATGATAGGGATTTTCTTAATTTAATTAGATTTCATTAAATCAATTAATATAGATGTAGCTCTAAATGATATTTATTAATTACTTAAATCCATTTAAAATGGGCATATCTAAATCCATTAATATAAATTTAATTTTTAAATGATTTTCTTATATTTTATTGATACATTCTCTTCCATTATATGCATGTATAAAATTTGTATATCCAATTCTTTTTAACATCATTATAAGTGCATCATGATTAAAGGGTTCATCATCAACAATCATTATTTATTAATCTTTATCAACTATTAATTCTTAATTAGAATCTACTCCAGGATCTTTAAAACTAAATTGTCTTAGAAATGAATTCACATCAAAAATAGATGAAGATCTTTTATTATACATTTATGAATGTTTGCTTTAGACTTATAATGAAGGTTATTAAGTAATTGTTTATTTTACATTCTTTACATGTTTTAATTATTCTATTTTTATTTCTTACCTTTTTGGTTCAATTTCTATCTACTCATTTTCCTCTTATATTTCATCAACATGATCTTATTAATTTATTAAAACATTTATTTCTGATCTATCTGAACTTAAACTACCAAACCCTATTTCTGATATACCTTTATTGATATTCAATTCTTATAATATAGAAAACCTAAATTCATTCTCTATTTATTTATTAATTTCTAAATAACCCTTATTACCATTCAATAAATGAATTAATTTATTAGTTACAAATAAAGTTGTTCCTAATTTATAAATCCAACAACGCTTTATTGAATGTGATGGATTTAAATGATATTAAAATTATAAATTATAATCTGCCATCATTTCTCTTGTCATTCCTATTCCTGAATCTTTTATTGCAAAATTTACAGTTCCTTAAAATAATTCAACTGTTAAATAAATTATTCCATTCTAATTTGAATGTCTGTAAGCATTATTTAATAAATTATATAATATTCTTTCTAATTTCAAAGAGTCAGTGTATAAAAAAACGATTCTACTAATATTCTATATTCATACCCTTTATAATCTTTGTACTGAACATTTTCAATTAAAATACGCAATTAAATTTACTTAGCCTTGCATTATTCTCTAATCAAATCTCTTGCATTTTAAATTATTTAATTTAATGTTACACGCTAAGGTTAAAATGTCAGAGAATCTAAATTAACATAATCTAAGAAATCTAAAATCCCATACAATTAACATTTCTATTAAATATATATTTGAGATAGTATCAATTTTTAGTATGGTAACACATTTAAATCAGTAAGCATTGATGTTATTTTAGCTAATGCTTAATTTAATGGAGTTTTCAATTTATGAGAAAAGATTTAAGATAAATGTTATCGAAATCTTCTTTTAGATCCTTTTAATTTAAAATATAATAGACTATCAAGTCTTGTGAAATTTAATATATAATCTTAGATTTTATTTCTTGTTATTTATACTCTATAAATTTCTTTATAATTTTTCTCTGTTGTTATATATAGAATATAAAATAAATTCTAATTTTCTTTATCATAAACTTATAATAATTCTTCAGTAGAATAACAAAAATAAGTTTTCTTCCATTCAGGATAGAATATATCTTTTAAACTTGGAATTGAATCTTATGCTTAGTAAATTTGGTAGTGAAATTCATTTTAAGTGCTTTGATTTATTGATAATGTATTTCTTTCTTTATTTTGACGGTTTACATCTGATATATTTGATTTTTAGCATTTTCGTTTTATTTCTTAATGATTAATATTAAATCGTCTTTGAAACTCATTTGAATTTGGGTTATGTGCAATTTTATAATTTTTGTATTACAAATAGACATCAAATAAAAAGAGTAAAACTAATTCTACAATAGTTTATTCATATGATTTTTAATGAACACTATTAAAATGACTTATACAAAAAATTAACATTGAAATAAGTGCGAATTAATTAAGGATTAGTATGTCTTTTTTTAGGTTGTATACATATATTATAATCCAAAAATCTGTATAACCAAACATAGATAATAAAGTAGCCAATAGAAATAGCATTAAAACTACTTTTGAATGAAAAATAAAACAGTCTAATTTTATAGTGATTAAGTGTACTTAACATAAAATATAAAGAATATACCTATTATCAATGAAACTTCAATGAAATTCAAAATTAACAAATTATATTTCTGTTCAATAATTGAAAATGGAATTTAAATTAATTGTAACAGAAAAATGAGCACCACATCATGTTCGATTATGTTATACATGTTAGTAATGTAAATATTAATAATATTTAAATCAAATTTGTAATTAAGAAGTAAGACAGAGCATTGATCGTTTTCTAACATCATCAGAATTAGTTATTTATTAGAATGCTTCTCTTAGAGTTTTTCCAAATACTGGTTTCACAACTACACATAACATTCCTGCCTATATACATTTATCCATAGTTTCTTTATCATCATGAGCAGTACAACCAATTATTGGAATGTAAACTAGTTTTTAATCCATCATCAATTCTACTAAAACTTTTGTAGCCTTTTATATTATCAAATATGTATATATACTTCTATTCCTCCCATGATAGGCATATCTAAATCCATTATAATTATACTAATTTCATCTTCTTTTTCCTTAGTTATCTCAATTGCCTATTATCCATTATAAGCTTTTAAGAATTAATTGTATCCCATATTCTTCATCATTAAAATTAATATATCATGATTAAATGGTTCATCATCAACTATCAATATTTATTTATCATAATCTATTAATCCTTTATTAGTAAAAGAGGATTGAACCCTTTTTATAGTTCTAGGAGTCTTATTTTATTTTGGTTAATTTATTCGATTATTAATAGGAGTATTTGCAATTGGTTCATTTTCCACTTTTATAGAGTTTTATAACATTTAAGATTCACCTTATAAAAACATAGATTAATTCGTTCTATTTTTTACATTCTTGTTGCTTTTTTATTTAAGCATAAAACCAATTGTAAACTATTCTTAAGATCCATCTGTTGTTTTATTTTCTTTGATAATTAATTTGAATTTGAATTCTGTTCCATTAACTGATGATGAAATTTCTAGATGTTATTCATAATCATTTAATATATTAATTAAATGATTAGTAATTTCTAAAGATAATTTTATTTCCTTTTTTAATGCTATTTATTTTTTTTTATATTAAAATTCTTCTTTTTATTGAATCCATTTATTTAAATTTGATAATTCTTCATTTGTAAATAAATATTCATTACCATTAACAATAAATATTAATTCAGAATTTTTCTTGTCAATAAATAAATTTAAATTAATTTAACCATTTTATGGAGTATATCTATATGTTAAATTAAGTAAATTATATAGAATTCTTTCTAATTTCAATAAATCAGATTAAATGTAAAATCTATAAAATGCATATTTCTAAAATATACTTATCAATATTTTTTAAAGGTATATGCTCTACAAATACTTAGAAAAGTATCTTTTTATGTTAACATTAAGATTCTATCAATTCATTTAGTGTGTATAAGAATGATTTCATATTGATTTTACAATATTAGGCTCTAGTTTAATCACATTATGGATTGAGAAATTCCAAAAGGTCTGATATTTAAAAATATTACAATTTAGAATTGATATATGCAGGTTTAATATAATTTTATTTTATGTTATTATCCATCTCTGTATAATTATAAGCAGATGATAAAAAACCTAAAGATGCATTTAATGGTGTTTTTAATTTATGAGCAAATATATCATAAAAATATTTCTTAAATTTATTGAACTTCCAAATCATTTATTTCTCAACAAAATTATCAATTCTAATTAATGCAATAATTATTAAATCTTTTTTTCCTAATTCTTTGTAAAATACTTTATATTTAGTTTTAATTTTCTTAATTTAATCAGTTTAAACAGCAACATAATGATAACACATTTAAGAATCTAAATTATCTAGATTTTATATATGTTCTATAAAAGTCTAATAATCATTAAATACTAAGTTTGGTTTCCAACCACATTAATTTATTGGAGTATGAGCTATTTCTTTATCTTAATATGCCTTAATTTGAAAATTCTAATGATTATCAGATTGATTTGTATTCAATTAGAAGTATGTATTATTTTAATTAGGGAGAGTTCTCGAAATATCATTAAAATTTTGATCAAATATTTTAAAAACAATTAATTTCTTAATTTCTTAAATAATTAAATTTTCTCCAATGTCAATTTTTGAATTCAGTTCATTCTAATAGAAAATTTGATAAAGGAAAATAACAATAAAATAATTAAGCTATTAAAAATAAGCATAATTGAACATACCATCATATTAGATAGAATATAATATAATATTGATAGAGAATTAAGTAAATGAAAAGTATTAAAGTATTTTATTTTGTTTTTCTTATTTGAATATTTGTAAAAGATAAATTAAAAACCATAATGACTTAATTCCATAATAGTATATTTATAGTGCATTATAAAAGAACAAATTAAATAAGAAAAGCTTTTCACATATTTTGAACTTAAACTTGAGAAAGAAAAGCGCTTTTAAATAATAGATCAAATTTACTTATGCAAAAGAATAAAATCAAAGAATTGCAAACAATATTAGGTATTTCTTTGATTAATATACCGTTGACTATATCTAAAATAACAATAGCCCCAAAAACGATTTAAAATTATTGCGTTCCTTCGATCATCTAATATTAATAATAATTAGAAATAAACAATTTAATAGCATCAGAAATAAGAAAAGAATAAAAATTAAATATCATTTTATACTTGACGATATAACTTTGGATCCAGCTAAAAGATTTGATGTTCTGAACTTAATTTCATTTACTTTCATAAATGCTTCTTATAAACTTCTTAAAAATACTGGTTTTGCAATAACACATAGCATACCTGCTTCAATACATTCTTATTAGGTTTTAATATCATCATGAGCAGTACAAGCAACAATTGGTATATAGTTAATTTCATTTTATTAAATTAATTCAATCAAAATTTTAGTTGCCTTAAAAATATAATGAATTTTTACTCTTATTCCTCCCATTATTGGCATATCTAAATCCATAAAAATTATATTTATTTAAGAATGATGCTTTTCCACTAATTCTATACATTATTAACCATTATATCCACTTATAAAATTTTTGAACCCAAGACTTTTTAACATTAATTTTAATGTATCATGATTAAATGGTTCATCATCTATTAACATTATAGTTTAATTAAAATCTTATCTAAAATCTATTGAATCTGCAATTCTTTTCATGTTTAGAGATTTTTCAAATGCTAAAGAATAAGTCAAAGATTTTTCTAATATTTCTTTCTAATATATATTCTTTTAATATTATATTATGCTTTTTTAAGCTTCTTATGCTTTTTAAACTTGAATTTATGATGATTATAATTGATTTTAAGTATTCAAAAAAAATGGTTTTTTTGCACAAGGCTCTTAATCAATTGATTATCCCTCAATCATTTTTTCTCGACTAATTTTACATATAAATAATACCTAATCTAATGTTAACTACGATTATAATTAATAAAATGATAACTATTTACTGGAAATTTTGTTGTTAAAGTATTTCTAGTTTGATAATTCTAATTAAATATTTATAAATCCATTGTCTATTCAAAACTTCCTTATTAACAATTTATATTAATAAAGAAATTATAACTAGCACCTTCTTCAATGTTATTTCTAACTTAAAGTGAACATTACATATCACTTAGGAAAAATATCAATTTATTTGTGATTTGTAATGTTAAACTAAATTTGAACTTTTATTACTTTGCTATTGAGTATCTAAATCTAGAAATAGATTAATTTTATTATTATGCATATAAATTAATTAAATCTATTTATTCTTATGTGAATCCAAAATTATTGTCATTTATCTTAAATTATACTTAATTCAATTCAGAATCTATTTCAATATTAAGACAAATCTTTCCATGTATTTACGTGTGTCTATACGACTTATTTAATAAATTAAAAAGAATTCTTTCCAATCTCTGTTGATCTGTTTATAAATATATATGTCTATAAATAACATCAGTAATTACTTCTCCATAATATTAAATGGTTTAGCATTTATTGTAAATTCTATTTATATATGTTTTGCTCTGCATTGCTATTCTATTAAATCATAAATTAAACTTAGGGTTTTATGCAAGTTAACTTTTTTAATTTGAAATTGAAGTAAATCTTCTTAATTTACGTATTCTAAAATATCTTGAAATTAATAATATTAAATCTTAGAGTTAATAAAAGCAGGTTTTAAAAAGTTTTGCAATATTTGTTCATCTACAATAAGATTTTCTTATATAACAGTTTACAAAATTCCAAGAGTTGCGTTTAAAGGAGTTTTTAGTTTATGTTTAAATATTTTGGATAAACAAAGTTTAAATTTATTTATAATCTTGTTCTTTTTATAAAATAAATTATCTTCTTAAGGAATCATTCCAATCAAATTATAGTTTTTTCCTAAAGTCTTAAATTATTATACATAAATTCTCCATTTTTACTTTTATTTTGTTGAAATATCTAATTCAGAAACAAAAATGATTTTATTCTACATTTCTTTGGATTCTTTTTAAAAAATCTCCAGGAAACCGCTAAAACTATCAAATACTAATGGTTTTGAATTAAAAATATGAGATCCTTAATCATTATAATTATTAGAGTAGCACTTAATTTTAAATTCCTTTTTCACTTCCTATTATAATTATTAATTTTCTAATCGATATGAAAATAGGGAAGCCCCAGATAGATTTGTAATGTCTGATTGATTGAATTTATATTTATCGATATCAATAAGATTTTCATCATAAATAAAATATTTTATTTTAAGAAATATCGACTTTATAAGTTGCTTTTAAGCAATCTTTTTTTCAGTCGACAAATTACATCGATTATATATTAAAAGTCCCATAAAAAATACTTATTCTAATAAGGATTGCAAATAATATATTGGACAAATTGGTTAAATTTAAGAAGATGTTGTTGTGATTGTTATTAATAAAATAATGAATTGTATAAATGGCTTATTTGGAGCAACAGCTAATAGGCTAAACCAAATATAAGGAACACCCTTTAACACAAGTTAATATAAACAATAATATAATTTAACTGCCATTTCAAGTAATTTTGGTTTCTTTTAATATTTGTGTTTATAAAATACAATGACTTAAATATGTTTGAATAATATTACATATAATAATTCCAAGAAGAGAGGAATTTAGTACAATAGGCTAAATTTACTAATTTGCCACACCAAAAGCTAAATCAAGCATAGAGAGACATATCATTGTAGGGTTTCTATTAAACTTTGTTACAAAGCTCATAATAAATTAATAATAAATTAAAACATTAACACATTTAAATAAATAATCTATTTGTAGAATCAAAGAAGATTTTGTAGAAATTTCTTAAATATGATAAGGTAAAAATTAGATAATGAACTGTTTTAAAAACAATAAACAAGAATATAAGAGAGAGATTAAAGACAAGAAGAGAAAACTTGCTATATTAATTTTTGAAAAAAGTTATAAAATATAAAATGAATGAATAAATGCAATGTAATAAATTCCATAATTATATAATTTTGATGATTAGGTTTTTGAGTAAAAATAAATAAGGAGTTGCTTCATAAAAACTGGTAATTATCTTTTTTAAAAATAAAGATAATTCTCTAACAAAAGTAACAGGATTAATTGAATAGAATGTATTATAAATAATTCATAAAAATAAGATTGATTGGAAGGTACATGTTAATTAATCATAAGCTTGTTCAACTTGTCATTTGATACCTGAAGAAGAAGATTTATTATATTAGGGTTATGGGTCGACAGAAACATCTAGATTAGGATGTAAAGAATAGATAAATGAAAAGATTTGAGAATGTTGTGATACAATTACCAAATCCAAAAAGGAATTTCTGAATAGATGGTCATAAATCAAAGTCTCATTGATTTAATTAAATTATGAATAAATATATTCTTAAAATAGGTGGATTGGAATAAAAATAATAGTTTATTTAGATTAAAATATAAATATCTATTTGACTTGAATATTTATGTATAATATTATAAAATAAATAATGATATAATAGTTGAAATATAATGTGAAAACAATTAAAATAAAAGATTTAGGTATTTGTATGATTAATTAAATATGTAACGAATTGATATTGAATAATGTATGATAATTAATAATCATTCTAATTCTTCTAAATAATCTTTAACTTAGGAAGGTGGTAAGATTCTGAAAACATGATCATCTCTAATAACACCTACTTCAATATTAGTAGGTGTAATTTAACCTTAAATATAAATAATATAAAATACCTTCAAATCCTTCTTTTAATGTTAATAATGCTGTGTTAATAGCATCTTCAATTTCCATATCTACATTATATCTCTTTTCTAGAAATGCCTTAGCATTCTTTGCTTATTTTCCTATAGCTGTTGCCTTCCAACTATAATAAGCACCACTTGGATCTAATTACACCAAATGTGGACCTTCTTCATCATATCCAGCTATCAATATTGATACACCAAATGGTCTTATTCCACCTCTCTATGTTGCTACTTATACATCCTAAATCTATTCTATATTTCTACTTCTGCTAATTCTCTACTTAATGTTTATACAAACATCTCTTCTTAATATTTCAAATCATATTTCTTTACTAACTTTCTTGCTTATTAAGACAACACTCTAAAATCTGGTCCTAATCCAGCATATGTTGCTGCTATATTATCACTCATCAATGATATCTTCTACACACTTTATTCTTCTATTAATATTGATGTTTATTTCTTTTCCACTACCAATACTACACCATTCTTTGCCTTTATTCCTATTGCTGTATCTCCCTTTGCAACAGCATTCAATGCATATTCTATCTGTAATAACTTACCTTTGCTACTAAATGTTGTCAAAGCGAAATCTGTCATACTGGGGTTTTTAATTATTTAATTTTTAATTCATTATCATCATTATTTATTCATAAATTTCATTCTTTATTTCTATAGTGCCTTTATCTAAACTCTGTATAATCAGCTTCTATTTATTTTTTAGTATTGATAAATTATCATTACTTAAATAACTATTTATATACACTTATTATTAATTTTAACTCATTACAAATCATAATTTTAACTAATCATGATCTCAAACTTATGTAAGAACTTCTACTTTTTCAAATTTTTCAACTCTTCACTCTAATACATTTTTTTAAAAATATTAAATTTATTCTAAGAAATCTTATTCATTCTATTTACATAAAATTTGTTAAATTTCATTACTAATCATTCTATTTAAATATAACTAAATAAAAGGGAATGTATTATTTTCTATCTTCCTATAATAATTTAGCCCATGATTAGTTTTGTTGATTATCTCAATTATTTATTTATATCTACATTTTAAACTAAATTATTTTGAAGATTTCTCTCTTTTTCTTATTTGATAATTCTATTATTTTTTGACTTCTATTACTTATTTACAACTATTATTTTCTATTATTAAATTAATAGTTCCTTTTCCAATCATTCCTACTATTATCTTTATTTGAATAAAAGAATTCTACTTTCTTAATATTATACTTATAGTTGTTACTCTTATAATTGATATAACAATTAAAAAGAGATGGGGCATTTTCAATATTTTGTACTTATAATTAAGGTGGATATATTTATTCATTTAGAATAAGATTATTAAGAGAATCTGTAAAAGTTAATTCTTATCTCTAAACTGTTTCAGTTAGAAATATTTTAACTCTATTAATAATTACAGATCTTTTTTTATAATCCTCGTAAACTAAAGTTTGAATAAATTGTTTTAATTATTCTGAATAATCATTAGAAATTAGGAATTAGGAATTGATTTAAATTTCCAATTTTTAAAGTAAGGAAAATAGGAGTTTCTCATCAAATAGTGGTTCTAAAGAACAATCAAATAGTGGTTCTAAAGAACATAGTACATATAGATATAAAATTGTATCCTAATGACTATATATCACTCATAAATATTTAAGGTTTTCCTTTTATGATTTCAGGACTTTTCTAATATCTTATTTCTATTGATATATTGTTCAAATGATATCTTGAAAATTCTTTCATTTCTAAAATCTCCTAATTTAACTTATCCTTCCTTTGTAATCTAAATTTGAATTTCAATTAAATATATTCCTTAAGCTTCTTATATTTTTTAAGTTAAACCTCCACCTAAATGTAAAATATTATAATTACCATCAATATATTCCATAACAGTCTGTAATATCCTTTATTTTTTTTGATAAATTTCTTTAAACTTCGAAAAATTTCGATGGGATAGAGATTCAAATATTGTAGCCATTCTCAAATTTTCATCTTTCTCTTAAGGAGGAATTAAAGTTAAATTCATCTATTTGATGCCTCACAAAGGCCTATTATTTTAAATGAATTATCTAATTATTTTAAAGACATTCAACTAAAAATGAATCAGTATTATCAATTAAATGATTAATAATTAAAAAAAAGAAAGGATCTTTCTAATCTTAAACTTGAACAAATTCTAAACTAAATATCTTAATCATTAATTATCATTATAGAATAATAATTAGAAGAGTTGCTGTAGTTTATAAATTATACTTAATATAATTTAACTATCTGTTGATACCTAAACTAATTTATGAATATTCATTAAATTAAGATTTTATCAATATCATAAACTTCTAACACAACATAATTCTAATTATTTCATAATTTTTCTTAGATTTCCATTTATTTATTTATTTAATTACATAAAGAATATTGTTGTCTATCAATCTAATAAAGTGTCTGCAGTTCTAATTCTTTCTAGTATTTTTTTCTGACCATCCCTTTAACTTTATAAATTATATCCTTTTTTAATTTTTATGTCTTTTTTTAAATCTATATTTTTCTTTTTTAGTTTCTCATCATTCCATTATTTTCTCATCCAAATATTTCAATTAATTAATTAATTTAATTTGATTTTTATGAAACCTAGTAAATCACTTTTTAATGATTTAGAACTGCCATTGTGGCAACTTGATGAAAATCTTATTTTCAAATACAAACATTAAGCTTAATCCTTATCATTGAATCCTATTTTAAAAAGTATATTGAACAAACCACCAGATGAAAGAACTTACGAAGAAATCATTTTTATCAATGAATATTTAATTGGATTCTCTTACTTTCAAACTATTAAAAATTAGCATGGACAAGAATGCCTATTTAGATTGTCTTAATTTGCACTATTGAACAGTATCCCGAATGAGACAATAATCGTTAAAAAAAGTAACTAAAGAAAATAAAATAGATGAAGAACCTAATGCTCTTTATTTCATTATAGAAGGGTAAGTTATGCAAATTAATGAAAATATTTGTACTGTTTCAAATATTGGAGAGCCTATTTTTGAAGAAACCCTATTAAAATTTGTATTTAATAAATCTGATTTTATTACAAAAAAGAATTCTACCTTCATTACATTAAATGGTCTTGTTTTTAGAGCTTCTCTACATAAATACTCCCCATAATAAATTTCTAAAAGAAAAAATTATTTACATCACCCTTTATTGAATGTATTATCGAAATATGATTTTTAAGAATTATTTTCTGTCGCATAAACAGAAGAATATGATTAAGGATCTAAAATTTACAAAATAAATGATTAATTAGAATATTTATATGTAATTCTTCAAGGAAATCTAATTATTGGAAAATAAGTTGGATCAAAGTAAAAAGAACATTTTTAAAAAGTACCATAAATTCTCTTGGCAGAATCAGCTAAGCAAAGATATTAAATAAAAGCTATTACATAAATATCAAATAATGATATATTTGGTTTTGAAGAATATGTTTCCAACAAAACCACCAGAAACTTTGAAGTATCCTGCTCTAGTAAAAAATGTAAAGTTATCAAATTTCCTCTCAAAATTTTCTTTTCCAAATTTAATTAAGTTTTCAATCTAAAGGAATTTAAAATGATAATTGATATTATTTCTTAAAGGAATCTTTTTCGGGATAGAATACACTCCATTTAAGTATAATTATACGAAAATCAAATTTAATAAACATCAAAATCTAATTAACCTATGCGCTATGAAACTTTAGAACCCATACCTTATGAGAATTAAATTAGATCCAGACCTAGATCATTTCTATTAGAAAATAGTATATTATTGCCAGATGATTTAAAATCCAATTTACGATTATCATCTTATTTAAAAACCTCTATTAATACCAAAGATCAAATCAACCTAAATTCGTTTACTCTAGAAAATACTCCTGAAAACTTAAAAAAAAAAAAGAAATTATAAATTAGAATTAATTATTAAATTGAAAGTGAACTACATAAAAACAACTCATTTGATAAAACTAAGTTAATCAATAAATTTAAAAATTTCCAAAAATATTCTAATGAATAGAGTCCGATCCAGAAATTTCTCAATCTTAAACCTGAATAAAAGTAGGACAAATTTAAAATAAAATAAGAAATCATTGATTAATCATTTTAACTTTTATAGGCTCGAGAATCTTAAAATTCAAGATGTTCTCCTTTACCAGAAATACCATCATTCTAACCTAAATAAGGAAAATTCTAATAAAAACTAATTCTAAAAAAATTCAAAGAAAAATAATTTTTAATTATTGATAAAGCATTATGAATAAATTCTATATTTTTAATTATTTTATCTTATTAAATATTCTTTTTCACAATTTAATATTTCCAAAGAATTATCTTTGTTTAATTTCCAAAATTCAATCTGAATTTTATGTTTTATTTTTACTATAAATCTAAAATGATTTAATTTTTTAATTTTTTTTAGAAATTTCAATCTGAATTTAATAATGATA